GGTCATTGGATCGCCAACTTGAAGAGGGAGGATTTGCCATCGAACTTCTGGCCAGAGAAAAAACACGTAATATGTAGCCAACATTTGGAAGAAGAATGTTTTCAAGATGACTTGGATAATAGCGCGTTGTGACAAACACCAGATACAGCACTGGGACTTGATCAACAGTCGATACCGCATCGTGACATCACAAACCAGTAGGTGGCAGTAGTGTTCTTTGACAAACATGGATGCCTCCGGTAATTAAAAACGCATCATTTATTGAACAGTATGTATTCATTTCATATTTGAAGTACTTTCAGAAGTTTGGATTCTGAATATGACCGGACTTAAATATGGTAGTAGACACTAGCTATGTTTACATGTGCAAAATGTCATTAAAGGAGAATTCCGGTTTTTAACACTTTTAGCCCATTTTCTGTAGTGTCCAGGATGAAATCGAATGATCGACACCAAAATTTTGACAATTGGTCCTGTCTCTGCTATTTGGCTCATTTAGAATCCACCCCTGGCTGCTTCAGAATGGCTTCCATAGTGCATGTCCGATAATGTCCTTAAAACAACCTTAAACGTTTTTTTTTTTAAATATGCTACTCACCGGGTCGTCAGCGCTGTTCAATGACGTTCCAAAAAAAGTTTCGTAAAGAAAAAACGTTCCTGTAGTGTTTTATTTAGCATTTTGTAAATCCCATTGAGTTCTGTTGGAATAGTCAATATTCCCCTGCCACCGGAAACGGAAATGGGGCCTGTTTACACAGTTGTAGTCTTTTCGCTTCACTCTGTGTACTCCGACGTCGAGAATCAAGAATCCACCTTTCGTATTCCATTTTCAGAGTTTTTTAAAGTGTTTAACAGAGACGTTAGCACCTCGACGTCGGATAATGTTTTAAGGACATTATCGGACATGCACTATGGAAGCCATTCTGAAGCAGCCAGGGGTGGATTCTAAATGAGCCAAAAAGCAGAGACAGGACCAATTGTCAAAATTTTGGTGTCGATCATTCGATTTCATCCTGGACACTACAGAAAATGGGCTAAAAGTGTTAAAAAACGGAATTCTCCTTTAATCAGATTAAAATGTGTTCAGATAAAAAAAAAAATGCATATATTAAATGAACTGTTTACAAGGACAATCCGAATAAATGGCCAGTCAGAACTTTTTAATGGGATCTAACAATTCGGTCACATTGATAATGGATACACAGGTGAGCTGGTCTCATTCAGAATAACTTTTTAATAACATTTACATACACGTGGAATCGGATTGTTAATCGGCATAAACCCGCCCTCTTAATCAGAATACAATTTCATTCCAAGCTCCTGAATTCGATCAGAATATTTTGACATATTTTACATCCAATTGGCTGTTTATTCCGACTCCTAATGTGCAGGTAAACACAGCTACTGAGTTACCAGTCAGGAGCAACAAGGAGGCGGATTTTCAATTTCAGTTCAGTAACGTCTGTGGACAAAGTGTGAATAAGGTGTTGATGAGATGGTGGGCTATGATTGTCCGGCCGGCTCTCTGTCTGTGCTGTTATCTGAGCTTCAACCCTCCTCTCCTGCATAGTCATGTTTTATTCAACACCCTGCTTGTATTGGAAAATCATCCATTACATTCAGCCAGCAACCCAAGCAAATAATTCAAGATTGCTCCCGTGTCTTTCCGACTCTGATGTAACACTAGTACCCGAGCACAAGTCGCTTTGAACTATGATGACAGAAAGCCACAGATTTGCTGTCAATTATTCAGCTGCGGGGGCAGCAGGGCTGAAGTTCCAACGGTGTTATGAAGAAAGATGCAGAGTCATTCAATGTACCGGTAGCTGAACGTCCTAGTAAACTTATAGATGCCACTATTAGTTTGTAAAAAAATGTTTTTCTTTAATCAGCTTCAAATGCACGCTTTATGCGCTTCTTATTAAACCATTCCCCTTTAAATCTGTTATAATATATTGATACCTTATATCTGATGTAGCTTAGGTAGGAATATCCCGATTTCTATTCTTTTAGATAGACTATCTTTGGCCTAAAAATGAAAAATATTTATGTTTTGAAAAAACCTGTTATTTAGATTTTGAAACAATAGTTTGCTTTTTTTTTCTAAGGTCAAAACTGATTAATTTTGTCGTCAGTCTAACCAGTATCTCCAAGATCTGCTGCTGATTATTTTTGCAAGGCTGATTTTTTAAATGAATATTGTCTTTTTCTATTTACATGATTGAACATGACACAACAATAACACTGTCTTAATTTACTACAAAAAAGGGAATAAAGTTGTAACATCACGAGAATAGAGCCGTAACGTTACGAGAATAGAGCCGTAACGTTACGAGAATAGAGCCGTAACGTTACGAGAATAGAGCCGTAACGTTACGAGAATAGAGCCGTAACGTTACGAGAATAGAGCCGTAACGTTACGAGAATAGAGCCGTAACGTTACGAGAATAGAGCCGTAACGTTACGACAGAATAGAGCCGTAACGTTACGACAGAATAGAGCCGTAACGTTACGACAGAATAGAGCCGTAACGTTACGACAGAATAGAGCCGTAACGTTACGACAGAATAGAGCCGTAACGTTACGACAGAATAGAGCCGTAACGTTACGACAGAATAGAGCCGTAACGTTACGACAGAATAGAGCCGTAACGTTACGACAGAATAGAGCCGTAACGTTACGACAGAATAGAGCCGTAACGTTACGACAGAATAGAGCCGTAACGTTACGACAGAATAGAGCCGTAACGTTACGACAGAATAGAGCGTAACGTTACGACTTAATAGAGCCGTAACGTTACGACTTAATAGAGCCGTAACGTTACGACTTAATAGAGCCGTAACGTTACGACTTAATAGAGCCGTAACGTTACGACTTAATAGAGCCGTAACGTTACGACTTAATAGAGCCGTAACGTTACGACTTAATAGAGCCGTAACGTTACGACTTAATAGAGCCGTAACGTTACGACTTAATAGAGCCGTAACGTTACGACTTAATAAAGCCGTAACGTTACGACTTAATAAAGCCGTAACGTTACGACTTAAAGCCGTAACGTTACGACTTTATTCTTGTGATGTTACGGCTTTATTCTCATGATTTTACGACTTTATTCTCTTTTTTTGTTGTAAATTAAGACGGTGTTATTGTTGTGTCATGTTCAATCATGTAAATAGAAAAAGGCATCCCCTGAAGAGGACTTAATAAAGTCGTAACATTACGACTTTATTAATTTGTAACATTACGACTTAATAAAGTCGTAACATTGGGAGAATAAAGCCGAAACATTAGGAAAATAAAGTCGGAACATTACGACAATAAAGTGAAAATTTTAAAGATTAATAGTTGTTTCAGATTTTATATAAGAAGTCAAACAATAGCGTAGAATTAAAAACATTTAGACATTTAGTTTTTCCTATCACACTGACTCCACTGCTAACCTGTGCTGGTTGTGGTTTAGCACTACTCAGACTCTAGCTGAACCACATCTCAGTGCACGCATCTTCATTTTCTTGTCTTGACTCAGCCAGAGGACTGAACTACACTCACCGGCCACTTTATTAGGTACACCTGTCCAACTGCTCGTTAACACTTAATTTCTAAGCAGCCAATCATATGGCGGCAACTCGGTGCATTTAGGCATGTAGACATGGTCAAGACAATCTCCTGCAGTTCAAACCGAGCATCAGTATGGGGAAGAAAGGTGATCTGAGTGACTTTGAACGTGGCATGATTGTTGGTGCCAGAAGGGCTGGTCTGAGTATTTCAGAAACTGCTGATCTACTGAGATTTTAACGCACAACCATCTCTAGGGTTTACAGAGAATGGTGCGAAAAAGAAAAAACATCCAGTGAGCAGCAGTTATGTGGGCGGAAATGCCTTGTTGATGCCAGAGGTCAGAGGAGAATGGCCAGACTGGTTCGAGCTGATAGAAGGGCAACAGTGACTCAAATAACCACCCGTTACAACCAAGGTGGGCAGAAGAGCATCTCTGAACGCACAGTACGTCGAACTCTGAGGCAGATGGGCTACAGCAGCAGAAGACCACACCGGGTGCCACTCCTTTCAGCTAAGACCAGGAAACTGAGGCTACAATTTGCACAAGCTCATCGAAATTGGACAATAGAAGATTGGAAAAACGTTGCCTGGTCTGATGAGTCTCGATTTCTGCTGCGACATTCGGATGGTAGGGTCAGAATTTGGCGTCTACAACATGAAAGCATGGATCCATCCTGCCTTGTATCAACGGTTCAGGCTGGTGGTGGTGGTGGTGTCATGGTGTGGGGAATATTTTCTTGGCACTCTTTGGGCCCCTTGGTACCAATTGAGCATCGTTGCAACGCCACAGCCTACCTGAGTATTGTTGCTGACCATGTCCATCCCTTTATGACCACAATGTACCCAACTTCTGATAGCTACTTTCAGCAGGATAATGCGCCATGTCATAAAGCTGGAATCATCTCAGACTGGTTTCTTGAACATGACAATGAGTTCACTGTACTCAAATGGCCTCCACAGTCACCAGATCTCAATCCAATAGAGCATCTTTGGGATGTGGTGGAACGGGAGATTCGCATCATGGATGTGCAGCCGACAAATCTGCGGCAACTGTGTGATGCCATCATGTCAATATGGACCAAACTCCCTGAGGAATGCTTCCAGCACCTTGTTGAATCTATGCCACGAAGAATTGAGGCAGTTCTGAAGGTAAAAGGGGGTCCAGCCCGCTACTAGCATGGGGTACCTAATAAAGTGGCCGGTGAGTGTATTTTAGAAACTGGAGGCAGTTGCATGGATACAAATGACTAATTAGAATGATCTGAAGGCGATGCCTTAAAATCCTGAGCAAATCCTTATTTAGCCCGTTTTGAAATCAGCCAAATCAACACTGGGCTTTATATTGGGATGTCAGAACAATAATTCCTTATTGCGCTTTGACGAAGTTTCTCTGGTTAATTTTTTACTTGACGTCTGACATGTGGACCTGTGTGTTGTCTCAGGAGCTGCTGGGTGTGCTTCGCCACAGATGAGGATGACCGCACAGCAGAGTGGGTTCGACCGTGTCGATGCCGTGGCTCGACGAAGTGGGTTCACCAGTCCTGCCTGCAGCGCTGGGTGGATGAAAAACAGAGAGGCAACAGCACGGCGAGGGTTGCTTGTCCACAGTGCAATGCTGAATATCTCATCGTCTTTCCAAAACTAGGTGAGCTTTTTTTTTTTTTTTCTAAACTGCAAAATTAGACCCGAGCAGATAAGTAGAAGACTTGGAGTAATTAAAATGACATGTAAATCACAGGTGTCCAGCCTCAGCCCTCCAGGGCTGCTGTCCTGCTTGTTTTAGTCGGTCACCCGAATCGAAGGAATGATTCATCAGCAGGCCTCTGGAGAACTTGCCATGTTGATGACGTAATCCAGCCATTTGAGACGGGTGTGTTTGAGCAGGGGTGCGTCTAAATACTGCTGCCCTCAGACTCCTGTAAACAGGGGATGGAAACACCTGATTTAATGCTTTGGCTGCTCGATTGGGCTGGTATGTTAAGGCGGAATAATTCAAATGAGATGTTTTGAAAAAGAGCTTGACTTTTCTGCTTCCTAAGCTTAAAAATGGGAAAGTAAGTAATGATAAATATTTCCAACTGTAAAAAAACAGTTGCAGTGTTGATGTTACTGAGGGTACTGGCAGCCAACGCTTTTAAAACAAAGAACAAAATCTTTGTTCGTGCATAAAATCGTTGTATTTCCTCTCAAAGTTCTCCTTGATTTTTGGTCTGCTTTGAATGTAAGGCACAACTATTATTATCAAAATACCAAAAAGCAAGAAGATAATATGAGGAGCTCATACTGTTTCATAGCGGCTACATTCTCCCTTTTACAAATTTACCTGGGTTTGTTTTTGGATTCGGCTAAAGAATTTGAGCTGCGATAGCACCGCTTTTTAAGGTGCTGACCCTGAGCCTTAAGAACCAGTTCCAACTGGTTTAGGTTTGACACTGCCTATGAAGCAGCCTTGGTTAGAAAACCTCCATAGTGACAGAGGCTGCAATCCGAGACTGAAGCTGGACGTAAGACAATGTTCAGCTGGGAGTGCTGGGCCCAGCTGGTAAACGGGTTCACCCATATTTATAGCAGCCAGGGTTATGCTGTCACTCAATGGAGAGCCATTAGATGGAAGTTTCAGTCCAAGCTTTTAACATGGTTCCTGAATATTTAGGTTATATCTGTACTTTTCTCCTACAAGTTGGTTCATATTATCACATTATCTCCTTTTCCAAGGGTTCAGTTAATTAAGAAGCATTGCTCATCCAAACAGCTGATCATTGATGTCACAGCTGCACACCTACTCATTGCTAAATATGGTGACATATTTATTACTGATTTGGAGCCAAGGCAAGCTGAGTCGCCTGGTTGGAAAACCGTATTAAAAGGCACAGCCTAAATCAGGGCTGTTTGTAGTTTATTGAAACATCTAATAATCTGAAACTCTGTATATTAGGCTGTCACGGAAAAAAGACTGTAGGAAAAATCACGGAGGAACCTTTAGTCATTGCTCGCACTGTGAGACTGCTTCTAGGACCGCCTTTGTGGCCATTTTGCTAACAAACATTACCTGAGATAAACCTCTAACTCTGAAATCCACATCATCCGGTTCCTCCGTTAATGTTCGCAAGACGGAGCAACTGTGTAGTTGTATTAATCAATGAGAACAGTTCTCCTTGACTCCTCCAAATCTCACCGTCCGCAGACGTGCTGTCCAACCTTCGCCTGAACAAGTTCAGTTCTCTGCTCCGTTCCGACTTATCAGACTCTTGCCAGGTCAAGATTCACAATTGCAATCGCATCAAACAGGAAAAAGAAGGCTAACAATGTCCGGTTTGTCAAAGTAAGATACGGTAATAATGACAGATCAGTAACTATATTAAAACTTCTTTTTTAAATACTCCGAATAAAGATGACAGTTTTATTTAAATATTGGACACAAATAACTAGTTTCTAAACAAACAAACAAACAATTCAGCAGATTTGTTATTTTGTTCAAGGCTTAAAATTTCGGCAAATCCTTTTACAACAACTTCCTAGAGTGAACCTCACAACTTGCTGAGCAACTTTTGAATCACAAATATGGATGAAGAGGTGCTAATTTTGGAAGAACAAATACAATTTCTGCTGATCCAAAATAATTTTTTTTTTTTTTCAGGTTCCTTTATATCTTCGTAACTGGTACTTCTCACATGCTTTCCTCGAGCTCCAAGGAACTTAGTCTGTAGCAAGACAGCGTAACCTCGGAAGCAATATGCGGGACTTTCCACAGACTCAGGCGGTCTGGAATGATGCGGAGCCGTACAGGAACGGAGGATGTGCAATTTGGGTTTAAGAGTGTCGGATATTTAGAAACGTTGATCTCGCATTAAAAGCCATGCTATGACCTACATCTACTGATTAGGGGTGTGGGAAATAATCGTTTTGGCGATTTATCGTGATATTCGGCTGCCCAATATAATATCGATCTTTCTCTTCTTAGTATCGATTTTCAAAAAAAACATGCTTACATAAAACATTGATGGGAAAATGGGCTACCTCTGCACCACCACTCCGGCAGAAAGTGCTGTGGAGCCCTTTAACTGTGCGTGCAGCACCAAATCTGTATTTGAGGCAGTCACAGTGGAAGAAAACCCCAAACAACATGGATAATACCTAATCAATATTTTCTGATGAAAATATACAGCACTTGCTGTTTTATCTCATCATTTGATTTTGATAGCTGGGGAAAATATGGCAATATATAGTGATACTGCAATATCGTGATAATATCGTATCGTGACCCAAGTATCGCGACATGTATCGAATTGCAACACTCATGCCAATATTCACCTCTACTACTGATCAGCTAATAGAAATGCCGATGCTGCTTACGATGTGCCAAATAAAGATCCAATAGAGAGGATGAATGAAAGGTGATCCGTTTGCAGGATTTTGTATGACAGCAGAGAAGATAATCTATCAACTGAGAATCAAAGCAGTAAAGTTATGGACTTGAACGGCTAACAGAAAAGTGATCAGTCTAAGCCTACGTTCACACTGCAGGCCTTGATGCTCTATTCCGATTTTTTTTTGTAAAATCTGATTTTTTTGGTGATGCCGTTTACATTTCCAAATATATGCGACTTGTATGTGATCTCCTGTGTGAACTGTAGTCATACAACGCAAGTGTCCCGCGTGCGCAGTAGAGGACGCAATGATGTCACAAGCAAACATGCTCTGTGTTTACGGAAGAAAGCATGGATGGTATTGCCGGAGCGCATCTAGCGATCTTTCCCAACCATAAAAACACAATCTTTTCAAGATGGTTAAACATAAATACTGCTCTCTGCATCATCTTCCGCCATGGTTGTAGTTTTTCTTCCTGCTTCTTCATAGCAAGACCCAAAATAGAACCTTTGTTGAGTAATAGCGTTAAGGTCGGATGAATGCGACATGGCCGTTCAAACACAGGTCACATTTGAAAAGATCAGATACGTATCGGATTCAGGACCACATAGCCAAGAGGCCTGGGTCGCATTGGAAAAAAATCGAATCTGTGTTGTTAAGACAGCCATAAAAAGATCAGATCTAGGTCGCATATGGGCCAAAAAATCGGATTGGGGTAACTTCAGGCTGCAGTGTAAACGTAGCCTAATAGTGCCACATATGGTCAAATGTTTATAAACATGCGTGTTAATATTGTTTGGTGTAAACATAAGGAGATCTTTAAAATGAACAATTTAATCCACCATGAGATTTATCTAGAACACAGAACCACAAGAACTGGTATGTTTTGCAAGAGGTTTTAACAGGTTTTGAATGTTGCTGCCCCACAAATACAGAATAATGGAATAGGTTTTAGATTGCCTAAAAAAGATTCATGCCAGGGAAAGCCTGTTCTGTCAGACAAATTCATCTGATCACAACTATGGTGGATCAGAGGGACTGGTGGCGTACGGGAGCCTCGCTTCTGTCAGTGAGCCCCAGTGCAGCTGTGGCTACAAGGTAGCTAGCCATCATCAGTGTGTGCATGACTCGAAAAAGCGCTATATAAGTACAGGCTATTTGGCATAACTACCAAACAGCTGGATCTACATAATCTGTGTGCATGTCGGATTGAACACGAGTTCCAACTCATGAGGTTTTATCACCGTTTCCTTTACCTCAATGATCATTTGAGCCCTGACATGTTTTTTTTTATATCTCTCCATTGGATTATTTCTTTGTCCTCCTTCTTTGGATGTGGTCAACTAAGGACGTTTTCCAAGACTTTCTTGTGTCGATGAAAAATCTGATGTTCGAACACATTCCTCCAAAAATAATTCTTAATTTTTTTTTTTAAGGATTTCCAATTAAAGAGTAGATTATGCCGCTAAACATCAGATTTTTAGTTGTTTATAATTAATCCAGCAGGCTTACAGACTTGTGATATTTCCCATAAGAGTGAGAAACATACCACTCGGCTACAACAGCGTCCATGTTTTCCTCCTCTTCCTTCTGATATATTTCAATGTTATTGCCAAATCTTGTTGCCTATCTAATGCTAAATGATGCGTATACAATGTAAATACACAAAGTTTGACGTCGTACCAAATTTTGTCAGGTCCAAGTGTCACACATGGTGTAGGATATCCTTAGGTATTGAACCTCCACCTTTAAATGTGGTACATTACATTACTTTTAGTGTCAATATCACAAAGACAAGTTCTCTCATCATACCACCAAGTAGCCTATCTGGGTCAAAAAGAGAAGTTATTGATTAAACACAAAGTGCTGGATGAGTTCACCCCTGATTCTGCTTCACCGCTGGGAAATGTGTGTTTTTCCTAATCGCATTAGTGAGTGTGAAAAGGAGGCGGTGAGGGAGGCGAGCGGAGATGTCGGATCTGTCTGGAGAATAGAGTCTGAGTCAAAGTGGGTCAGAAGGAACCCTCTGAACAGCTCATCAAAAGCTGACAGGGGCTGACGAAATGAGTGGATTGATGCTGCCGCTGCTCTAATGAGTTCGTGAAATCACGGCTGTCCTTCAGGGTTTTCCACTGACTCAAACATGACAGTCTGTGATTGAGACCTATTTAGCCGTTAGAAGAACAAGATGTACATCAGAAAAAAATAGTTCATCTGATGAAGCTATTTTGAAAACCTATATAATTTATACTTATCCTTGGAGCTCCTTTCCAAGGTATTTTGATAGTTTCTGGATGTTTTTCTTCTGGTCTTTTAAGCTGTTTTGTTGTCAGATTTTTTCTTTTAGAATAGAAACACTGAAAATCTTTAGGTTAGTTTGGAAATTGGTGTTTAGTTTAGATGATGTTAACTAGTTTCTTTTGTGTGTATTTTGTTGATTCATTTATTGTCTGAAATAAATTCCTATTCATTCATTCATTCATTCATTCATTCATTCATTCATAAGGTAGAGATTTTGTTAATCTAATAGATCACCTTGGACAAGCAGAGCGATTCTTCATGATCTGCAAGAGCAAGTTGTTCATCTGGAATTGTTTAGTTGAGCCATCAGGAAGCTAGGATAGAAAATATATGATCCTTTTTAAATTTTCATCAGAACTCTGGCTGCAGCATATTGGATCAGCTGAAGGCTTTTAACTACAGTTTGTGGATTTCCAAATAGCAAAGAGTTACAATAGTCCAATTTTAAATGGACTAGCAATAGAATGCACGCTTTTTGTATCTCTGCATCTGTCTCCTTGAACCCCAGTTGGCCTCAGCAGATGGCCGCTCACACTGAGCCTGGTTCTGCTGGAGCTTCTTCCTGTTAAAAGATCATTTTCCTCTCCACTGTCGCTACAAGCATAAGTGTGAGGGATTGCCTTGGAGTCAATGAGTCAATGCAATCAACTGGTTTTCCTTAGATAGAAAACTTTGAATAAATCTGACTGGATGATCTGGTTGAACTGTAAAGTGCCTTGAGAGGACAAGTGTTGTGAATTAAATTGAACTAGTTTCTCAGCTTCACCCCTGGATACGATATTTCTAATTTCTGTAACATTATGGTGATGAAAGAATGAAATTATAGAAAAGTCTTTGATATGGGATTTAAATGAAAGGACCTGATCAAAAATATTATTTGCTTTATAATCCAATATTAATTTAATCCCATCCAGATTAAGTGACTGGCTAATCATGCCTGTAGTCTAAGTTACAGGTTAGATTCATCTGGATTTATAGACAGATATAGCTGAGTATCATCAGCATAACAGTAGGAATTTAGTCCTAGCACTGGAGCTTGAAGAAGATTCATTATGAATGTGAACAAAATAAAATCTGTCAGATAAGATTTAAACCATCCCAGTTCTGCGCCATTAATTCCTAGAGAATGTTCGAGCTTTTCTAAAAGAAGATTATGATCGACTGTAGATCTTGTCCTGCGTTGCTGGAGATGTTTGCCCAACAGGCTACAAAGGCTGTTTTCTTAATCCTGGTTCTGTTCACTTTCTCCAACAGGAGAGATGAAGCTGATTAACATGGCGATGGCTGTCCAACAAGAGAGCACTCATCTACTGTTGGGTCTCTCCTCCCACCAGCACCTGCTGCAGAGCCACTGCCAGCCGATCCTACTAATGGGGCTGGCAGTATAGCTCTGAGGACAGAGTGTCCTTACTGTTGTGTCTTCACACAAACTCCGAGGGAGTAAACAACCTGGTGGGAAGAGTGTGCCAACGTTTGGTCCACCTCTAAACTGTAGTTGCACTTCTCTCCTTTTTGTCTCCCTCCCTCCTGCTTAATCATCTTAATTATGGAATCTGCTGCCAGCGGCTAAAATGAATCGCTCCTTTCTCCACCCTGTCAGCGGCCATTGACCATGACCCAGTTCCCTCCGGCCATAATGGCGCAACGCTTTGCTGGAAAAAATTGAAAAGAGATTCCAGTCGTCTCATCCAAGTACTCCATACTGATGCACTTGGGTTCTGGTAGGTCAGTCTGCATCAGCAAACACAGGTGCAGTCAGAGGAGTTCTGCAGGGCATCAGATGCCTGGCAAGAGTCCAGGCAGCAGCTGCATCAATAACTGCAAAAATGTAGAGTATTAAGAAACATCCAAGTGATAAAACTTCAGATTCACGCTTCAGGTTTGAACATTTAACAGTGAAATCAGACCAATCGCCCAATCAGTCCTTCCAGAAAGCACACTGACGGTCAAAAAGATTTATTCTGACATAATAAAGTTAACTTAAATCCACACAAGTGAATCTTCTAATAAACTCGGCGTCTAAAATCATCTATAAAGGGGGGCTGTGTTACGCACGAGGAGAGCAGTGATCTGTGACTCAGCGCTGTGGCAATATGAAGAGTTAATTTCCTAACTAGGCAGAATATGATTAGAAATGTCACCACATTCAGAGAAACGATGAAATGAACTGTAATGGGAATCTGGGTAATTCGGAGTTTGACACCTTTGAAACAAAAGCTAATATGATTTATTGTTGTATTGTGTGATAAAAGCGTACTTTGTTGGGATCTGGAAGGTTTGTCTCCTCAGTATTGGCTTCTATACTAAACCATGAAACGGCACAAAAATAGACGAAGTGGGATTATGCTAATGAAAGAGTGCGAGCTAATCAGAGCTCTGGGGAGAGAAAGCCTTAAGGAAGGATTCAAATCCTCTAAACTTTGCTGCTTTTAATGTTGGCATAAATGTTGTTTCAAACACACGCAGATCCCTGCATAAATATTTATATCCGCTTTTCAAGGAGGTGATCTAGGGTAGGTAGATTCTTGGACCTTCACGCTGCCTCCCTCAGATGCTTTCCTCTGCAGCCTCTTGTCCCTCTGGCAGCCTCCCCTCCCACTGACTCCTGGTTATTAATAGCATGTTGATGAGTCTGTCTGAGTGAGGAAATCAGGTTGCTGTCCTGTAAATATTGCATGATTTCCCTCGAGTCGGCTTGAAATGCCAGATGGGAGGAGGATGCAGCAGTAGGAAACGTTCACGCTTAATTGTCCTCCTGATTCTGCCTCTTTGGACTTCAGGCTGATCTTTGCTATTGTCCCAAAAGGAGGACAATTTCTATTTAAAAAAATCGTTTTTAGCTTGTACATTTAAATTCAGCCAATCGTATATCAACTGTCATCAATCAAATATTTTCAGTCATAGCACCTTGATTCATATGTCGCAGCTAATATAGGCAACGGTTGAAATAAGAAATCAGAATCCTTTCCCATTGAGGTGCGTCCCAGTGTTGTTTTTTTTAAATCTTTTTTATTAGAAAAATTAAATTTAAAGGAATAGGTGCAACTATATACAGTGAGCAAAAAGGATAATCAAACATTGTCATTCGTTTACAGAAAAAACAAAGGAAAACCACAAAGAGCCTTACAATCCCATTTCAACAAAAATACTTTCCCTCTTAATTATTTACAGTGAAAAAAAAAAAAAAATGTTTATGCACTCAGATTCATCAAATTATCCAGTCTTGAAAATATTTGCATTTACTGAGCAGTTCGAAAAAGTCCTGTGAAAGTTGATTGTCGATGCTTTTGAGTGTTTTACTGTGGTTCACGGGGATGGACGTCTGTGTCTTCGGCAGGCGTAGAGCTAACACAACTGGCAGCGTTGCGATAACCTGACTCCGCCAGATGGATTTGCTCCGCATATCCATCTGGAAACCTTCCGTTGAAGTAATTTTGGGAAGGGGCGAAAATACTGGTTAGCTGATTGGCCTATGTTGGTGATCAGATCAACGAAGCATATGACGTACTAACAGACCGACGACGAAAACACAACCACAAGCCAGGCTACTCTTGCCGAAACCAGTCGGGAGAAGAGCAAAAACATCTTTTCCTCTGAGAAAAGCCTCCAGAGCAGTGTTTTTGCTCTTCTTTCAGTGAAGAAATACTCTGTAATTCCGATAAAACTTGCTCGATAGCCACGCTAACGCTAGTTTCATCGGCTGAAGCCGCCATGTTTTTTAGACTGAATTGTTGCGCTTCTCGTTGTGTCACACCTCAACCCGCCTCAAAGCCAACGCTAATTGGACGTTCGTTTGGTGAACGGCTCCAAATTTTCTTTAACGGAGAGCCTCCAGACTGATTAGCGAGTGAAATCTTGAAAGCTCGCGAGATCAGGATGGTCTCACGAGGCTAGCGTTGCGAGGCAAGAGCTCAAACATGTACGGCTGGAAGCCTTCTACACCAAACCAAGCTTCTGCCGCCCTGGCGTCCTCTTCCACAACATCTTCGTCCCAACTTTCCTCCTCTAAATAAAAAATGGATGACCGAGGAGACTCATCCACGACCTCCGACACTAAACTCTCCTCCTCTTGCATGTTTCCGCTGTCCATAGCGTTCCTTGACAGCGTCGTTTCTCAGTCACCAATTTTAATGCTACTTGGTCCCAATGGGATTTCCCATTGGGAACCTATTAGCACTAAGTTGCTAACTGGTTAGCAAGATGCTTCCGACAAACCGGCCACAACCAAACTTGCTGGAGAACCTTCCACCACAACAAACTTTATAAACGACCAATCACCTTCACTGTATTCACTCGTGTAAAGTTGTGCAACACTCGGGAGAATTCGGAAATGCAACGGTTGGAATGGCCGTTTCCCTACAACTTTAAGGTGTTCACTGTTCCTACCTGCTCTTTAAAACCACACTGGAGGCTTTCTAATAATTGTTTATTCTGCAGAATCCGCATGGTGTTGTTTCAACTCTATTAATTTCATTTCTTATCAAAGAGGAACCTAAATCGGAGATCCGGTTCATTTTCACTGCATAACAGATGATTATTAGAGAAGAACGATTCTGATGTTTTAGACTCAAAGAAGATCTAAGGTAGATTCTCCTGCTGTTTCTGATTTAACAGATTTTTACTCAAATTGAAGTTTTGCTGTCTGTTTCCTGCAGGTCCTGTGGTTTATGTGCTGGATCTGGCCGACAGGCTCATTTCCAAAGCCGGGCCTTTCGCTGCAGCAGGCATCATGGTGGGCTCCATCTACTGGACCGCCGTCACCTACGGAGCCGTCACTGTCATGCAGGTAGGACTCTGTGTTTTAGTCAGCAATTTAAAAGGACTTTATCTCCTGATATATTAAGATGGAAGAGATAAACAGCCAGGAGATGATAATCAGCCGGTCAGTGATTCGCTAATTTCTTCGTACATCCTGAGTTTTTGAATCTGGTGTCCAGGTGGTGGGCCATAAGGAGGGCCTGGACGTCATGGAGCGGGCGGACCCACTCTTCCTGCTCATTGGCCTGCCCACCATCCCCGTCATGCTGATCTTGGGGAAGATGATTCGCTGGGAGGACTACGTCCTTCGTCTGTGGAGGAAATACTCAAACAAACTGCAGATCTTTGACAAAATCTTCCCAGGTTGGTGCTAATTTCTAGCTTAGCATCATCAGTCTGAGGACCAGGCAGGTTGGACTGAGTCTGAGTGGTTTGCTGATGAAGTCACTCTTTGGACCGCAGGTATCGGCTGCCCGGTGCCCCGTATCCCCGCCGAGGCCAGCCCGCTGGCCGACCACGTGTCCGCCACACGGATCCTGTGCGGCGCCCTGGTCTTCCCCACCATCGCCACCATCGTCGGGAAGCTCATGTTCAGCAGCGTCAACTCCAATCTCCAGCGGACCATTCTGGTGGGTGCAGATCAGGAAGGGAGACGATGTACGGGTCGTTCTCCTCCGCTGCTTCCTGCTCTGTCTGGAAATGTCTTCATTTCCTTAAACTTTCTACCTTCTTTTTGTCCTTTATTCACCTGCTTCCTCATACCCTTCATTCCTCTCTTACATCTTTTTCTTCCCTGATTCTCCTTCCTTCAGACCAGATTTTAGTTTTTTTTTTCATGAAATATTGAGCAATTTTACAAATAAAGTCTTGAGAAAAACATAAATTTACCTGAAAATGATGCACTCATCGTTTGGATCCGTGTCTCCTGAGTTCATCCCCCTTGTGGTCAGAGAGGTCACAACAGTAGGATTTGACTTTGAAATGTTTTTTTTTAAGCAGAATAAATAGCAAGTACTAATAATTGAAGTCACCCCACAGTTATTCCTGCTTTCTGTCATTTATTCCGATCTTCATGCCTGATTTTTGTTTGGACGTTTAGGGAAGCAGCTGCTCACTGATTACAAACCAGATTTCTCCCAGCACATCAGAGAACGGTGGTTTTCTAACGCCGCTCTTCCTGAGCAGGAAACAACAGGAACCCACTGCTGTTTACGAGCTTTTAGATTTGCCGAGCTGAATCTGTATTTAGAGCATCTTTCATGATGGTTTGCTTTGTTTCCCCCCCCCAGGGAGGCATCGCCTTTGTGGCCATCAAAGGGGCGTTTAAGGTCTACTTCAAACAGCAGCAGTACCTGAGGCAAGCCCACCGTAAGATCCTCAACTTCCCCGAACAGGAAGAGGCATGAGGCGATGAACTGAGCGCCGTCATCCCCGCCGCATCGCCCATTCCACTCAAAACTGCCCACTCAGCTGTTCCTACAGCTGACATCCACGCAGGGATCCAACCGACACCGCCGTCGCTGCTTTCTGTGTGGGGACGTTGGATAACAGACAATCTGGAGCATGCTTGCAGTCGGTGTGCAGCTTCCACCACACGGCTAATACCTACTGCTAACTTACTGTGTTTTAAATGAATACAGAGCATGTAATCAGGACATTTAAGTATATTAATAAACAATTGTTTTATGTTTGATTTGCAAACCTCCCCAGTGCCCATGTTAATGAGATGAGTGTGCAGCAGATTAACCAGTAAATCAATGGAAATCAAGTTACCAGAAAGCATTTAGAGAAACTTTCATCACTTTGACACAAAATCATCAGACAGAGGAGTGGTGATATAGAAACATTTTAGTTGAGACGTTTCAGTGTTTATTGATCTGGTAGCTTTGCTCCAATGGAAACGTCTCCGTTTGGGCTTTACTGGAGGAAAATCCGTCTGGATTCATATTTCAGAGACTGTCTGGTCTGTTGTAGTTCAGGTCGGAAATGTTTCTGTTTCAACCCACTTAGCTGATGTTTCATCAGATAGGCGGCCTACGGGTTATAGCATGGCGCTTGGAATCCTGAGGTTGTGAGTTCGAAATCCACTCCCACAGCCTCCACTCTGGGTCTCTTTGCAAAACCCTTAACCCCACACTGCTCCCTAAGAGCAGGCATCCCCAACCTCGGTCCTCGAGGGGCGCTGTCCTGCAGGTTTTAGAGGTTTCCCTGCTTTAGCACAGCTGATCATGATTGCAGTAGAGCAGAAGCCTGTTAATCAGCTTTCAATTAAAATCAGCTGTGCTGGAGCAAGGAAACCTCTAAAACCTGCAGGACAGGACTGAGGTTGGGGATGCCTGCCTAAGAGGATGGGTTAAAGGCAGAGTGTGAATTTCATTGCGCTGTATTAAAGACAGTGTATTGACAATAAAATTGACAAAAAGAAAACTGAAGAAAATCATCGTCACCAGCTTTGCTCATCTAGTCTGACATTTTTAACCCATTCATTAGGGATCAGCTCCAATCCAGCCATGTTCTGATCCTCAAACCTCCAGAACATGAATGTGCTTCAATCTAATCCAATATCTAGGACGTCTACGTAGATCCATCTATGAAGTGTTTCCTGTTAATGATGGGCATAATCAGGAAGCCACATCACATTTCAATGATGTATTAAAAAAAAATTTATTCTGGATCTCATAAGATCTTAAATATTTTTCCAAACATGTGAAACTTCCTTTGAAACACATTTAGCCGAGAACAATATTAGTTGTCCTGAGGACAGAGTCTCTGCAGCTGTTTTTTTTTTTTCCCTCTTCCATGTCAGAGTTTTGGTGGATTTTCATGTCTTTATAGTTCATCTGGAAAACTTGGGATATATTTTCACAATTTGAGCCCAGAGTTTAGTGCAACGATACCTTTTAATTTTTTGATATAAAAAAATATGAATCCTACTTTAGGTTTGTGGTTTAAAGGAGATAAAATTCGGAACATTTATTCATTTCACTGATGGTGAAGGCTGGATTATTTTAACTATTTTAATGATCACCAGAGCAGTTGATACTTTGCTGGTTTAGAAAGAATCATTTTGGCTTCTAATGTTTTACTGCAGAATCATCACAGACCCACTTAGATGTTTTGTAATCTGGAACCTTTTTCCTGATTTGGGCTGAAAAAGTTGCTTTCAGTGTTCGAAAAAGTAGATTTTATAGATTTGTTGCGAATATTCCAGTGATTGTGGCTAAACCTACACTGTTGCCCCGGTGAAAAAAAGGGATTTAAACAAAACATGACTGTCAGTCATGGAGGAAACTGCTGAGCTGTAGAAAAAATTCCAAGTATATTTGAAGGAAAAGCCTTACACAGCACATTAAAACAGGAAGAAGCCAAAGACGCTTCCTTGATGCAGTAATTTTAAAAGAAACCCTGATTAATTTTCTAAACCCATTAATAGAAACCAACACTTTGTGTAAAAAAAACTGAATTGCTGAAGTTAAGTTTGATCATATTTGGCCAAAGCTCAGCCTCTGCCTGCAAAGTGTCTGCCAACGCAAAAAGGAAAAAAAGTGAACTTTGTTGTAAATGTTTGATTTGTGAAGCTGTATGCTGGTACATCTGTGAATAAACGTATTTTTGCAAACTGTGAGGTGCCTCAGTGCGTTTTGACACGAAGAGACGACAGCGCTGGTGCCATTCACTTGTTTATTATTTAGAAACACACAGAAAACATAAAAACTCCAAACCTAAAATTATCAGCACGCTCCACCGGCATGGTAACCCAACCAGCCAATCACAGCCGAGTGTTGAAATCAATCAAAATACAAAGAAGAAAAAAAACAAACTCTAAATATAAACCACTCTAAGTACTTCACAGGGTATCCGCCCTACCCTTGCCTGATATGTCATGGTGATTTTTTTTTTTCCTGGTACACTGAAAACAGATTTTTCCACCAAATGTGGCTGCATGTTGTCTTTGTGTTTAACCACAAAGGAAATGTTGAATTAAAATAAAAAATAAATCTGGCTGAGGCCGAGTGAAACCGAACATTTTAAGAAGCTTCTGGTGCAGAACAATCAAAGCGGCCGTCCCAACATTCAAATCTTATTTCATTCTTTTAGGCTGAAGCCAGACTGGTGGAGGTGTGGTGAGGCAGGGAGTACAAACGGAGGAAAAAAACAATAAATAAAATGTTGGGACAAAGTGCGACAGGCACCTGAGAGAGCAACAACCCGCGACCTCGTCTGCGCGGGGGCGAAACCTTTCCCAATCAGGACCGTGTTGTTTATTGCTTGGTGAGAGAAGTGCATATTATTCAGGAAATACTTGTTAAAATTTGAGCCGTCTTATTTTCCAGCTCTTATTTGACATCAATGTGACATGTCTGGCGTCGGGAAGGAAGAAAACTGAACGAAAAAGACGATAATCTGTCGCAGGGCTACGTTGCTGCTGTCACTGATGGAAAGGCACAAGCTGCAGGAAGTCTCACGCACACAGATGCACAGTGTAGGGGTCTCCACGGAGACGCCACGGGGGAGAAAAACAATAACCCGCAGCCAGGATCTGATCAGGGGTTTGAGCAACGACAGATTTTCATTAACACTAAAATTAGTTAAAAGAAAAACAAAAAAACAGACGGCATGGACTTACCCCTGAGGTGTTTCAATCAAAAATACTATAAGCGATAAAACCCTAAAAACAACTCAGAATCATGACAGGTTGGCTAAAAAGCAGCTTCTCAAAGGGTCCCAACATTTTACCAGGTAACAAACCCCCAACCAAGCGAGCACGGCTTTAAATCTAAAATAAGGCAGACATCTGAATAAAACATCTGGATGTGACAGAGTGATGAAATTTAACAGCTGCGGCGCCAGATATCCCAGTCCGAGGAGGTGGAGGGCTGCTCCTAGTGGTGAAGCTCCTGCGTAAAGGGATCTGATTATCTTTTTTTTTTAAATGGTTCTACTTCCTCTACAGCAGCCGACAGCACTGAAGCGTGAGGGAGCGGCGTCTCCTTTAACATGAGGTGAGTCCGCTACGTTTATCACGGCTATTTGGAACGACCACGGCTAACTTTGGGGATCTTTAGATACGCAGCGTCTCTGCTTCTAGTGGAGCCTGCCGCGTGCACATGCATTCATTTTACACTCACACACAGTCATGAAGGCTCAGTGAGGTGAACCTCCTTTCCCTGCTGGGGGAGGAAGGCAGAAGGGGAGCAGCGGTGCGGCTGCCTCCCTCCCTCCTCGCCGGCCTGCGCGGCTCACAGTTTGGCAGCCATGAAGTTGATGTGAGGCTTCGCCAGAGGGAAGAGAGGCAGGCTTCTCTTGAACTCGTTCATGTCTTGAATCAGTGTGGGCTGTGAGGGCAGAACAACCTGGTTAGACGTGTTTTCGGTCAAAACAAGTTTTAAATACGTTTCATTCCATCTTAGTTCCTGCGTGGGAAAAAAAAATGTGTCATGTGACGGAGAAAATGCTTTCTCTTTCTGTTCCCACACCTCGGTACATTAAATGTTACTAAAACCATTAGTGAAAATACAACTATTTGATTGATGTATTATGAAAACAAACAAATGGAGGTCAGTAGATCTGATCTTTATTAAAAAATCTGTTTTCTGCCTGATCAGCCACAGTGACACCATTATTAGAATAGAATAGAAAATGCCTTTATTGTCCCACAATGGGGAAAATCTGAAAGCATATCACTCGTTCCTGGCCGGTAAAACCACCTCTAGCAGTCTGAGCAGGTTTCACGCCCTGCATCCCTGAAAACTATGACAACGATGATAACTTTGTACTGCTTGTGGCCCACTCTTAACCAACTTTTTGCTTCCGCTAAAATTTTTATTTAGAAGACTGGATTAATTATCTAATTTAACTCATAAAGTGTCTGTATTTATGTCTGTATTATAACTTATTCTAATGTCAGGTTCTGAATGTTGGGTTTTCGTTAGCTGTCAGCACTGTGATGATGAATCTATACAAGATTGGAGGGATATAGATACAGAAGAAATAGTTAAGAGCTTCAAGATTGGATCTGCTGACATTGATTTAAAGTAGAGAAAAAAAATAGTCTGAATATTAAATAATCAGTTTCAGAGGACGGCTGGGGGTCTCCTTTATTTACCTGCGGTAGAGTCGGAACGGGGGCCAGGTTGACGTCGTTCTGAGACGGAAACTCTCCCACTATTGGACCTATTAGGCAGGTTAGAAAACAAGTGAATTAAGACTCAAATCAAAAAGGATTTAAATAAATGTCCCTCATAAAGTCTGCAGACACTCACAGGACTCCATCTCTCTGGAGAGGACATGGACAGACACTTTGTGTCTCTTTGGAGCCTGAACGGTGAGCCTCTCCTGTGAACAGAGACGCAGTCGGTGATAAAGACGAGTTCAGGAATCCGGCTGGTTTTCTCAGATCATCAAATACACCCAGGAACCATCAGGATTTACTACGCATCTGTTAATGTTACAATTAATGTTAGGCGACGTTCACACTGCACCGATTTTTTTGCCCATATCTGACCTGTATCTGATCTTTTTATGACTGTCTGAACAACACTAATCCAATTTGTCCAATCCAACCCAGGCCACTTGGCTATGTGGTCGTGAATCCGATCTTTTCAAATGCGACCTGTGTCTGAACGGACAGGTTGCATTCATCCGACCTGAACTCCATTAATACTCAACAAAGGTCACTATTCTGCGTCTTGCTACGCAGAAGCAGGAAGAAAAACAACAACAATGGCGGATTACAATGTGGAGAACAGTTTTTTTTTTAACAATCTTGAAAAGATTTTAGTTTTTTAGGTTGGGAAAGTTCGCTAGATGCGCTTCAGCACTACCTTCCATGTTTACTTCCATAAACACAGAGCACGCTTGCTTGTGACGTCATGGAGTTCACACCGGAAATCACATACAGGTCGCATATATTTGGAAATATGAACAGCCACGCAAAAACAAAAAAAATTAATTAAAAAAATCGGATTTCACAAAAAAATCTAAATTGAGCATTAAGGCCTGCAGTGTGAACGTAGCCTGACTCTGAAAAGTGATCAGGAGTCATCACTCTTGAGTTTCTGCAGAAACTGTGACCATGTTTGGTGCTTCTTAAATGTCTTAATTCAGAGGTCTTCAATGTTTTCCAGGCCAAAGGCCCCCAAACTGATGGCGAGATGGAGCGGGGACCCCCGAACTATAGCTATATACGGTATTGTATGAAATTGTGTTATATCAAACTGGTCCTATAGTCACTCTATTACAGATGGAGTAATGTAACTAAAGTAATTTCACCCTGGGATCATTAAAGTATTTCTGATTCTGGTTCCTGGTTGATGGGACAGGTGTTGTGAATGAAACGGTGCCCAGCTTGAAAGAGCTCCTGTGTGTCGCTGAATGTTTGCATTGATGACTAAAAGACACCTTCTGCCTCCATTTATCCGTTTACTGCAGTGTGTTGAATTCATGTTAATGTTTATTTAAAGACATTTCAATTAGTGGAAAAAATTGCAGGGGGGAATATAAAAAAAAAAAAAGAAATCAACCAAAACTTTCTCGATTCTTATGCAGTAGCTCCATGGACCCCCTGTTGAAGACCTCTGTCTTCAGTACACTCGTACCCCATTTACACTACCCTTGAAAAACCGTGCCGAGACCGGTCCCAGCTCAGTAACTGAGATAACTTATTGTGTGTAAATGGAAAGCAAACTGAACTGAACCGAGCTAGACACAACCGGACCGAGATAAATAACTGCAGACCAGTTCCAGAGGTGGGCTCGGCTCGGTTTTTCCCTGGCTCGGTTCTCTGATAACAAAAGCGCATGAGCAGAACGCGTCATCTCCGTCTGGCTGCAGATCGCGATTCACACTCCATTCCTCTGGAAGTTGCTTTCCAACCAACACACAACAGAAGAAGAAGAACAAATATAAACAACCATGAAAGGTTGCCGTCTTCGCCTGACCCTCCGCAAACACCGAAGTACAGCTATAATAATCAAGCATAACTTTCTGATTGTGACAGGCGCCGCCTTTTTGATTTGCTTGATTCCCTCCTTCTTCGTCTTGTGCTTTATGGCGGTTGGCAAACAACTTTTGGTGCATTACCGCCACCAACTTCTTGATTTCCTCCTTCAATACTGGCAGTAATACCGCAGATCGTCACTAGGAGGCGAGGAGTCGAGGAATCGAGATAGCGTGATGTGTAAACGCTTGGCCTGGTTAACTGATCCGAGCTCGGACCGGTCTTGGCATGGATCGGTTTTTCAAGGGTAGTGTAAATGGGGTATCAGACTTTCATTCACTTTTGGGGCATATTTACATAATTTATAGAGTAACTGAATTGAATGAGCATTTTTCCTTGAGTCGTTGAATCTTTTTAGCAAATTCTTAGATTACACAAAGGCAGAGTTTTTTTAGACTAACGTTTTAAACTGTAAACACTCCTGAAAACTGTGAGATACTTTTTTTTAATGTTTGTCAACACATCCCTCTTTCCCTTTTTGGAGCTGTTTCAAAGTAGCATAGAGGAAAAAACAGCATGACCTTTTGTTGGCAAAGACAAATGGAGACAAAATGTGCCTTGGATACCAAAACATAACAATGAGTAAAAAAAAGGTGTTTCAGTGATTTCTGCAGGTACATCATTAGAAATGCATTAGGTTTGCTCTGCATGGGGGCTTTAAGGCTTTCTGTCGGCCTTAGATGGTACCCAATCTTTCTGCAGCTGCGTCTTTGACTCCTTCATCCAGTTTAAGAAGCGGCAGTCCAGCCATCATTAGAGCAGCTGATGTGCAGAGAGCGTCAGCTCCTCAGCTATGAATAGAAGCAGGAGGCTGCAGAGGATCAACGCTAGCAGGCCAGACTGAATCTAATCAAATGAAGCGTGTCTGGACACACTCATTCAGAGTATATGGCCCAGGATATTGGACCGACGCTGCCCTTTCATCTAAAAACGCAATTACTGAGCAGTAATTGCGGTGCTGTAATAATAACGAGACTTTAAGCAGTGTGACATCATAAAACTGTCGTCAAGAGCAACCTGACATTTAGAGTGAAGGATTGCCGTTTTTGAAGCGACAAAACGGGAAATTTGAATTTATGGGATAAAAATAACTAATATAATATGAAGAGAAATCTACAAATATGTAATTTTTAAGCTGAAATGATCGGTCAGATTTTTTTTCTCAGATTCATTAAGCAGAGCAGAAAGCCTGAAAAAAGGTGGATGATGACCAGTGATTTTATCAGATTAACACAAACATCTGGAACAGTTTGTTCTCTGGTGAGACGATGTTCCATCCTGTCTATTTCATAAAGCCAGTAGTGATGAGATCAACCGAAATAAAATGGTTTCCAAGAAAAACTGCCCCAACATCCTAGAAACACAAACCCTTCCAGATTTTCCACAAAATAAAGGAGGTCCTCTATTACCTGTCCTACTATGATTTTAAAAGAGAAAAACTAAAAACCAATAGTTGCAACTAGAACTGAAATAATTAATCAGATTAATTGTGATTAATTGCCAAATTATTCAGTAATTAATGAATCCTTAAAAGGACTACATAGACTTTAAAATATGCTTTAGCAACACATTAAAATTCAAAGACTTTTTATATAAAAATACTGGAAATAATGCATAAAGCAGTGAACAATAGTCTTCCTTCTGGTATTCAGAAATTATTTAAGTTAAGAGAGAATAAATATAATTTGCGAGGTTTGTTTATATTTGAATATGCAAAAGAGAAGAGCCAGATAAAGTCTAGATGTGTTTCAGTTATTGGTTTGAAAATGTGGAATGAATTGAATGATGATTTAAAGTTACGTCCTTTCTTGGTGAATTTTAAAAGGGCTTTAAAATGTAAAATGATAAAATCCTATGTTATGTAGATTTGAATATTTATATACGCAGTAAAGAACCTGGTAGGTTGTAAAGTTTGTAAGTAGAAAACAGGGGAAGCAATAATAAGCTTTGCTTCAGCCTATTCCTTTTTTTGGTAAATTGTTGGTTTTGATTTTATGTTGTTGTTTTGTTGTTTAATGTTGGATTATTTGCTAAAAAATGAAGTGAAAGTTACGGAAGAGGATTAGGGCCACTGAAAAAAAAAAAAAGTTAACAGATTTTTTTATTTTATTTCAGTATAGTATGGGGGAAAAAAATCAGAATCTCAATCTCAGAATTCTGACTTTAATCTCAGTTTTTATTGTCAGAATAAAGTCAGAATTCTGAGATCAAAGTCAGAATTCTGAGATCAAAGTCAGAATTCTGAGATCAAAGTCAGAATTCTGAGATCAAAGTGAGAACTCTGAGATCAAAGTGAGAACTCTGAGATCAAAGTCAGAACTCTGAGTTCAAAGTCAGAACTCTGAGATCAAAGTCAGAACTCTGAGATCAAAGTCAGAATTCTGAGATCAAAGTCAGAACTCTGAGATCAAAGTCAGAACTCTGAGATCAAAGTCAGAACTCTGAGATCAAAGTCAGAACTCTGAGATCAAAGTCAGAATTCTGAGATCAAAGTCAGAATTCTGACTTTTTTCCCATACTAAACTGAAATAAAATAAAAAAATCAGTTACCGGTAACTTTTTTTTTCCACTGGCCCTAATCCTCTTCTGTAGAAAGTAATTACGGTATACTAAGATTGTAAAAAAATAAATAAACATCTTGCGTTTAAGATAATAAAAAAAAATTATCTTGTCGATTTGCTCTATCCAAAACTCCAAAAGTTGGAAAGTTAGTTTCACCTAAATAATTGGAGATTAGTGCTTGATGGGTGCGATTCCAATGTTTTTGGCCTTTTTCTAAAGCTGTCACTGCCTGTCTGAGAAAACCTTCATTTATGTGGTTTCCACCTCAAAGGTTCAGGGTAGTGTGGTAAAAACGCATTTTTTTATTTTTTATTTTTTTTAGTTGAATAGTTTCTGACCAGTAGATACTAAACAATATAGTAATAAGCTTATATTTACAGAAACACTGTAAATGAGGCCCGGGGTAAATGCATAAGCAAAAAATGTGGACGGGAAATTATTTCAATGTTTTCTCCGTGTAATAAACCACAAAATGAGGTGAGATCCCCATTTGAGATTTACATGAGCCATTCAAAAATAAACCTTCTAATTCCTAATTTAAGAATTTATTAAATCTCGACCCTCGTCCGGAGCGATGAGGTGAATTTGAAAATTAAAGAAGAATCTGGAGAAAAAGTGAAAACGTTTCAAACCGATAGTTTGTCATAGAAGGTGTGCTACTCACTCTGTAGAACTGCATTATGTTTTCTTTTGTCAGCGTCTTCAGATGTGCAACTTCAAGGTTATCTGCAAGTCAAGCAGAAGTGCCAACATGATTAGCTGGAGGCATTTCAGAAGAAGCATCAACAGTATCTCAGTTAACAATAATGGTGAAGAAAAATGCTTCAATTTAACACATTTCCAGTACTTCCTTACATCGACACAGTACAGTATATATCTGTGTGTGAGGACCAGCTCAGAGGGGAGGAACTCCTTTGTTCTCCATCAAACTAACCCAGCAGCTGAACAGCATGTAGGATTGATATAACTGATTAGTGAAATCTGAAAAGTGTGGGATGCATTTTTACTCTGGTTTCTGTCTAAAGCATAATAAGTTTATCCAAAGACAGAATCCTGATTGAATTCAGTCGTTCTAATCTGATCAGAGCTCCTCCTTCGTCATGTTTGCTGAATGTTTATAAGCTTCTTAGCAAACCATCATCTAGCAGCTTTTATTCCCCCAAAGAGGAAGATCAATGCAGCAGGTTTTTCAAGGTGTAACTAATTTCCAATCACTGTAGATTTGGCGTGGCAGTAAAGAGGAACATCTAGAGCTCTTACCTCTGTCAAAATTATACTGCTGAGAGATGATCTCCCCCCAATATTTGGCACACTCGGCAGACAGCTTCTTGGGCTTATCCAGGCGCCGGATGGCCAGGGCCTGGATGTGTTTCTGGAAGGCTTCATCGCTCATTTGCTCCAAAGCCTTTTCCATGATAGAGAGGAAGGCCTCCACGCGGCTCTCCAGGTAGTGGGGGGCCTTCTCCGACTGGATGATGAAGCGAAGGCCTTGAACTCCGTTTGCTCGACGGGGCCCGCTAAAGACAATGTAACCTTGGAGGGATGAGACAAAACACCTTTAGATGATAAAGAATTTTAAGGGGTAATCTGGGGGTTTGGGATTAGATGGATTATTGAGCAAAAAAGGTCTGAAAATATGATCTAAACAACGACTCTCAGAAAATGGATCCAGAGGATGAATGCTGGGCAGCCTCACCCAGTTGTTCTTTGGTCCTCAGAGTGTTGAAGCAGGGCTCAGAGATGATCTGGCAGAACAGCTCCAGCAGCATGTTGTCGTTGGTGGTCTGCATGTCTGTCTGGTAGTAGATCTCAATGCCGCAGTTGTTGTGGACCTCATTCCTCTGCTGGTAAACGTACCAACCACCTGAGAGAAAATAAAAAGATACATTTAACCCCTTAAGCCCGGTGGGCCCAGTACCGGGCCCAGCTGACACCAGCTGATGTTTATCTATTTATAGAAATGGCCCAAACACAGTCACATGGTGTTTTATCCACACACCCTTCAAAAAATGTCTAAAAATGGTTTCAAATTTTTTTTTTTTTTAACAACACTTTTTGTTTTATAACTGTGTAGACAAATAAAATAAAATTTTAAATTCTACCAGAAATGTGCAACGGCAGGTATTCATTTTAAGCCCCGCCCCCTATTGGCCGGCATCATTGGAAACCAGAGGCTCAGAGCTTTCCAAGGAGGGGTCATTGTGTGACCATTTCAGGTGATGTAACCGGCATGCTCTGTTATTGTTATTTTGAATGCAGTTTGGTTATTATTGTGTGTTCAATGGTAAATTTCAATGAAACAACGGCAATCTCAGCAGCAAAGGCTTTGCTTCATTCAGAAGGTCTCCATTAATGTAAATCAGCATATTTGTCTCACCGGATTCCCTTTAAAAATGTAAAAAATGCATTTTTGCATAATTTGGCCACTTTTGGCACTGTGACAAAATCACAATTTCCACCTTGAACTCTGCCCACTAATACATTTGTGGAACAAACATGCTTCAACTTATTCAGTCCAAATTTGCTTGAGTAATATTAAAGATGTGAATCTATAAATTCTGAGGGTTCATCCAGAGTCTCGAATGGGTAGTGTCAGGGTTCCTACAGCATAAGGCAAGTTAAATTCAAGACTTTTTAAGACTTTTTAATGCCACTTGACATAAACATTTTATACCAAATTCACAAGAAACACAAGAAAAACCCGCCTGCGACAACTAAACCCTAAGGTTTATTTTAACATAAACCACTGCACTAATGTTTCAAATTTTGAAAAGCTTCCCATACAGGAAGAAAGCTAAAAAAACCAAAACTGACATATATTTTAACAATTATTTAACTGAATTCACAAACTTTGTTTTAGCAGGGAACAAAACAAATCAGTTTTAAAGCCCCAACATAACCAGTGCTAAGTCTTTTTTGCAGCTATTTTTCTTTGTATTGTTTTCTTAGTATGTTTGATTTGGTGATAAGTGGAGGCGTTGCAGAGACAAGGGTGGAACTAAACTGAGAAATACCGGCTGTTTCTCTGTAACTCGATATTGACGTTTGTGTTTCGTGCTTCGCATGCGACTCCACTGCCTTAATTCCCATCGTTCTGAGCTTGAATGACTTCTTGCACAAAATCCACTGAGCCTCATGTCTGTTCCCTGGTTTTAGCCATGGAGAAAACTCTTGGCTGGAGACAATTTTGGTTACATTTACACTTGCTCATATTTTCCAGATAAAAAGTTAATGGTGCATCTCCCAAATGTCCCGGCCGCAACAACGCTTTTATTGGTTCCGCTATCGGGACGGAACCAATAATGGCGAACCGTTATTTTTCTTAAATAATAAAAAAAAAAAAAAAAAAAAAAAAGTCAATTTTAACGTTTTATTTAGATTACAAAAATCGTAATAAAAATAATCCTATTTATGATGTTTTAAAAATTAAGACCTACAAAAAACTGATTTAAGACATTTTAATACCAATTAAGGTCTTAGTTTTATTTTGAAGAATTCAATGCCTTTTAAGACTTTTTAAAGGACATGCGGGAACCCTGAGTGTTTATTTTGGAAGAAATTTTGGCGAGGCTAAATTTTTCTTCATTTTTTCTTTAATCATCTATAAATCAGACATGGTGACATTTAAAATAGTCGTTCCACCTGAAGTATTCCTCAATGCCTTTCTGTCATACAAACACAAACAACTGTATTTCCAATTTATGGTTTTGGAGCTTAACTTGCTTTAATTCCCATATTTAATTTAAGGCGGAATTTGCTCCCAAGACCCTCTGGGCTTAAGGGGGAGAAGGTTTTTTTTTTTTTTTTTTTTTTAATCTACAAGTCATAATAAAACAACCAGTCAATAAATTCATTTGTGTCTTTCAGTTATTAATGAAAGGAATTTAAGCTACAAATAAAAGTAAAGCTTTAAGCATTTCTTTAACCTGACGTCGTTATCTGGGTGTTTTTCACATTTATTTCCACATCAATCACAAATCAGAAAAAGAAACCCATTATTCTGTGATAAATACGTGATACGATTTTAAATGAACTCCTTTTTTTATTTCTATTTTTAGGTTTATATCTAAATAAAAACATGAAACCCTTTTTTCAACATGTTGATATTTTGCCAAAATTACCAACGATGAAAAATATTAGTGGCGCTTTTAGCTCGATGTTGTGGAATTTCAAAATAAAATTTACATGGAAAAACTAAAGATATAAAAACTCTTTTCCATTTTTGTCAAAGTTATTGTGGGATGTAGAAAGAGCCACTGATGTGGAGAATAAACCACAGCAGCAAAGAGAAATACTTCCAGGTGCTAAAAGGTGTGAAGAAAGATTGCAGTTCTTTTAGCTGCATGAAGCAAAAGTAAATATGAACATGATAAGTTTCAGTAGAAGTATTCAGGACTGTGCTTCAGGGATTGTATTTTTATTTTCCAGCCCTGCAGCAGAGTTCACACAGAGGACAGTGGCGACACTCTCCAGACATGCAGCGACATCCTCCTAAATGTCAACTTCTTGCTTTCAAGCCAAGTGGCTCCAAACTCAACTCTTCTAATGTTTCATCTGTTCTAGGAATCATCTGGAGAAGAGCAGCCAGGAGGAAAGCGAAATGCGGTTTGAGACCCGGCTCCTTCAGCTCCACCTTGTTTGAAATTCTCTTTGAACTGGAGACGAGCCGCGAAGGAGGCTTTCCGTTCTTGCTGACAGAGCTGGATGGCTGAACACTCAGCCCTCCTGCTTCTCTCTGCATGTCACAGGTTTTACTTGTTAAGCACAAAAAGCAAAACATATTCTGCAGACGCAGGGAGTTAGAAAAGTGCTAAAATGAAGAGCAGGAAGTCCAACAGTGACAGAGAATGTCACTCTCTTACTGTTCCACGAGTCTTCAGTCTAAACCGAAGAGAGAAAGGACACTGTGCCACTGCAGATAAGCTGCTCAAACAATCAACTGGAGATCTAGCACGCTGCAAAGCTTTAATTATAAACCATTGGCAACACATGATGGCGCTAAGAAATTAACAGCAAACAGATCATCTTTTTTAAGGGAATCTGCAAATAAAATCAAAGCTCATGGTTTCCTCATTTTACATAATTCCTCGTAAGAGTATTCAGACCCTGAATTATTATAATTATTAAATTATTCATCAAGCTACAATTAAAAACGCCTCAATATATTGTGCAGGGATTTAATAGCAAAGAGCAGTGAGGTGGAAGGAAAAGGTTGCTTCTCAAATGTGCGATGAGCATCTGAAGTCAGATTTTGAAACAGTTTTAGCTTCAATCACAGCTGCAGGTCTCTACTGCTTTGCTCATTTAGACCAATTCTTTTTCTAGTCTTGCCACAGATCATTAAACCCCACTATCTCTGGAGTGTATCAAACCATGATGAAAAAAATCTAATTTGTTCCATTGTAGTCCTGGCTGTAGTTATAGTAATGGATATATCTATGAGTAGATCTATCCATAAAAATAAAAAGCATTCCCATAGCATAATGCCACCACCACCATGTCATTGTGAATCTTCAGGGTTACACAGAGTGAGCTTTCTTAGGGTTCCTACAGCATAAGGCAAGTTAAATTCAAGACTTTTTAAAGGAATAGTACACCCAAAACATGATTAGCCTTCATTTTCTACTCACCCCCATGCTGAACAACACTCTGGAGTACTTTTTTGATATCTCAATTGCATCTGGAGATCTGGGAGGCTTCTTGCTGTCTGCTGACATTCAAATAATGGAGGTCTATGGCGCCCGAGGCAGAAAGGTCCATAAAAGTCCACAAAAAACGTGTCAATATTCCTCCATACTGCTCGTCCAATGTATTCCAAGTGTCCTGAGTGGGTAGCGTCCATAATTTACTCAAAACGAAGCCATTTAGAATGTTTTTAGAGCATAAACAGTAGTGTATAGGATTTCCTGAAAGCGCGCGCCTGCGAGTTCACGAGTCTACGGAAACCGTGGCAGACTAAACCAGATGAAAGTGCGCATTCAGCTCAGCAAAGAACTCATGCTCTTCCTCAACACTGAAGTCCTCAGACATTTTTCTTTCGTTGTTTCTTTGCACAGGTAAACAGCACATTTCTTCTTCTACGCTTGCATTATTGGAAGAGCAGACGCTGAATGCGCACTTTCATCTGGTTTGGTCTGCCGGCTTCCGTAGCGTCATGAACGCACAGGCGCCACTTTCAGGAAATCCTATACACTACTGTTTATGCTCTAAAAACATTCTAAATGACTTTGTTTCGAGTAAATTCTGGATGCTACCCACTCAGGACACTTGGAATACATTGGACGAGCAGTATGGAGGAATACTGACACGTTTTTTGTGGACTTTTATGGACCTTTCTGCCTCGGGCGCCATAGACCTCCATTATTTGAATGTCAGCAGACAGCAAGAAGCCTCCCAGATCTCCAGATGCATTTGAGATATCAAAAAAGTACTCCAGAGTGTTGTTCAGCATGGGGGTGAGTAGAAAATGAAGGCTAATCATGTTTTGGGTGTACTATTCCTTTAAGACTTTTTAATGCCACTTGAAACAAAAATTTAAGACCAAATTCACAAGAAACACAAGAAAAACCTGATTGCGACAACTTTACCCAAAGGTTTATTTTAACATAAACCACTGCACTAATGTTTCAGATTTTGAAAAGCTTCCCATACAGGAAGAAAAGCTAAAAACACACAAATGACAGATATATTTGAAAAATTATTTAACTGAATTCACAAACTTTGTTTTAGCAGGGAACAAAACAAATCAGTTTTAAAGCCACAACATAACCAGTGCTAAGTCTTTTTTGCAGCTATTTTTCTTTGTATTGTTTTCTTAGTATGTTTGATTTGGTGATAAGTGGAGGCGTTGCAGAGACAAGGGTGGAACAAAACTGAGAAATACCGGCTGTTTCTCTGTAACTCCATTTTGACGCTTTGTGTTTCGTGCTTCGCATGTGCGACTCCACTGCCTTAATTCCCATAGTTCTGAGCTTGAATGACTTCTTGCACAAAATAAACTGAGCATCATGTATGTTCCCTGGTTTTAGCCATAGAGAAAACTCTTTGCTACATTTACACTTGCTCATATTTTCCGGACAAAAAGTTAATGGCGCATCTCCCAAATGTCCCGGCTGCAACAACGCTTTTATTGGTTCCGCTATCGGGACGGAACCAATAATGGCGAGCTGTTATTTTTTTTTTTAAATAAAAAAATAAATTGTCAATTTTAACGTTTTATTTAGATTACAAAAATAAATTGTAATGAAAATAATCCTATTTATGTTGTTTTAAAAATGAAGACCTACGAAAGACTGATTTAAAAGATTTTAATACCAATTAAGGCCTTAGTTTTATTTTGAAGAATTCAATGCCTTTTAAGACTTTTTAAGGACCCTGCTTCTGATTCGTGCATCATTTTATATTTGGGCCAATAATTTACATCCGGATTTTACATGAAACCGTCACCATGGTGTTCAGTGTCTCCTCCTAGCTGCTCTTCTGAATAATCATCATACGGAGTCTAATTCACCAACAGGAGAGTTTTATTTGCTCAGCAGCTTCTGACAGTAACTGTTTGGGTTGGATTTAGTTTGAACCAGATGCAAAAAAAAAAAAAAAAGAAAGTGCTGAACACAGTTTTATTCATGAAAATAAAAATAAGAGAAATAAATTCAATGTGCCACTTTATGCTCGTTTTGTCTCCCCCAAACATCCACTTGGGTGTGTGGTTGTAATTCCCCACATATAAACCCTTTAGGAGGCAATTGTTACTGCTGCCCAGAAATGGAGCCATTTCTCCTGTTGCTGCTTCAATGTCTGCAGTCTGTGAGAGGATGTAAACATGTGTTCGTCATAGTCTATTTTTCTTTGTGGCCTTTATAACCTGTCCGCTGCTGTGTGTCAGACACACCAGGTGGTCCAACACAACTCTGCTTCTCTTCCCTGATCCAATGTGAGGCACAGCACAGGTACCTCTGCTCCTGAGTGTTCATCCGTGTTGAACTGAAGGGGGGAGTGTCAGGCTATGTACCCAATCTACCCGGTGACGTCTGTTTCCACTCACTGGCTATCATGTTCCTCTAGGGTGAATACAGAATGCTGGATTTAATCAGATCTTTTTACACCAGAAGGCGTCAGCAGTGACGGAGGCAGGACGGCTGGGTACTGCTGGGTCACGATGGAGATGACTCGGACCAGCAGAGGATGATTAACAATGATCAACCTGTGTGTGACGGAGAGGAAAATGTGGGGACCTACCGTCTGGAACCTGCACCTCTCTGTAGCGAATCAGCTGGCTCGGGAGGAGGGGCTTTGTGTGAGCGTGCTCAATGAGTGTGTCCTCAACCATTTGCACCATTCCCAGCGCAGACTAGAAAAAAGGCACAGATAGAAAAGACATTTTCTCATATTTTGTTGCTGGAAATGTTCCAAACATCTTTATTTAATCCAACTTTCAACCAGTGACTTTTATATAGACACACACTACCGTTCAAAAGTTTGGGGTCACATTGAAATGTCCTTATTTTTGAAGGAAAAGCACTGTACTTTTCAATGAAGATAACTTTAAACTAGTCTTAACTTTAAAGAAATACACTCCATACATTGCTAATGTGCTAAATGACTATTCTAGCTGCAAATGTCTGGTTTTTTTGGTGCAATATCTACATAGGTGTATAGAGCCCCAGCGACTATTACTCCAGTGTTCTAATGGTACAATGTGTTTGCTCATTGGCTCAGAAGGCTAATTGATGATTAGAAAACCATTGTGCAATCATGTTCTCAAATCTGAAAACAGTTTAGCTCGTAACAGAAGCTACAAAACGTACCTTCCTTTGAGCAGATTGAGTTTCTGGAGCATCACATTTGTGGGGTCAATTAAACACTAAAAATGGCCAGAAAAAGAACTTTCATCCGAGAATCGACAGTCTATTCTTGTTCTTAGAAATAAAGGCTATTCCATGCGAGAAATTACTAAGAAATTGTAGATTTCCTACAACGGTGTGTAACACTCCCTTCAGAGGACAGCACAAACAGGCTATTGCAGGTACTATTTAATGAAGATGCCAGTTGGGGACCTGTGAGGCGTCTGTTTCTCAAACTAGAGACTCTAATGTACTTATCTTCTTGCTCAGTTGTGCAACGCGGCCTCCCACTTCTTTTTCTACTCTGGTTAGAGCCTGTAGTGTATATGGATTTCTAAGAAAGGTGGTAAAAGCGTAGCCTGGGTGCCATTCCGAAGACATTTTTGACCTCTGCTCAATTTTGAAGCGTGGTTAAGTTATGCTACGCCACAACGCAAGAGGGACAATCGCACACTAGCTGTGGGTCTAGATACAGCCGAGCCGGTGAGGACGAGGGGGCAAGTTTGTTTGACGACAGAGGGACATGAGGGCGAAAAGAGTGGAGATCCAGGTGGGAAAAGGGTCCCAGCGTTCTTGCACACCTCACTCTTCTAGCTGGTCCAACTTCACGAGTCGTTTTCCGCAATGGAGGTCATACAAACAAGCCGGTAAGGTACCAAATTGGAAATACGCGTAAGTAGAACAGATCAGAATCAGAGGCCTGCAGACACTGTCTGCAGTCACCTACAATTTGGGAGAGGTGCAGCAAAGTGTCTGCTCATTATAAAATGAGCCTTTAAAGGTGTATTGGAGGATTTGAATTTGATTGGAGTGAGAGGAAACGCCTATTGAAAGTGTGTGAGAGCATGCAGAACCCCATTTCTCCTCATTTTACTAGCAGTGATGTGAAATGGATTTCTCCAAATAGCATGCCACATTTTAACTGTCGAGTAGAAACTTTGCAGCCGAGGCGTCAGTGGGAAGCCTGGCCTGGGCTTTCAGTGTACGGCATCGTGTGAAACAATCTCCCAAAAACAGGTCTTGTTTCTGTCTTCTGAGGCCTTTCTCTTCTTCTCACACACTTTTTAGAGACTTTACCTCTTATGACACCTTAGCCATGCGCAAATAACCGCGGTGAGAAAGGCGAGCTTCAACTACTGACTGAAACCGTAGCTCACCACACATACAGTATAAGCATGAAAGTGCGCATGTGCAGAAAAAGATAGCTAACTGGGGATGAGCATGAAAGGATGGCCTTATTTTAACATGTCACCAGATTGATTGACAAATAGGAGGACCTCTTATTTAGATGATGCACCCAGAAAAGGAATATCCTCCAATATACCTTTAAGTTTCTATAGATGTTTGGGGCTGAAGGCAGGAAGGATCTCCTCTAGCTGTCTGTATCACAGCGGTTTTAAAGCCTCTGACTGAAGACAGTCATAAAGAGAACAAGGTTTTTAATTTTATGTAAAATGATTTGCCGTAAAATCATCTCCAGAGGTTCCCACGGTAAAACCGGCCTTCTCTTTTGAGCTTAGTGAGGTAATTTGCTCTGATACTAGTCCTTCTCTGGTCATCCTGTTATGTTGGTAAAGTGTCACAATTAAGGCTGCAACAACGAATCGATAAAATCGATAAAAATCGACTTTTAAAAGCGTTGGCAACGAATTTCATCATTGATTAGTTGTGTCGCGCGATTATTGCGTCATCCGCCGCGCCGTCATCACTGCCTCTTGACTGAAAGAGGAAGAAAAAAAAAAATATGGCAGAGCGAGTCAGCGCCGCAGGAGCAGTGTTGCCAACTCAGCGACTTTTCAGACCCCTCCAGCGACTATTTTCAAAAAAGCGACTAGCGACAAATCTGGCGACTTTTTTCGGTTTCACTGGCGGCTTTTGGAGACTCTTACGTGAAAGCATGTATCGTTCCTACTCCGCCGTGGGGCGCCTCCCCCCACTCCCGCAGGAGTCCCTCTCAGCGCTGCAGTCAGAGCCTCAGCGTCCAGACTGCAAATGAAGCGCGCATGCACCGGGATTGACGGCGCAAATTGATCACAATAATTAAAATAGCCTGCGCTTTGTAAAGCGAAAAAAGTGATAACATGCAACTTTTTTCAAAAGAAATTAACATGGCACGGAACCACCATGTTTGTTTGGTTTTAAAGTGGGGAAACGTAACGTTAGTTTCTCAGGTAGCTCATCTGATGCTTTCCTTACCGTGTTAGTAGGTTACAGACAGTGATAAGGTTGGCTACTTATTTTACTTTTAATTTCATTTGAATTAGCTTAAGCAGCGTTTACATTTACTTTATAAATAAATTAACTTGCAAATTATGAGGGCAAGGCTTTTAAAGTTTAAATCTTCTGGCGAAGATAAAGTAAAGAAGATCCTGCAATTTATGGAAGTAAAGCAGAATAAAATCCAGCAAGATCAGTAATATGTCAATTAATTATATGCCACACTCCCATGTAAATTGGAGTCTTTGGAGGATGTGTTTTTTAGCACCCCTAGTTCTCTCATTTTTATTCCAAATACAATTTATAATTTGAATCACAGGGCTATTTTTATCTCTATGGTTCAGTATTTTCTCAAGTAGCAACTTTAACTGCTATACTTTCCTGTCTTAAAAGGCAGAACTCTTCTAGTCTAAAAAAACTAATTTGTTGAAATGGGGGGGCCTATTGTTTGAACCCCTTAGGGGCTTTTAAAAACAAAAATGTCTTTTTTTGCGCTTTATGAAACAAAGTACCCTATATTTTGTGGATGTACAGCTACATTTCTCATGTAAGTTTGCGTAGTTTTAACACAAACATTTATTTTTCATATTGCACCAGTACAGTTAATGAGCAACCTGTACTTGTGTGCTTGTTTGTTCTGTCTAAAATGTTTATCTTGGAATAAAGAGGTTAATATAAAAAATATTTTTTGTCCGATTCATCGATTAATCGAAAAAATAATCGTCCGATTCATCAATTTTTAAAATAATCGTTAGTTGCAGCCCTAGTCACAATGCAAAGTTTATGGAAAAGTGCTAAAAAAAAAAAAGATTCTACCACTACTATAGAACAAAATATGAATAAAATACACAATATAATTAAAGCTGCTAATATTTTTCTCTGTTACTTATAAGATTATCATAGTTTAATAATCGACTATTTAACCTGATCTTAGGAAACAGGAACAAAAATAAAAAGCAATTCTCCAAAGTAAAAAGGGATTGAACAAACCTCCTTGGGGATGTTGCCATGGAGCAAGGCCTCAATATGTAACCGTGACAATAGCTGAGGTATGAAGGCCCTAAGGCGTGGGAGAGTTACATCTGGAACACAGATTACAGAAATCTATCAGAGCATTTCTCTCTGGGCATCAGAGGTGAATCCGAAAGAAAACAATGACAGCATTTTCTTTGAACGTGGCAGAAATTCCTCAAATAAACCCAAACCAGCAGTTTGGTGTCAGACGGCCATGCAAGCTGCTGAAATACTCACATAAATTACGCTTAGACACACAATCAGCTGTTATTAGTCTAAAGAGTGAGAGAGAAATCTCAAAATGAGGTCAGAAGGAATTGCTTGGCAACAAGCTCTGGTTTGCGGAGGCTCAGGTGAACAATCATCCCTGCAGGAGGATATAAAAAGGTAAAACATAACAACCCAGACGGCAGCTGTTGGGGAATAAAAACCCTCAACATCGAAAGAGACGAAGATTTAAATGACAAAACCAGAGATTAGAGAAAAGCGTCTACCTTACGTAAAGAAACAGGCACATTTATCACATCACACATCAACCTAACCTTTATGCTTTGCTCTTTATTTCATCATTTCTAATTAAAGGCGAGTAAAGAGAAATCCTGACTGAGAACACATGTCTCACCATCAAGAGCCTCTCTGAGCTCGTCTTTGGTCCACGCCACCTCAGTCATCAGGAGACGGAGGTAGTACATGGCATGCTGGTGCGGCTGCTCGGCTCGGAAGTTGTTTAAAGTCCTCATGTACTGAAAGGAGAAGGTCGACGTTAAGACTTTAGAAAATAAGTCATAAAATGCTACAGTGATCTAGAGGAAATCTGAACTTACTGCTTCTTTAATAATGTCGAAGCGCTTCTCGTCGATCTCGAATGTTGCCATCTTCTCAATGATCTTCTTCAGCAGGATGTGGGATTTATCATTGTAACCTTTGACTGTAAGCTGCAGTAAACCGCAGCAGAAAATATGCGATAAATAAAACTCTATAAAGAAAGACTAAAGCATGAAAGACAGTCAACAATACAAAGAAGGTTTTTCTAAATGTCATCAGCTTGAATCAAAGAGTGAATTTATGACAGTGGTGTCTAAAAACTGAAGGTGTTCTGTGTGACCAGACTGACAGGACTCCAAAGGTAGATTGAAATTAAGTTTTACGAAACCACAACTGACGATCTTTTTAGACCTAGCTTGAAGTTTAAATGCCTTAAAATGTAAGGCAAAAACTCAGGAAGAAGGAAATTAAATAAAGAAGGAAGGTAAGCAAAAAAAAAAAACAAACAAAAAAAATAAATAAAGAATAGTGTTGCACTGATGGCATTTTTTGGCCCCGATACCTGGCTGTGCAGCATTAGCCGATACAGATACCATCCGTTTGAAATTTATGTGTGTGTATTTATGAAGAACTGCATACTACTTGTGTTCTGAAGGCTGCATGCCTTAGATGGGGACTTGGGCTGATCCGGCCACTAGGGGGCGCACGCATGCTCAATCGGGCTGGATGCCACTACTAGGAGGGAAAGGAAGAGACTGACGACGGTGATGAGTGTATTACAAGTAACAGGTTGTGTTTGTAACGTTGTGTCCAGAGAAACTTAAGTTATATTGTTTTTGCTGGACGAAATTATTGTTGCTTTATGTTTAATCTGTTAGGCCGGCTGGTTGAGTTATATCTGGTGCTACAGTTCATATTGCTAGCAGTGCTAATTGCTAGTTACCTCAGATGGTTTAAATGGTAATTTATGTTATATTTATGCTACTGACCATTTCCTTTGTTGTTAGTGCCGGACATATATAACTATTATTTCATTTGTGTGCTATTGTTAAATATATTAATAATTGTTATTATTTGTTGTTGATTGTTTAATCAAATTGTTATTATGTTCCAGAACCACACTGGATTAAAGTGCCATAAAAGGACTGACTGTCTCCTTCATTATTTTATAAGTCTTGGGGGAACTTAGTGCGTTTTGACAGACGCACAGTTCGTGATTACAAATCAGAGAAGCCAGTCTAATAACTTTGAACTAGGGATGCACGATATAATCGGCCCCCTATCGGTATCGGCCTGTATCGGCCTTAAAACTGAATATCGGACATCGACCATCCAACCGATATTTAACCCAATATTTGATCAGCTTCTGAGTTTCTAAAGTATAAAAAAAAAATACTACTTCTTCTTCTTCCTCAAAAACTTCTTTTTTAACAGACTTAAAAACTTCTAAAGACGAGGGAAAAAATATTGATACATTAAAATATCCCAATATCTTCATATGCTGATATATTGCCATTTAAAAACACCATATCAATCTCTTTTACTAATGAAATATTGCTATATGTCATCGTTATGCTACGAAATCCCCCGAAAATTCACGAAATTTTGCCATATTTTTATATGTTGATATATTGACACGGTATCGATCTATTTTACTAACAAAATCTCACAAGAATTTGCAAAATATCACGAGAGTTTGTAACAGAACGATGAAATTTCACGAGATTTTAAAAAGTAAAATAGATCGATACCGCGTTTTAAAAAAACAATTTGATATCAGCATATGAAAATATATTTGAGTATATTATATAAGTGTCAGAAATGGATGACAAAACTGCTATATTCAATGACTACTTATTTTTTACCAGCTTTAACATCGGTATCGATATCGGTTATCGGCTACATGAGTTTTAAAATATCGGCATATCGGATATCGGCCAAAATCCTAATATCGTGCATCCCTACTTTGAACCTCCCCTACAACTTGGATGTAAAATAATTTCCATCATGGCTTTATCAAGATGCTGCCTACCTTTGTGAAGCAGGAAAAACACTAATACAAAGTGAATCCAGTAGAACCTTTTATTGCCTACCTGGAATGGGTGACAATAGTTGAATAAACTTTTGGCTCTCTAAATGGTATCAGTGCCCTATTTTTTGGTACTCGCCGATACCGATACCACCATTTTAGTGCTGGATCTGGGCCCCGTCTGATACTGGTATCAGTGCAACACTAATACAGAAGACAAAATAAAATGCCAGTAAAACAGGCAGGGTTGATAAAAGGAAGGAAATTTAAGATGAACAAACAGGCAGCCAAATGGTGAGGTGATGAAATAACAGATGACTGAAGGGAGAGAGGAGGGATGGATGTTTGAGATCATGGGAATAATTCACACATTTGAACAATATTTTATCTCCCCTTTTCTTTTTATATTTGGGGAAGTAATAAAGGCATTTTTATTTTTATACTATCCCTGACACACCTTGTGTGCAGGAACACTGTAAAAAAAATAGCTTAATACTTCAGTTTAAAGTCTTAGTTTAAAACTCTTTGCTTTTTCTATGTATTTTTTTTTTACATTCTTCATTTTTTTTTTTTTGACGAAGATTAATTCTTGTTTTTTAAACCCTAAAGAATGCATTTTAGGAAATCAATAAGTAGGAATCTGGTCCCTGCTCTGCTAAGGGCTAAATAATCCTGTTATAATCTAAAACCTATAATAAATAAGCATTTCCTCTGCAGAGTTGAACACTTCCTGTTCATGTCCCCCGGCTCCGCATATCCTGGGAATACAGAAGTCACCCTAGCAGATGATAATGGAGATTTTTAAGACAAATCATGATTTAAAACTGGAAAAAATGATCAAGGTTATTGAGAGCCTTTCAAACGGAAGTCCTTCATGAATCAGCACATCCTCCCAGTGCAAAGCTCCGCTCCCTGCGGTGACACCTGATAACGACATCACCGACCTCAACAGCCGGCCAGCACAATACTGCTGACGCATGGCGGTTACCTGCAGCCATAGTCACTCTACCTCAGTGTGGTGAAAAACCATGTCTACGAACACAACGGTCATAAATTCACTGTGGAGACGAAGCTGATAACTGCTTGTTAATTTTCACAAACATGGAGCAGAATGTTAGTGAGGAAAGATGAATGCATGAAAGAAGAAAAGCAAAAAAGATCAACCGATTTCATTTACAGAGACTCAGGAACAAACACATGCAAAACGCCTGGGATAGAATATTTGGAAGTCAAACTGCATCAATGTTCATCACCAAGAATCCCCTGATTACCAGACGAAATTTATTAGCTATTTAAATTTATGAAGCTGTCAATATGTTAGCATGATTTGATGAAATTTCTCTCTCTAACATGACAATGAAAACATTTCAGAACAGAAGCCAGGGTGTAAACTAATGTAACTAAGTCCAAAAACATTTAGTGCGTCTTAATAGGAAGACGTAAATATATATATATATATACTTTTTTTTTTTGTTTTTTACCTGTTTCTCACTTTATTCTTCCTACCACTCCCTAGTTAGTGTATTCTAACCCTTTTTTCTTCTATAGAAAGTACTCCTGGTCCCAAGCTTCTTTGTTAAGCTGTAAAGTTTCCTTACACACACCAATTTCCTCCCATCCATCTTCGGGTCCCTCCATATATGCTGATCAATATAGGGGTGCCTTCCATTTTGTGTTTTAAAGGGGAGTAGTTACTCTACAATGTAAACACATGCTTGTTTAAGCTCTATGCAAGTCTAGGGACTGCAAACAAATACAGTTGAAACCAGATATTTACATGCACTGTAGAAACACTTAAGCTTTTTTTCCCCCTTAAAATCTGACAGAATAATATTTCCCAATTCTTGATCACTTAGGATGACATTTAAATTATTAGAAAAAATTGGATTATTTATTTCTAAGTTATTCATTCACCAACATGACATTAGAAACCAATCATGTTATCTTTAAACTGAAATTTTCTGTGCTTTTATAGAAGATTTAACAGTTTACTGAAATTTCAGTCCAGTGGCTAAACTGATCTAAACCTTCTATGTGACTGAAATCAGGGCTAATGAAATGCATATCCAGGGCTAAGTTGCAGCATATTTGCTTGTATGTTTGAGCTGACTGTCCATTTAAAAGACCAACTGGAGTCAAAGATTTAAAATCCACGCAGCTGTCTTTATATTTAGCTTCAATATTTCAACATAATGTTCCTTCCATATGATTTCACCCATTTTATAAAGCACACTATTCTCTCCAGCAGCACAACATCCTCACATGCTGCCACCGCCGTGTTTCACAGGTGGGATGTTGTTAGAGGCTTGTAAGCTCCCTCTTTTATGTTGTTTTTGGAGTATTAGCTTCTTCCTCTCCAAATGTATCTGATAATAGAGAACCTTTCTAATAAGTTTGGATAGCATCTTAAAAAAGACTTTTGCTTTTTTTTTTAGGGTTGATTTTCTATCAAAACACTTCCTCCTTAGCCCTTTAAAGCCCGATCCAAGAATAAAACAAAACAGAAAATTTCTTTTTTTTGGTTTGTAGTCCTTATTTGGCCTTTTAATAAAATATGTAAAAAGAAAAAAAACAGAAATACATTTTTGATATTAATAATTTATTACTATGCGATAAGTCAAGTATATTTTTTGTGTAGTCTTCTGCCCTCTGTTATCAGGTATATCTGATTGTGTACAATAGGATTTTAAGCAAAGTTTTTACCATTAAATTATGCAAAAGGTGTCAGACGCAAAACATTTCTGAAACTGTATGTATCAAATATGATACATTTGGCATTACAGGGTTAAGGACAGAGAACCTGTCTAATTCCTGAACAATATCTGGATCCTCGCCATGCTGCTTAATCTTGCATATAAATGGATAAACATGACGCCATCAGAAGAAGCTCCATATTTCTCCTCCCAACATTTTGCGTCTGAGGTGGTTATAATTGTGCTTCTATTCAACTCAAATGTTGTGTATTTTCAGAGGCATATGAAGCCGTGACATCATTTGAGGCTTCCCATAAAGTTCATAAAGTTAAAGGGGAAAAGTAATAATAATTTGAGCAAATCTCTCAGTTAAAAGAAAGCTATTCTATTCCTTATTCTGGGTCATCCCAAGTAAAAAAAAAACATTTAAAAAACAGTCTGCTTTTAGCATGCTAATATCTGGTTCCAAGTGTAGATCATGAAGAACGCGTTATCCAAACTTAGCATAGAAAACCAAGCCATAGAGCTCTGTTAAACCCCAAGAGTAGATCCTTGAACCAGCTTACACACTCCAAACGGCTTACTTACGATGATAGCATTCATTCCAGAGGCTATGCCATATACTAGCCCGGCCAGGCGGGCTGCATATGTATACTCTATTAAATCATCCTTCAGTAACCTCAGAAACAAGTAGGTCATGTTGCAGTGCAGGGGAGATGCATAAAGGTAGCGGCTAATGGAAGAAAAAAAAAAAAAAAGAAGGAACAAATGCATAAAAAGTGATGTTTCTTTTTAAGGATGGGTTGGACCAACACAAGGAAACAAAAAAAAAAACAATATAAGAATGATTTAAAAAGTAGTGTAGAGTATGTATATGCAGCCTCATAACCAGCTTACTCTCGCAAAACAAAGACTTCTCAAAGGAAAGGTGCCGCTACATTTGGAAAATTCTTGAAAACGAAGTACTAATGTGGTTGATAAGCAATGCAGTAGCACAGGTGAAGGGAGGGAGAAAGATGGCGATTAAAATGAAGGCTAGACTGACCAAGCCTGGGCTGGAAGGCAGGTGAGATTAAACCTTTTTTAGGTGAAAGGTTCAGGATTTCTAAACGAAACTAAAATTTTTATACAAATTGAATAAAAAATGGAACAATATGATTAACAACACGCCAGGGCTGTCCTGAGACTGTGTTGTTTTACCACCAAATACAGAAAAATTTAGAGAAAGTCTAATCATCGCCTATGAACCCAGGACAGGTTGAGTGAGTCAGGGGGAGCAGGTGGGTCAATGAGGTCTAGGAGGCGACGTGAGGGAAGGAGGGATACTTACATACATCCCATAGACGGTATTTTGGAGGTCATAGCTCAAGCCTGCTAGCTCAGCTGCATATGCATACTCGTTGAGGGAGTCCTTGAGGAGCTCCAGGTACAAATATGCCATGTTACAATGCAATGGGTCCACGTATGCAAACGGGCTGCAGAAAGAATTACAGCGGTCAAACATTACATACAAACAGTTCCACTGAGGCTGCAGCCACAGGTTGACTACCTGCAACAGAACTAATCAGTCCGTCGCTGTAATCTGCCCTCACTGGAGGAGTCTGCATGGACTGTGAGGCAAGATATTTTATTTCATCCAGACCAAGCAGATCTACTTGAACACTTGCATTCTATCAGCCTGTCAGCCATCTTAGCTGTCAGACTTAATTTAACTGAAGAAACAAAATCCAAATTATAAATTTAAAGGCTACTAAAAAACTATTTGAGTAAAAAAAAATAAAAAATGTTTTTACGCAATTTTCAACATTTTAAAATTATGAAGTCAAAACATCCCGAGTTCGGTTAGTGGGAGCTAAGGGTTTAAGTTAACATTATTCCTGGAAACTTACAAAACTGCTATATTAAAAATAAATCTAAATAAATAAATTATTAAATGAAACTTAACATCAACTTCAAAACAAAAGTTGAGCTAACTCATTTAAAAATGTGCCTGCCAGCGTAAACACTTGGGAAAATGATGAAAGTTAAGAACAACCCCGTACCTCAGTGGATACAAACTTGCATTAAAGTAGGATTTATATGGCATAAAAAAATAAAAAAATTAATAAAATGCAAATAAAAAGAATATTTGATTCTCCAGTGCAATTCAACTAAGGAGGTGATTAATTTGGTTCAAACATAAAGGAGCAGCAGAAACCTGCTGGAAATGTGGCGAATGAACAGAAATAAATTACAGTCATCCTATCACCAGTTCACCAGTTTGAATCAGTTGGCTTATAAGGGGATAATAAAAAATCCCTAAAGTATCAGTCAAAAGAGAACACAAAATTCCAGAGCTTTTTAAATATACCCAGGAAAAATCTGGACAGGTTTTACTAGAGCTGGGCGATATGGCGATATATATCGTGAGGACGAGAGAAACATGTCTATCGTGACCTTTCTCCTCTATTTTTTCTATCGTGATAAACTTTTTTATTATTATTATTACTGCTAATATACATTTTAATATAATTTGTTAATATAACATTTTGCGTTTTTGCTATGCAAACTCTAAGTGTATATAACGAAAAAAAAAGAGAATAAAAAGATAATGTGTAGAGAACGTGGTTTTGCGGCACTACACCGCTTTACGTCACGCGGCTTTGCACCATACGTTTGCGACATTACTGACGGAGAGAGCCCGCGAAATTTCTTTCTGGCTTGAAAAAAAATGAATGATGGACACCCAAGAAGATGTTACCACAGCAGCGGTTACAGAGTCCGAAACGGTTGCCAGGTCACAGACACAACAAACACCACTTTTGCCCAAAAGGGGAGGCAGCTCGGTTGTTTGGTTATATTTCGGATTTCAGCCATCTGATAAAGAACAAACGCAGCCGATATGTAAACTGTGCAGCAAAGCCGTTCCAGCGGCTGATGCAAATACTTCCGGCCTCTTTTACCACCTGAAGAAAAATCATGAACAAGAACACGGGAAACTACAACCACTCCGATCAAAACAAACAAGGGATGAAAATACAGGAAGCACTGGAAAGAAATTCTCACAGCCGAAGCTTAAGGAAGCATTCGCCCAAGGATCACAATATGAGAAGACGTCTCAGCGACACAAGCAGATCACAGGTGCTATTTCAAGTGTGACGATCCCCTTCTGTCCAGTAGGTGTCTCTAGTCCTCTACATGTTTGTTCTTGTTTTTTTTCAGGAAGCAGGTAGATGGACTGTTAATTGCACACACCGGTGAATGATAAAAGGGGACGACTAGTCAGTCACTCGCTCTGCTTGTTTGCCCTCCGGACCAGGCCGGAACGAGCAGCATTGGTCCACACTTCTCTCCGACTGGCTGGCCTGATCTCACGGAGCATTTTTTTTGTAATCAATAAATCGTTGTTGCTATGGATCCGCTCGTCTGTCTCCCTTTTTGTCCTCGCCCTTGAGATGGGCGTGACAAATGGGGGCTTGTCAGTTTGAACCCGGATTGGAGATCAGCTTTCAGGTAGTGTGTTGAGTTGTGAACTCTGTTTTGTTGGGGGACGTTGACGAGCGTGCTGGGTTTGGTGAGTGAGGCAGCCGTTGTACATCTATTCTGAGAGAGTGTGTTTGTGTAGCAGTGATCGCTCCTTCATAGCAGGTCGCGGTGGTTCTGTCCCTGTCAGGCTTAACAACGATTTCCCTTATGGAGTTTGTTGTGGGGGGATTTTAGTGTGGTGTGAACGTGGGAAGAGCAGTTGTCTCGGGAGCACATCCGGAGTTGCAGGGAGTCGCCATTTATTGGTTGCTTTTTCGGACTCTCGGGCGTTAGTGCATAAATACCCATCACAAGTAACACCCGAAGACTAGCGGGGGAGATTAGCTAGATTCTGGTTAGGCAGTTAGAGGGACGGGGTCGCTGTGACGTTGTGGTTGTTTTGGGAGCGTGGGAGCTCAGAGTGCTACTGGTTGGAATTCAGGTGTTGTGTGGATAACTGTAGATGTTATGGCTGCTGTTGAGGATTTTTTGCGGGATCCGTCTGAGGAGGGGTTGGAGCGCTGCACACGCGAACAGTTACTAAAGATAGCTGAACATTTTACGTTGGAGGTCAGTGACAAGCGGTCTAAGGAGAGTATAAAAGCCGCCATTAAAGCTAATTTAACTGACTCCGGTGTGTTAGGACAAGCCAAGTTGCAAGCTGGCGCGACGTGGTTGGACACTGGCGTTTTTGATACTAGATTGACTTTTGAACAAAAGCGGGAGCTGCTTTTACTGCAGGCTGGGATAGAACAGAAAAGATTGGATGTGAAAAGGCTGGAGTTGGAAGAACGCAGACTGAGCTCAACTAGTGCGGGCAACGTCCCCCTTGATGCTTCCGGTAGGGGGGCGTCTAGCTCGTTTGATGTGGGGAATAATCTGCGTTTAGTTCCTCAGTTTTCTGAATGGGATCCGGATACCTTCTTTTCCCTGTTTGAGCGTGTTGCTGATAGTCGAGGTTGGTCTGATTTGGACCGGACACTGCTTTTACAGTGTGTGTTCACAGGCAAAGCACAAGAAGCATACTCTGCCCTCACAGGGGAGGAAAGTAAAGTTTATGCCACTGTGAAGAAGGCTGTTTTAACAGCTTATGAGTTGGTACCAGAGGCTTACCGACAGAGGTTTCGGACATGGGAGAAGGCTGGGAAACAAACCCATGTTGAGTTTGCCAGGGAGCTGGGAATCCATTTCAATAGGTGGTGTGCTTCCTTACAAATTAGCACTTTTGTTGACCTCTGTAATTTGGTTGTCCTGGAACAGTTTAAAAACTCTGTTCCGAGTCACCTTGCGGTATATATCAGTGAACATAACGTGAAGACAGCTGCTGAAGCTGCTAAGCTGGCAGATGAATATGTTCTTATACACAGGGGTGGCCGTGAGTATCAACCTCGCAGTGATTTTGGTTACAGGAGTGGCAATCAATCTTTTGTGGGAAGTCATGCAAAGGAGGAAGGCATTGGTTCTGATGTGAACAGTAGGTCAGAACGGATTTCCAGTGGGCATGTGTATGTGGATCTATCTGATGTGTGTCATTATTGCAAAGCCAGAGGCCATTGGAAGCGGGAATGCCCAAAAAGAGGTGCTCAGGTGAAATCGGTTGCTTTTGCTGCCTCTGAAACGCATGGTTTTGTTTCCTCTAAACAGGTGGACACAGGACGGAAGTATACTTTGGATCAGGAGGATTTTTCACCTTTTCTTTCTGACGGCCATGTGTCCATGGTGGGGAGTGATGCTACGGTACCGGTAAAAATTTTGAGGGATACTGGAGCTTTTAATTCATATATTGTGAGCTCTGTATTACCCTTTTCTGGGGAAACCAACACTGGAGACCATGTATTGATGCGGGGAATGGGACTTATGGTGGAACCAGTTCCGCTGCATAAGTTGACTTTGACGTGTGGATTGGTTCAGGGGGAGGTTATCATGGGGGTGCGCCCTGCACTTCCGCTGGAGGGAGTGGATGTAATCTTGGGCAATGATCTGGCTGGTGGCCGGGTGTGGGCTGATTGTCCACTACCTGCTCCCATAGTAACTTCTTCCCCTGTTCTAGGGAAGTTGGATGAGAGTGCTCAGTGTTTCCCTGGGGTTTTTACAGCTTGTGCGGTGACGCGAGCTATGTCCCATGCTGAGTCGGCATCTGTCCCTGACCATGAAGGTGGAGGTGCCGAAGATGGTGATTTTTTCTCTCTTTATGTCCCTGATTCTCTTTTGTCTGTTTCTCACAGTGACCTGGTGGCGGAGCAGAGAGCGGATTCTTCTCTTCGTCATCTTTTTGACCAGGTTGTCACTGATGACGAGAGTGTGGCCTGTGGGTATGTGTTGAAGGATGGATTGTTGGGGTGGAAATGGCTAGGGAGAAGTTGACCTCTTCTCAGGAGAAGATGAAGCGCATCTATGACCGTAAGGTGGACCATCGATGTTTTAGTCCTGGTGATCAGGTACTTGCATTATTGCCAGTTGTCAGCTCCCCCTTTCAGGCTAAATTTAAAGGCCCATTTACAGTCCTGCGCAAGCTGTCGGATCAAAACTATCTGCTGTCCACACCGAGGCGTAGGAAGTCAACACAGCTTTGCCATGCAAATTTGTTAAAACCCTATTACACTCGGGAGTCACAGGTATCCAGCAAAGATGAGGAGGTGCAGGTTGATAAGACTGTCTCTGTGGCTACTACAGTAAGTGGATTAGGTTTCTTATCTGCACTTGAAAACGATGGGGTGATTCCACCTAATGAGAGTTTGTTGACTGGCAGGCTGAAAAATTCTGATGTACTGAGGAATTTGGATTCTTTGTTTGCACATTTGTCTCAGGAGGAGGGCACTGAGTTGACTGCTATGTTTAATGAGTATCGTTGTTTGTTTGGTGATGTGCCCAGTCGAACTCACTTAGTTCAACATGACATCGATGTGGGTGAGGCACAGCCAATTCGCCAGCGCTTTTACAGGATTTCTGAGGAGAAGCGGAAGGTAATGGAGGGGGAGATTCGGTATATGCTTGAAAATAGTATTGCTGAATCCTCTGCATCTAGCTGGGCATCACCTTGTTTGTTGGTGGAGAAGGCTGATAAAAGTTTTAGATTTTGTACAGATTATCGGAAAGTGAACATGGTTACAAAATCTGATGCTTATCCGATGCCACGCATGGAAGATTGTGTCGATCAGGTGGGTTCAGCTCAGTTTGTTAGCAAATTTGATTTATTGAAGGGTTATTGGCAAGTTCCATTGTCTGGGAGAGCTAGAGAGATTTCTGCCTTTATAACTCCCTTTGGTCTGTTCTCTTACTCTGTAATGAGTTTTGGATTGCGAAATGCACCTGCAACCTTTCAGCGTCTCATGAATATGGTTGTGTCTGGGTTGGAAGGGTGTGCCGTATATTTGGATGATGTGGTGGTCTTTAGTGATACGTGGAAGGAACATCTGGCTCACATACGTAAGCTGTTTGAACGACTGGCTGAAGCACACCTGACCATTAACTTGGCGAAGTGTGAGTTTGCTAAGGCTACGGTTACCTATCTGGGTAAGGTGGTGGGGCAAGGGGTGGTGCGTCCAGTGGAAGCCAAAGTAACTGCAATTTTACAGTATCCCGTACCAACAACAAAAAAAGAACTCCAGCGGTTCCTGGGTCTTGTGGGGTACTACCGCAGTTTTTGTAAGAACTTTTCTACAGTGGTTTCCCCATTAACAGATTTGCTGAAGGATAAAGTGAAGTACACCTGGACAGCTTCCTGTCAGAAAGCTTTTGATGATGTCAAATTTGTCCTCTGTTCCTTCCCTGTTCTTGCAGCTCCACAATGGGATCGTCCTTTTGTCCTGCATGTGGATGCAAGTGATGTAGGTGCAGGTGCTGTCTTATTTCAACAAGATGATGATGGAGTTGATCGACCTGTGAGTTTCTACTCTAAAAAATTCAACCATTTTCAGGTGAACTATTCTGTCATTGAAAAAGAGACATTGGCACTAATTTGGGCTTTACAGCATTTTGAAATATATCTGGATTCTGGAAGTGTTCCTCTGGTGGTCTATACTGATCACAATCCCTTAACATTTTTGCATTCATTGCAGTGTCCAAATCGCAGACTGATGCGATGGATGTTGTTTTTGTAGCCCTATTGTCTGGATATCCGCCACATTAGGGGCTCGGACAATATTGTGGCAGATGCTTTGTCCGGGGCACCATGTGCTTAGGTTTAATGTTCAGTCCTTTTTTTTTCTCCAAGTTTCTTATAGGCTTTTCCAGTGGCTAGGGTGGCTGAGCTATTGAGGTGGGGATTGAATGGGTGATTGTGGTAAGACTGTAAAGTCCATTAGTATTGCAATTGTCACCTAGTTGTTAGTATAAATCGCTGTCTTTTTGGAGTCCCGGTTAGGACTCCATTTGTATGGGGGGGAGTGTGACGATCCCCTTCTGTCCAGTAGGTGTCTCTAGTCCTCTACATGTTTGTTCTTGTTTTTTTTCAGGAAGCAGGTAGATGGACTGTTAATTGCACACACCGGTGAATGATAAAAGGGGACGACTAGTCAGTCACTCGCTCTGCTTGTTTGCCCTCCGGACCAGGCCGGAACGAGCAGCATTGGTCCACACTTCTCTCCGACTGGCTGGCCTGATCTCACGGAGCATTTTTTTTGTAATCAATAAATCGTTGTTGCTATGGATCCGCTCGTCTGTCTCCCTTTTTGTCCTCGCCCTTGAGATGGGCGTGACACAAGCTATATCTGTAAAGGCATGGCCCCCGTTTACATAGTCGAGAAAGACAGCTTTCGGGACCTCGTCCGTACACTCGATCCCAGATATGTGATGCCTAGTCGAAAACATTTCAGTAAAGTGGAGCTGCCTGGCTTATATGCTAGTTGTCGGGCTGAAGTGGAGAGAGAGGTACGCAGTGGTGCGACGCATTATGCGTTGACTACGGACATGTGGATGAGTAGAGCAACACAGCCTTATATGACTCTCACCATCCATTTCATCAAGGACTGGACCCTCCTAGTGGAAAACAAGGTAAGTGAAAGACAAGAGAAAAACCTGGCCTTGGAATTTTATAAAATGTCAATAACAAACGAATATTAAATGATTAATTACTGCAGCGCAATAGCCAAGATTCTATACTGTTCACTGTCATGGCCGCAAATTGCATAACTGGGGTTCTTGGTTTGGGGTTGGGATTCTCATATTAGGAAACAAGATGATGGGTAAAAAATAGGCGATGAAAGATTTTTTTCAACCCTGTCCATCTGACGGACTATGAAAACATAAAATGCAACATCAGTTGTGGTATATCGTGATATATATCGTTATCGTGATATAAAATAATCCATATCGTGATATAGTTTTTTTTCCATATCGCCCAGCCCTAGGTTTTACTGTTACATTATAAAAACTGGATGTTTTTCCAAAATGAGGGAAAAAGGAAAAAAAGGAAGGTTCGTAAAAAGGCGTGATCGTCTAGACTGGGTCAGCATGAGAACAGACCCCAGTGAAACATGAAGGAAAACCTAATCATGACAGTTTTTAAGAAAGGTTAATTTAAGAAAAAAAATAAATGATTACCGTATTTTCACGACCATAAGGCGCACCGTACTAAAAGGCGCAGTCTCAGTTATGTGTGCCATTTCCGTATTTAACACACACATAAGGCGCACCGGACTATAGGGCGCGGGTTTTATATACCGGTACATGTCCTCTACTACGTTTAAATACCTCTATTTCGTATTTAAATATAGAGCGGGAGCAAAACTGAGTATGATTGTGCTATATTAATGTATGTATTACAAAGTATTAGTCAAACCTGGGAGCTGGCCGTGAGACAGACACATCGCTGATGACACAGAGCGCTGTGATCACTCCTCTGAAACAGTTTATTGATGCATTAATTAACTTAAAATGCAGAAATCTGCTGGCAGAATATGTTCGCTTTTATTATCCTGGTACCAGTAGTTTAGATTGTACCAGTTCTGATGCGCGCTGAAGCAGCTTTAGTGCTCTGGCTGCGTGGTGCAAAGGTGTGTCTGACACGCGTTGGGCGGAGCTACTCTATCCTTTCTTTGCCTTGCAGCTACATTTGCTGTGATCAGTGGGAATAAAGTAGTTTTAATATGTTTTTAAGTGGGAAAATCCACCTGAAAACTTAATTCAACAGAAGCCTCTGGCCGGGTCGCCTCCTCGCGGTTCACCTACACCTCCCTCAGCCACTCTTTCATAATCTCCTCAATGAGGAAATGAGGAGTTCTGCATAAAGCACATACCTGTTCTTTTATACACAATCCACACCCACACTTCCCCCTTTAACGTTCTCATGGCGGTCTCAAACATCCGCAGTAACAACACACATAGGGCGCGCCGCACTATAGGGCGCGCCGCACATTTTGAGGGGAAAAAAAGACGTTTGTATGCGCCTTATATTCGTGAAAATACGGTAACAGTTCCATTCTAAACCCAAACTTTCATGTGGAAAAATAATTAAATTTGATTCCTAATCAGAAAAATGCCTAAAGCATAAAAGGAAATAAAAAAAAAACTCTTTTGAAAAACTTCAGAACTACTTTTAATCAAAAAGACTGGATAAAGAAATCTATTTGTGGTAAAAAAAAAAAAAAAAGTTATAAATATCAATTCCACTCCCTATTTTAGGTTTATCTTTACAGGAAAAGTCACATTAAAGTTATATTTTTAGTTGACTTATTCATCTCATAATTGTTACATGTCTACATCTTATTCAATGGTATCTGCGTGTTCATTTTCTGCACTTATTGATCTCAGCATCTTTAACTCTAACTGGGCGCTTCATGACTGACTTAAAGGGGGGTGTGAATATCTGATATTCATATCTCTATTGTAGAATGCCATCATCACCCTAAAGTTGAATTTTAAGACCAGAGTAAAATGGCCAAAGATGCCCTTGAGCGTAAATATTTCTAAAAAATGTGGAAACACACCTGAAGAACTCAAAGTTCAGGCAGGCCTTCGGGAGGAAGAACTTGTCATCCTGTTTAAACCACACCTTGCTCATTGCAGTGTCCTAAAAACAAAACAGAAAAAGACTCAGTGATTATTGTGTGACTTTTAAGAGGCCAAAAAAATATTTTTAGACAGAGTTTATGCAGGCATTAGTAATTCTAAAGCTTTTTAATACTCTTTAAATTAATAAATTTAATGCCATCAATCCTTTGTCGGCTTTACGATCGACCAGAAGCAGTTCAGCACAAACATGTGGAACCAGTTATATCTGATATATCTGATGAAATTGTTTTTCTTAACGAAATAAAAAAAAGAAATAAAGCATTTTAAATGCCATGATAATCACATTAAATGAATTTTAATGCCAATTAAGGCATTCATTTAAACCCTGTTAGAGATAAATCTGCAAAGACAAGGTTCCCTTAACAGTTTAATTCATGTTCATTACTCAATATCTCGATAAAATTTGTATGAAATTTAGATAAAGTTAAAAAATGAAACAAGAAAACAGGTGTGACAAGAACTGCCATCCCAGTCTGGTAATAGACGATAAAACAATGGATGAAAGTGAAACCTGCCTTGATTAAAGTTGGAATTGAAGGAGAGTCTTTTTCTAGAGGGTAGATTTCCAGGTTGGTTGGGATGAACTCGTTTCTCATGGGCAGTTTGAACTTTCCGTTGAGGTCCGCACTGGCCCATTTCTAAAGGAAAACACAAAGGCGGCACGTCATTTATATCCCATTACCAGCAGGAGAAATGTAAGCCAAAGTGTTACACAGTAGAGAGGAGTTTAACACAGCGTGTTTACCCTGATGCTGTCTTCAGAAATGGCCTCCTGCTTGTACTGGGTGCCGTACCACTCCTCCTGCTGGTCTGTTTGACCTTCGAATGACTTTGACACCACAGCAACTCTGAAACGGTGAAAATAATAAATTCATCCATCAGAAAACTTTGAGTAAACTGCATTTGTTCACAGAGTGAAGAGCATTTAAATCAGCATCTTATTAAATTCGATTAGTAGATCTGTTGTTTCTTTAATCCGCAACATAAAGTTAGAAATGTCTAGTCCAGATGTGATAATGAGAAACTAATCCATGTAATGTGAATTCAATGCTGGACTATTGTGGTTCTTCTCTATCTGGTAGTCCACAAACTGTACTTAAAAGGCTTCAGCTGAACAAAAATGTTTCAAAACCAGATCATACCTCAATGAAGAGAAGCTAGCTTATATTCATTGGCTTCCAATAAAGTTCTGAATAGAATTTATAACCCTCCTTCTCCCATGTAAAGCCCTAAATAACCAAACTCCTTCTTATACTAGAGGACCGACTGTTCCTTATGTTCCTAACAGAGCACTTCGATCTCAATCTGCAGGTTTACTAGTGGTTCCTAGAATTTCTAAAAGTGGATCTTTTAGTTATGCTCCTCTCCTGTAGAGCCAACTACTAGTTTTAGTCTCTGTGGCAGAAGCACTGTGTGCTTTCAAGGAAAGTCTTAAAACTTCCCGTTTTGACAAAGTTCATAGCTACATTTCAGTCCGAACAGACGTTTCTCCTTGGCCCTGCTGTGGCTCTACCCTTCTTATACCTCATCCAAGAATAGTTAGGTTATTGTGAGCTATTTTCTATATTTATGCTGCTATATGTTTAGACTGCTGGATCACATAGGGACCACTTTTCCTCTTTCTACCTCTATTCCTCCATTCAGCAATATTTGTAAGTTCAACCTCTAACTTAGAGAGACAGTCCCTACTCAAAAATTGTTCCCAATCATATTTGCTGAATTTATAACAATTTCATATTGCTATTAAGGATATTTCTACTTCTAGTGTTCTCTACTACAAGGTTCTGGCTAAATAAATCAAATGTTAACTGCATTGTGTCCGCATTTCCAATAAAACTGCCTGATTAACCATTTACATAATTATTATAAAGAGAGGAGATTTATTTTAGGGAAAAGTCCTCAGATTTAACCACTGTCCCCATCCTGGTCTTTTCTAATTCTAATGTAGTGAAATATGAACACTAATGCCACTTACTGGTGAACACCGGGACTGCAGTGTTTCAACTGAAACAACTGAGATTGGCAAGGTAAAAAAAGAGAAAACAAATAGATTTTGTAAAGCAATGCCTAAATAAATCAGCTGGTAAGGAGGCTCAATCTGAGGTACAAACAACAACATCCACGAATCCTTGAGAAAAGAAATGCTGGAAAACGTTTGTTTATATTTATAAATATAGAAAATTAAAGGCAAGCAAATAGAGATTGCAGGAGTATCTATTCACAACCACAAACCTGATTTTTATCCTAATATTTGGGACAAATAAATAATTATTTCTTCTAAAGCAGGACAGAGCATAACAGTGGAAGGAAAATTTTCCATTTTATTTTATTACATATAAAAATATCTGATGAGTGAAGCATATTTCTACTTCTCAATGAGTATTTTTGTATGAGGTTTTTTTATGGTTAACATCCTCTATGTTTCGGTCTGCTGATGTGCTACACTGAGTGAAAAAACATCCTGAAGCTGTGTTTGATGCAAAAGGCTACTCACCAGGGTTTTGCACCAGGAAGCTGAATGCAAATGCACACCACACTTTCCAGATTTTACTTTTTGAAATTTCTATAAGCCAAGCATTTTTCTCCTTCCAAAGTAAAAAATAAATATGCTGTTTTCTGCTGCTCTACCAAGGTGTATGACCATTTTTTCATTGTTTATATTTTAAGAACTGGTGGAAATAATATGATACAAAAATGATCTCTAATCACTACTTGGTATTTTGTTGACCAGTTGTCAAATGCGTCACTTATTCCTTAGATTCCAAACTACTTCTAATAAAAAAAAACTCATTGTTTATCTTCTCTCTGTGAACAGAAACAGATTTGTAACACCAACCTGACATTTTCTGGTCTTAGTTTATCAAGCACCATCTCAATCAGATCTGGCCTGAAGTCCTCCAAGAGATACTCTGCAGCAAGAACTTCTTCAAGAGGGTAATACTGCAACACAAACACATTAGTTAAAGAGATGCATCTGGAGACATAAGAGAAAACCACAGTTTCTTTTTTTCCCTGGGATTCTGTCCTGGATGAGCAGAGGACAACAAGCACCACTATGAAAAGAAAAGATTGAGACAGATCTGTTCTTTATGTTTTGTCATAATGGATCATGGAAACTGGACATTATGGGTTAGAGCCTAATAGGATTAATGCATATGTCTTGTCCTTAGGTGTTAAATACTTGATTCTGTCAGCTGGAATAATCAGACAGGGGTATTTAAAAAATGTTTCCTTATTCTGACCCTGCTGTAGACAAGCTTAGGGGTCAGCAACCTGTGCAACCCTGAGAACCATTTTTGTCCTCAATCCTAGTAAACTAGCTTTGTTTAAAGTCACAAAAGCAACATGTCACTTTAAACCTGCAGCTTTTATTCATTAATTACTACTATTGAAAATTAGTTTCAGCTTTGAACTAAAGCTTTTATTTTCAGCTTCACAAAATTTCAATGATTGGCAAAAAAAAAAAAAAAAAAAACAGAGGGATAAATTAGTTAATTAAAATAAAACATGTAGTCTAGACTATTGGTATCGTTCCCTGTGGAAATATTATGCATATATGCAATAACAATAACCAGGAAAAACAGTCAAGCATCTTTTAAAAAAATGCTAAATTCTTGTGCAAAGCTCCTAAAAGCCTCCAGTTACAGACCCCTGCTCTAACTCTAGAAAAAAACACTCAGAGCCAGCAGGCAGAGGACATCAGCCAGTACAGCCTCGATGACCTTCCTCAAGTCTCCCTAGAAACAAGCTTTGCGTGTGGAGAAGGGACCTACATGCAATAAGCCTGCCACTTTGGAGGTGTAGCCGCGCGGTCGCTCCTTATCCTTGAACCTGAAGGCTACTTTACTTAAATCCTGCAAAGAGAGTGGAGAAGGAAAGATTAGAGGTCAGAAACTGAATTTTGAAGTGTAGAAAGGCATGTTGCATCTGAATAATCGTCTGCATCTCAGTGGATTGATAAAAACCTATTTCATTACGTTGGCATAGGTGGTGATTAAATCATATAGCAAGTAAAATAAATAATATATATTTTCAATTACTATTGCACAGAAAAGAAAAAAAGAAGATTTTAACCAAAATATTTTTTGCCAACATAATCTAATGGGAGGACTGACAGTTACTCAGCAGGAAGGAAGCTGGTTCTTCATAGAAAGCATAGGAAGAGGGGCGCCCTCTGATGGGGTACCAAATAACTTTGAAGGGAGTTTTTCCTCTCCACTGTCGCTACAAGCATGCTTAGTGTGAGGGATTGTATTTGAGTCAATGAGTCGATGCAATCAACTGGTTTTCCTTAGATAGAAAACTTTGAATCAATCTGACTGGATGATCTGGTTGAAATGTAAAGTGACTTGAGATGACGTGTGTTGTGAATTTGGCGCAATAGAAATAAACTGAATTGAATTGAATCAGGAATAACCTTGCATTCTTCAAACACCCATTCCTGAGGTCCCTCAGTGCGAAGTTTCTGGATGTACTGGAACATGTGGAAAATGATGTCTTCAACGTGCACTGCAGTGAGAAAAAAACAAAATCACACATTAATGAATAAGCAAACATTTTCCTTTTAGACATGATGTAGTCACCCCCTCAGACATGGACACAGGTAATGCATGTAGGTCACTTCTCTGCGTAATACTTCTTATGCAGATTTCAGAGGCAAAATATCCGACATGGCTTCATTAGTCATTGGTTGAATTTAGTAAAAAACTAAAATGACTGCTGGGAATGATGGAATGTTTTAACATCAATAAATGCAGAGAAATCAGATTTTAAATCATAGTAATAATTAAAGCCACAAGTGGCATTGGGCGGCCCTCGCAGCTCGCACCGCCTGGTATGTCGCGACCGCGGGAACCAAGCGACCTCCACCTCCACGCTCCTTCCCATCCTATGCTCCTGCTCTTCAGCCTATGCCTGCTGCTGCTTCTCTTATCCTCCCCCTCCTTCTCGTTCTGCTGCTGCCACTGTTTCTCATCCCCCTCCTCCTCCAGCTTCTCCTCATCTTCCTCATCCTCCTGCTAATGGAGCTTCTCCTCATCATCCTCCTGCTTCTGCTTATCTTCCTGTGTCTCCTTCTCCTCCTGCTGTCACTCTTGCTGTATCTCCTTCTCATCCTGCTGTCGCTCTTGCTGCATCTCCTTCTCCTCATCCTGCTGATGCTCTTTCTCTTTATCCCCTGCCTACTGCTGCTTCTCCTGATCCTCTTCATCCTCCTTATCCTGCTTCATTTAATCCTCCTCCATTCTCCTTCTGCTGTTTCTCATCCTAATCATCCTCCTCCCCCTGTGCTCCTTGTCTGCATATTTTTTCTTCCTGCTGCTGCTCTCACTGCATCTCCTACTGCTGTTTGTTTCTCATCCTCACTATCCTTCTCCTCCTCCTAAAAGCATGGCTTTGGATGACTGGAGTTAACAGTTTGATGCTTAGCCACGCCCACATGCTCCCATGTAGAATAATAATTTTGATAACTTTTAATTTGCTATGACTATAGTCCATGTAAAGTTAATTTGAAGTCTCAAACTCAAAAAAAACCAAGAGCCCCTCACTCAGATATGTCATGACCTAAAAAAAGAAAATGGTATCTTTGATCCAAAATGGCCCATTTCTTGTTGGGTGTGGACCATGGCTCCAATATACTTTTTTGAACATCGTGTTCGGCTATACAAATTTAATAATCCTTAATAAAAGCAGGGCCTGAGGCAGTTTAGTCATACTCTAACGGCACAGGGTCTGATTTTGATGCTTGGCCACGCCCACATGGTTTGTCACAGCAAAAACTCTTTTGATTGCTTTTGACCCCTTATGTCTTAAATCGAGGCTCAGCAAGTTAGAAGTTTGCCGCCCCCTTGCTCCTTCTCAGCCAGCGGAAAAGGCGCCACGCTTCACCTCTGGACCAGCCGGAGAAAACCACAGCTTTGGTCAGGAAGGGTTAAACTAGGGATAAAATATAATATCTGGGATGAATCTCATCTGTGAGATAGATGCTGCGGCCATCTCAGGTGGTGGGTCAAAAGTATATGTTCAAAAGATGGAGAAACAGCCCTGCCAAACTCCACGGTTAGCGGTAATACACCCTACTCAAAACAAAAAAAATAATTAAAAATCCATAATTTGCAAAAAAATCCCGAAAAAAATCACAAATGTCAAGGAACACATCTTGCATGTCCTAGATTTTTTTTAGATGATTTATTAAATAATTTAAAGAAAGAAAAATCTTTAAACTTGAATGCCATATACTGCGGCAGTTGAAAACCCCATAAGATGCTCAAACATGCATAGATTCACGCCAATCTTGGCAGTCTTTTCTATAATCAAAGGATAAATAACTGTTCCACATTTGGCTAGGATTGCTATAAAACTTTTTGAGATACAACAATTTTCTGTTAACACAAACTTTTGAAAAATCAGACTGACAGACTTTAAAGAAGCGCTTTGCTATTGTAACCAGCTTACAGCAGGCTTTGTAAAGAACGTATTTTGAAAGTTTTAGCTCATTTGGATAAAAGGCTGATTTTATACAATTTTTTGAAAAGAGGTCCGTGATTTCTCAACAGGTTAAAATGTAATTCAAAATGGCCGACTCTACTCAAAACAAAAAAAATCATAAAAAATCCATAGTTTGCAATAAAATCCAGAAAAAAATCACAAATGTTAAGGAACACATTTTGCATGTCCTAGATTTTTTTCAGATGATTTACTAAATAATTAAAAGAAAGAAAAATCTTTAAACGTGAATGCCTTATACTGCGGCAGTTGAAAACCCCATAAGATGCTCAAACATGCATAGATTCACGCCAATCTTGGCAGTCTTTTGTATAATCAAAGGATAAATAACTGTTCCACATTTGGCTTGGACTGCTATAAAACTTTTTGAGATACAACAATTTTCTGTTAACACAAACTTTTGAAAAATCAGACTGACAGACTTTAAAAAAGCGATTTGCTATTGTAACCAGCTTACAGCAGGCTTTGTAAAGAACGTATTTTGAAAGTTTTAGCTCATTTGGATAAAAGGCTGATTTTATACAATTTTTTGAAAAGAGGTCCGTGATTTCACAACACGGTAAAATGTAATTCAAAATGGCCGACTCTACTCAAAACAAAAAAAATCATTAAAAATCCATAGTTTGCAATAAAATCCAGAAAAAAATCACAAATGTTAAGGAACACATTTTGCATGTCCTAGATTTTTTTTAGATGATTTACTAAATAATTAAAAGAAAGAAAAATCTTTAAACGTGAATGCCTTATACTGCGGCAGTTGAAAACCCCATAAGATGCTCAAACATGCATAGATTCACGCCAAACTTGGTAGTATTTTCTATAATCAAAGGATAAATAACTTTTCCAAAGTTGGCTAGGATTGCTATAAAACTTTTTGAGATACAACAATTTCCTGTTAACACAAACTTTTGAAAAATCAGAGTGACGGACTTTTAAGAAGAGCTATGCTGTGTTTACCATCAAACAAATAGCGATTAGAGGAATATATTCCAAAAGTCCTAGCTCTCTTAGGAAAACGACTGATTTTTTAGAAATATTTTAACATAGTGATTCTATTTTCATGAGGGTGCCGTTTGATTCAAAATGGCCGACTTCATGAGAGGTTTAGACCATGGCTCCAATGAAACTTTTTGTAGGTGGGGGGCTCATACAGATGTGTGCCAAGTTTCATTATCCTAGGAACGAGCATGGCTAGGGGCTGAATTATTTCCTGGCATTATCTGTCCACTTGACCGACTATTAGGCGAGAACGCAAACTTTTGAAAAATCAGAGTGACGGACTTTAAAGAAGCGCTTTGCTATTGTAACCAGCTTACAGCAGGCTTTGTAAAGAACGTATTTTGAAAGTTTTAGCTCATTTGGATAAAAGGCTGATTTTATACAATTTTCTGAAAAGAGGTCCGTGATTTCACAACAGGGTAAAATGTAATTCAAAATGGCCGACTTCCGGTGGGGTTTAGACCATGGCTCCAAGAGGCTTTTAGTTAGGGCCTGATGAGATGCAAATGTGTTCAAAGTTTCAATATTCTTGGACTTAAAACGGCTTGGGGCTGATGGTTTGAAATTTGCTATTTCTAGGGGGCGCTGTAGTGAAATTAAGCCCCGCCCACAAAATATTGCTCTTGATTCCTGTTTGGAGTTGGACTAGGATCATCTGTTGTGATTTTGGTGCAGATCTGATTATTAATGAGGAAATGAGAGCCAATTGTATTTTCATGGCGAAACGCCTCACTTCGCCATGGCGCCACGGCAACACCATTTAACTCAGACTCTATGTGCTTTAAACGAAGTTAGACCAACATGTTTTCTATCATCTGACAAAGTTTCAAGCTGCTGGTGTTTAAAATGACTGAAAGGGACCCTCCCAAGTGAAAAAAGTCACTTTCTTCCCTTAGGGGGCGGGGCTTAGATGATGTCATCATTTGACCATCCAGTATGGTCAAGCACCCAAAGGAGCTCCTTACTGCCAAACGTGGTTCGATTTGAATTTTTTTTGTAAAAGTTATTCCACTTTGAAATTCTTCAAAATTACCCTAATTCGGGGCCCCTGGGGACCCCTTAAACATGCTCAAAAACGAAAACCTTTGATAACTTTTAATCTCCAATGCCTTAACTGCATAATGACCGAGTTTGAAGCCGATAGCTCATAATCCCTAGGAGGAGTTCGTTAAAGTTCGACATGAGCGAAAATGAAAAATGGCCAAAAATCGCACTTTGAGCCAAAATGGCCGACTTCCTGTGGGTTTTAGGGCATACCTCCAAGAGACTTTTTTTCATGATTTGAGGAGATCTACCGGTGTGCCAAGTTTCAGATCTCTGTGACTTACAGTTTCCCCCAACTCACGTTAGGGGGCGCTGTGGCGTAATTTGGGGGCGGCCATTTTGGATTCCATTACAGACCGGCTATTTCACGCGGGGGACAATTTACTGCCACGTTTTCCTGAGTTTTTGAATATGCGAAGTCCCCGTAAAATGCGTTTGAAGTGAGAAAAGAAAAATAATAATAATAATAAGAAACTTTCGAAATACAATAGGCCTTCGCAGCGCTTTGCTGCTCGGGCCTAATGAAGTGATCCAGTTCTCACTGGATCCTCACTGAGCCTCAGCTACATGTCACCTAAACAACATAGCACAGGCTTGATACAAATTAATATAAACCTGATTTGATTTTGCGCTCCTTGCAGCCAACCGAAGGATAACTTCTAGTTGTGAAAGATGACATTACATACAGAACATCCATCCTGCTGCCGGATAGTTATGTAAATTATACTCACAGAGACCCTCCTCAGTCAGATCCACGTTGATAATGAAGAACATGAACCCTTTGGCTCCTTCCTTTTGCCCTCCAACTAGGGTGTTCACCCAACCTTAAGTGAAATCAAACAAATCAATTTTAGTCCATTTTTGGCATGAAATGAATGACCTGAGCTCTCATTTTAGAGAACTTTCACTTAAACAATTCCATTTTCTAACAGAGTAGAAAGTAAAGGGAGTGTTATTCATCTTGATGTCATTTATTGCTACTATATATGGATGTAAACAAAAGCTTAAACCTGGGCTTTATGGAAGAATTTCTGATATTTCACCAAGAAAGAAAAAATAATAAACTTCTGTATTTTCCCTTAAAGCATGCTTCAGTGTCTGTGTGCTCACCTTATATGTGTAATATGTGGCTACGCGTCTCTTCTCACGTAAATCCTGACCACACCACCTTCAGTTTCATGTTAGGATAACTGGAGGCTCCAACCATAAAACTATCAGGTTACACTCAGAGGTTTTATTCTGCCTTTTATCTTTTATTTATGGACCAAAGATGGATCACAGCGAAGCTTCAGCTTTGGATTCCTCTCCAAATATCTTAGAGGTGAGTAATTTAAAAATTAAATATACATTTAACTTACATTAAAACCAGGATTATAGGTAGTCACACAAATGAGTTAAATCATATGAACCCAAATGTGAATTTATTTTGACTTTGCTGTTCTAGAGTTATCAAAAAATGAGAACATAGAGACTATGGGGAGAGAAAACAGAAGAGAATAAAACGGGATAGGCGATGAGCTAAATCTACTGATCTATGAACGAGTATTTTCATCAAAAATAAAAAACGTAATGTCTCACCTACACCCGTTTAATACAGGAGGAAAAAAATAAAACTACATTTTTCATTACCAAATGAACTTTCTTGTTGTCAAATTTCATCCTTTAGTTTAAAAGCAAATTAATCTTTCCATTGAAATTGATCATTTATTGCTTTAAACTCCACTTTAACTGAAAATAAACTTGGGGCTTGAGATAAAGAAGTGTACAATGGAAAAAAATCAAAATCTAGATAATTCAATTTTTTGCTAAAATAAGTGCATTTGTTCTTGGATTGAGGAGATAAAAGAGACATTTTGCCAATGGAACAAGACAATTTACACTTAAAATAAGAAAACACAGTTGCATTGTCTTATTTCAAGTGCATTCTATCTAATTATCTTATTTCAAGAGTAAAAATACTCATTCCATTGGCAAACTATTTTATTTATCTACTCAAATTAAGCGTAAATACACTTAATTTACTTATTTCTACGTTGTTTTTCCAGTGTAGAACATTTGTTTCCATAAGAACCTTTTGATTTCAGCTCAGATAATAGACTGCCGGGTCCTTCGTGGCCAATCAGATGTCCCAGATAATGTCCTGGGTTAGACTTGTAGTACTTCTGTAGGTCTGGGATTGGAAAGGTCACGTAAAGGTTCCTAATGTCTTTGATGGGGACGACTTTGTAGAATTGCTGCAACAAAAACACAGAACAGGAAAGAAGACTGTTTTAATTTAACTGTGAATGACATGATTTTGGAAATAAACGCCAATTTGTAAACAAAAAGCATTTAACAGCAAAGAAACCAAATAATTGACAGACTTTAAGGTGCTCTTCCTGGAACGGATGTTCAGGGAATTCTGGGACAGGAACGTTCTTGTTTTCCACTTCTCCAAAGAGCTGCTCCACCATGGATGTCAATTCATCAAGAGACTCTGGGGAGATCAAGGTTAAATAAAAAACATTATTTTTAACAGAATGATACAAACACATTAACCCCCGCCGATTTATTAATTACTGTTTCAACACGATAAAAAGGAAGGGAGAGCCTTAAGGTGCTGTAAAATAAAAAAAATTTAAAAAATAAAAAAACCTTCCCTCCTCGCTCTTTTTCATATCCTAATGTTTTAGATTAATGGTTTTACTAAAGCAAACTTCTGTTTGAGTGATTTTTCTACTTATCCAGAGAAAATAGCTTTTCAAACCAACCTGGGAAAACAAACTTCCCCAAACAAAGATAACAGAGGCCTGAACCATGAAGCAGGATTAATGGGTTGGCGAGACAATTTAAGCCTCTGTTCTGTCAGATCAGCATAACTATAGTCAAGTCAAGACTTCACATTTGCGTTTATTACCCCATTTACACTACCCTTGAAAAACCGAACCATGCCGAGACCGGTCCTAGCTCGGATCAGTTAACAAGGCCGAGCTCGGTTCTGATGACCGTTTACAATCACGCTATCTTGGTTCCTCGCCTCCTAGTGACGATCTGCGGTATTACTGCCAGTATTGAAGGAGGAAATCAAGCAGTTGGTGGCCGTAATGCACCAAAAGTTGTTTGCCAACCGCCATAAAACACAAGAAGAAGAAGACGAAGAAGGAGAAGGAGGGAATCAAGCAAATCAAAATGGCGGCGCCCGTCACATTTAGAAAGTTATGCTTGATTATTATTGCTGTACTTCGGTGTTATTGTTTAAAATGCCATTATTTAATATGTTCCGTGGAGAAGATTTCGATTGTTGTTTATAGTTGAGGAAGAAGTTGTTCTTCTTCTGTTTCCGGAGGGACATTACCGCCAACTACTGGAATGGAGTGTGAATCACGATGCGCAGCCAGATGGAGATGACGAGTTCTGCTCATGTGTTCTTGTTATCAGAGAACCGAGCCAGGGAAAAACCGAGCCGAGCCCACCTCTGGAACTGGTCTGCAGTTATCTCGGTTCGGTTGTGTCTAGCTCGGTTCAGTTCAGTTTGCTTTCCATTTACACACGATAAGTTATCTCAGTTACTGAGCTCGGACCGGTCTTGGCACGGTTTTTCAAGGGTAGTGTAAATGGGGTATAACTCTTTAGTTTTGTACGAAAAATATATTTTAAACTACCTCAAAGGGGCATGTATCCCTTTAGTCATGTACAAAAACCCAATTTAAGGTTGGTTCGCCATATGCTCCAAAAAAAAAAAAAAAAAAAAGTAAATAGCTTTTTTGTACATGAATAAAGGTATACATGCCCTTTGAGGTAGTTTAAAATGTATTTTTCATACAAAACTTAAGGAATAACCTAAAGGGATAAACTAAAGGAATAAACTGGTATTGATTGTGGTTATGCTGGTCTGACAGAACACTTCAACCCTAACTTTATGGTACCACGAAGCCAGACTCATTCTTAGCCAGGCTAATCACCATGGTAACGTACTCTGAATCTTTCAGAATGGATCCTAGAAAACGTTCCACCCATCAGCTGTTCTGGAAACAATGACGTGCCGTTTCATCTTTTCATTAAAGATCTGATTATATTCAGTGCAAAAAGAACTTAAAACTTCTGATAAACCATATAACAGTTAAAAAATATATGCATTTTAAAAACTGAACACTTTTCAATTCATTGATTTTTCTTCTCCTCCTTTTAGACATATCAAACTGTTACCCTTCTATATTTGTTTATTCCTGTATGATGTCCTCATGCACCGCGGCATTCACCTGTTTTTGTTTAATTGTTATATTAAGCTAAATTACAAAAATAAAAATTTAGAGAGTAAATTGTGCAAATATTCTTTGGATCACAATGACAATGAAATCAAACATTGATCATGTAACAGAGTTTGCATGAGACTGAAACAGATTTGCTACAAAGTTTAAGTGGAGAAGATATTGAGGTATTTCTGTACATTTATGGCTGCATTTCAAGACTTTTACCATTTTAAAAGCACAGCAGTTTTTTTACCATTTGTCCTGCTGACATCTGACAGCACAAAAATCAGGATGATTTCACTCAGAATGAAGACTACTTGTGTTAATATGATGCAATCGTGGCATCAGCTTCAAGCTTTATTGTAGCCCAGACTTTATTGAATCAAAATGTCCAACTAACCAGATGAAATCATGCTTTATTTTTATCTGCTCCTAAATTCTTTTCACTCCAGAAGGGAACGCGATCAATATGAATCATAGTGATTGGTATGCAGGCTGTTAAATGTCACTGATGTGCAACTTTTTTAACGGAGTAATTTACTGTCAGCGATCTTTCAGCCGCCACCGTGTCTTACTTCATTTTCTATAAGAAGAGTTTCTGTTCTTCATACGGAGAAACACTGCGCTATCCCATCTGCGCTCATGGCTGAACGGTCTGCTACTTTGAACCCATATGGAGAGATATTTGTGCCATCGGTTTGAGCGAGCAGGAACCAGTCCGAGCGCGCAGTGAGACAACAAGAAGCTGCGCATGATTGGCTGATGGTATGATTCATCTACATACATTGCTAAAGTCGCGAGCGCAGAGAGTTGAGCGAGCGGATAAACAGCCGAGCGCACAGCTGGTGTTAAGCGCGGAGAGAGCAGGTCGAGCGCGAGCAGAGACGGATCCGAGCCCACGCAGAGATGAAACTGAGCGCGAGAACAGTGTGTTGAGAGGGTTTTTCAGAGTTGAGCGCACGCCAGACTGGTTTTGCGCGTGTTGTCTCACTGCGCGCTCGGATAGGTTACTGCGCGCTCAAACCAATAGCACAAATATCTCTCCATAAACCAGTCCCTTTATATGTGCACTTTCACAGATTCATTATCATTTCAAGCTGGGTTGAGTTAGCGAGGTGCTGACAAGCTTGGGGTACTGCTGATCCTGATTGTCATTGTTGTGGACTGATCACACTTGACAGACTGGAAGTAATCCTGGTAGGTTGAGCTAACTTCTTGGTACAGGCCTCTGGTTGAGCCACTAACTGCCACTACATGTTTGTAAAGGGATTGTATTTGAGTCAATGAGTCAATGCAATCAACTGGTTTTCCTTAGATAGAAAGCTTTGTATCAATTCGACTGTATGACCTGGTTGAACTGTAAAGTGCCTTGAGATGACATGTGTTGTGAATTTGGCGCTATATAAATAAACTGAATTGAATTGAATTAAAGACTCTTATTTCAGCTGTCATGATCAGACTTTTATGAAAAACTGTTGTGTTATTCTGAACCATTCAGAGGTGGAGTTGCCACTGTGCTTCAGATCATTAACTATCGGCATTAAAACAACGTACTTAAGCTTAAAGGCCCAAACGTATAGCTGGATGTTCTTCAGGTTTTTCTGGAACAGAGCAGTACTCATGGTTCAGTCACATTCAGTGAGTCACCAAAGTTGCGACAGGCCTTTGAGTCTTCTTTTTTCTTTGGAAATCATTCATGGAAGCTTAGTCTGCCTTTTATTCATTAGAGATTGACCTGAGGCATGAAAGGCCTGCAGATGACCTTAGATGTTTATAGGACTTTAGACGTTATTCTGAGTTCTATAATGACCTCCTGGATGAGTCCTAGATATGTTCTTGGAGTAATTTTGGTAGTTTCCTTCACTCGCCAAGCCTTTGAAACAGCTTTATAAAGAAGGAGATGAACTTCCTCTCTGACCAGTTCATAGATCAGGGCATGCAGAGTTAGTTTTAGAGATCATTTAGCTGCTGGTGAACAGGTTCTAGTTTAGCAAACTCTTGATTTGACAGGGTTTGCAGGCCTAGGAGTGGCTAGTAAAACTCGATTTTAACACAAGACTAAGTTGTAATGGATAGCTTTTCATTCTCCTTGAATAAATAATTGAGAAGGGATTTCTTTGGGTAATTTATAGGAGAAAATACTGGAGAAAGTGGTTCTAAAAACATTATTACAAATGAGGTTTTGTTTTCCAGGGTTTCAGTTAATAATAAAAAGATGAATGAGATGGCAAAATAAAATACAAGTAATAATGTTCTGTAGAACCTAAAAAAAGAAAGCCATGCATGTCTTCAGAAATCAATGAGGAAAGTATTGAAAGTTTCCTGGAGAGAGCAGGAGGTTCTCTACGGTCCTGTTTGACAGGCTGCTTTTACAGCATCTGTGTTGAAACAGGAGGGGTGTGAGGAATATTCAGGTTCAATTATACATCAGAAACTCTCTCTAGTTTGTATTTCTGCTTTTTGCCTTTGATGATCGGTTATCCAAAGGTGGCAAACAGCAGTCCTGCAGAGCTTCAATCTCCTCAATGATTGAATGCTTTAACAACCCTAAATTAATGTTTGAATGCTCAGTATCAGGTCATTTAGCTATGCAGAGAGCTGATAATGAGCCACTGGTCCGTTTAAAGTATGTTGGAGAAGAATTGCATCTAATGTGTTCTGGAGGACAGGAAGTGGGAGCTTCAGGGTTCATCCTTACCTCTTCCTAACACGCAGAGCCCCATAAGATTAGCAGAGTAATAGGTAGAGTGAAATTTCAGGAGTTCCTGGCGTATATCAATCCCTTCTTTAGATGGTCTTGTTTCAAGTGTTAATTTATTACCTGCAAAAAAATAACAAAGAAGAAATCACTTTAACATGAAGAAAAAAAAAACTATCCTGCAGCTTGTGTCAGAAGGTAGAAATGACAGTCTGTTAAAACATTTATTGAAGAAAATCAACAGAACAGATGAACACAGAGTTCAGGTTGGAATTGATGAGCCTCTTTACCTGTCCCAAATTTACTAAAGGGGTGGTTTGGGTTGCCAGTTGCCTTCTCCAACTGGAAAAGCCTCCAAGAATCATTCATCAGGTTCTTCTCATGTTCAGAGTCCACAGCGTTCACTTCCCGGTCCTTACAGCTCTCGTCAAACAAAGGGCACAGAAAGAACTGGGCAAACCTGCAAAGATGGCAAAAAAAAGGATGAGACGATAATGAGTAAACCGTGTAGTTGAACAGATGTGCAGCACCAACAGATACAGCTTTCCATTAGCTACAATGCAAAGAGTTTGTAAACAAAGCAATGGGCTTCCACAGCAGAGGCAGCTGAATATACAAAGTGTTGAGAGGTCATTTCCATGAGTACAGGGTCCGAGCAACTGCCATGCAAATGAGGAAACAGGAAATGGGAAAATTGATCCTCTGAATTCAGGCAGAGATGTTCCAAAAAAAAAAAAAAAAAAAAAAATCATCTTTTTTGTGGCTTTAGATTTTAAGTCAACTTTAAATTTTGCATTTTATTATTTTCTGACTGGGGTGTTATTAATCAACTTAAGATAAGTGATGGAAAGGACGCCAACTAACCTAATTAATATTTGCTAAACAAAGATAAGTCAAAAATTATTCTAGAAACTTGCTATATATTGTATTCCTATTGTAAAGCTAAACGTTTTTTAATTTATTATTAATAAAAATCCTCCAAAAATTCCACATTTTATAAAAAATGTAAACACTTTTTTTTTGTTAAGCTGATTTTAGTCTTTGTACAACATTTAGTTATCTTTTGGAAACTTTCTGATCAGTTATTTACTATCAAAAATAAAATACATTGAGAAAAAACATCCCAATCAACCAGGGGATGAATCATTTTGGGTGTACATGCCATTTAACGTGTCTTTTGGTTACAAGACAAACAGTAAGATTAAAACAAATAAATAAATAAGTATAACATGAAGAAGTGATCACACCGTAAAAAAAAAAAAAAGAACAGAATTATAAGAATGGCATAACAGTAGCATAAGTGTGCCACTTTTAAAGAAAAATAATGAATCCCAATCTTTAGAGTCCAGATGACAGCGAGCGGATGCGTCACCAACAGGTGCTCTCTAGACTGTCATTAATTTCTAATTAGGTAAGCTTATCCCTATAGGTTAAGTTCTGACCACACGGCTGGCCTTTCCAAACAAACACAGCTTGCATTTGAGTCGAGCCTCCTGCAAGGCACAGAACGTCAGTCCCTCTCTGGGTCTGAGGTTTCAAGTCTCACCAGGTGGGTAAAACAACAGAGCTGATTACAGAGAGAACAGTCAGGAAACCTGAGAGGCGAAGAAAAATCGTCATGGTTCTCATCAGGGTTCTCATTTTATAAGAAAATTAAAAAACATGCAGACTCAGCTTTAATGTTATGTTTAAATGCAATATGGCTGGAAAAAGTATCACGATATAATAAACCTCTTAGAAAAGTAGATAATAAACGGTTTATTTTTGTTTAAACCATCAACAAAGACTGGAAGGAGAAAAAAAAAAAAACCCAACCCCATTTAAACGTTAAGAGATAGGCCAAGGTGGAGTAAAAGTGACACCTTGATATTTTTCACTTGTATGGCGAAATATATGATTTTTCCAATAATATCTTTTTCCCCCCACAATGTCATCACAAAAGGACAACTATTGATCAAAACTTTGTCCCAAATTTCACACAGCCACATTTGAAAAGAAAGCAGCAAATGTACATGTACATATATATATATATATATATATATATATATATATATTTTAGGGGTGGAACGGTTCACAAAATCCACGGTTCGGTTCACAGTTTCGTGGTCACGGTTTTCGGTTCCGTTCGGTATATGTTGATTGTTACCCCCGAAATCCCATAAAAATTAATGAAATTAATGAAAAAATCCCCAAAAAATTTATGAATTGTAATTATTTTTAATAACCCTGGATCATTTCCGCATGTTTTGCTGCTTTGAATTTAATCATATCGTGCATGCCCTCTACGATCTCCAAGGAACTCAGAGCGGAGCGGACGGGAGCCACAGTGGAGGCTGTAGGCTTTGCTTTGTGCAGGCGGTCTGGAGCGCAGCGGGCCGGAGCGCTGATGGAGTATGTGGGATTTCGGGGTTAGCATGACATGTTGGTCGTGTTGCTGTTACCATAAACAAAACGTGTTGCACAATGCTTGCACACTGTTTTTATCCACAACTTTCTTTCCGCCGTCATCGTAGGTCACTCTAAATGCAAAGTGGTCCCATACAGCAGACCTATAAAGTGCTGCTGGCGCGTCTTCCAACTCCTGTTCTTTCCCACTCTCCATACCCACACAATTCTCCACAACAACTGATTTTTTTCTGCTACACCCGGCTACGCTGCTTTGCTTCTTCTTCCTCTTGTTTACTACTGGTGGTTGGCTTTGGTCGCAGTACCGCCACCTTCTGCTCTGGAGTGTACACGCTTCGCATATGAGAAAAAGGAGCAGCGCATGAACCGAACGCAACACACGCGAATCAAAGCGAGACAGTCGAACCGAACGGTTCGGACGGTTTTCATAAACCATTTCATCCCTAATATATATATATATATAAAATAATATATATATATATATATATATATATATATATATATAATAGTGTAGCATAAACCATCCAGATATACATTCTATCATCTCCTATCCTCTTTAGAAAAATCTTGACATTTTTAAACTTTTTATACATTGCCCAGTTCTAAATAAACGCTGCCTCCCTACCATCGACTTTCCTTTTCTTAACTGTAAGAGGCTATATCGTTTCTGCTGCCTACATGTCCCAGAATGCCCTGCGGTTCTGGATCAGTGAGATTACAGAGCATTCTACAGGATGAATTTTCTATTGATATTGATCCAGTGCAGGGTGTCCTCTCCATATTATTAATCCCGCCACACCGCCGCCGCAGAATAAGATCCACTGGCTTTAGAATGACAGTTTTTCTCCCAACAGTTTCTGCTACAACAATGTAATGCATGCAATATAACCATATATATATATATATATATATATATATATATATATATATATATATATATATATATATATATATATACATACATACATAGACTTAAATATATATATGCAGCCAATATCTGCACACTTTTACTAACCATATTCAGAGTCTAAAATTAATTTAATTATCATGAAATGTTAAAATTTATTTTGAAAAGCCAACACTGCCAGCTCCTGCCTTTGGCTGGGAAACTGGCTAGTTTGGTTGCGCTGCTCTCAGGGAACTAGATGATGATTGTCTGACACAGATGCTAACTTTGTTGTTGCGCTATAATTGGCAACTTTTCAGACTTCCATTTTTATTTTGTTTTTTTCAAGAATGTGACAAATCTATAAAATTTTATCCGTGTTTTTGGAGACTTCGGCCACAATACCTGATCACTCTACTACTAGCAAGATTTACTTTCAAGCAAGATTCATTCACAGCTTCAGTCACTGTGTGTCTCTTCTACTGCTTTCAGCGTCTAATAACTTGATAAATTGATTGATGTAGTCTGGGGTCATGGAAAATAAAATCATTTTACAGAATTTTAAACATATCTAGAGTATTTCTAATCTCATGTTTTGCCATTATTGACAGATACCTGTCTAAAGCTCCTTGCAAGTGCTCATGGGACACGTCGAAGTAATAGTTGGTGTGCTCCCCGCTTGTGAAGGCGTTGGAGCTTCCAGCATGCTCGCTGAGGAACTGGCTGTATTCGTTTTCCTTGGGGTACTTTTCGGTCCCCAGAAACAGCATGTGCTCACAGAAGTGCGCCAGGCCTGAGATGTTCTCTGGGTCTGACAGTGAACCTGTGAAAGCAAAAAATAAAAACATGAAACATCAAGATTGGTCAACTAAATCCATTCATTCAGAAAAAAAAAAAAAAAGATGTTCCTCTTTATAGGAAAACGATGACGAAAAGGTGACAAAGAGAAGTGATGACAGACATCAAAGGTTGGTAAAGTTCCTTAGTGAATAACTGTAAGAATAACTAAGCCACACCCTTTACCTATATGCACATCCAAAGCAGCGGATGATTTGTCTGTCGTTGGATCACTTATGAGAATAGCCTTCAGTCCATTGGTGAACTCCAGACCCCTGTAGTCCCTTTTGTCTTCAGGAGAGCGAATGATGTCAGTGATCACCCTCCTCACAACTGGTTCGGCCATTGTGAGAGATAAGGATGACACCAGCCTGCAAGGAAGCCAATCATCAACAATCTCAGCATTTTTAAATTGGTTATAGCAAATCCTGGTCGTCATAATAGATTACCCCTTGAGTGTGACTGTCCTGATAATAACCTTTTGATTAAGAAACTCAAACAGTCATTAGATTACGATCAGCGTTTCACAAAGTCCAGTAGAGTTACAAGAACTCACATTAATGCTTTGGGCTTTTTTTCTTCTTTTTATTTCTGTAAATGAACATTTTTAGAATGTGTGTTTTTGTTTGTTTGTTTGTTGTTGTTTTTTTAAATAAACCCAATAGTTTGTTGGTTAATATTTTCAGGTAAACCAAAAACTGGTGTTTCTATAGCCTGGCAAAATAATGGTATAAGGGTAAAAAAAATATATCTTGAGAATTTGTCATAAATTGGAATAAATTGGGATTATTTTCATGGGAAAATAATATGAAAATATCAGGTTTTACCAACCATAGAGGTTTAGATGTAATATATGAGCAAAAACATATATTTCAAAGTTTATGTAGCTAAAAATATATTAATAGACTAAAACACACACATGGGTTATTTGAAAATTGAAGCTTAAAACAAACATTAAACAAGATTACTGAAGATCTATCCATCTTTATAATAAAATATGTGTTAAACAAAATAACTGTACTTTTAAAACTGATAATGAAGGCTCTTTATCTTTTATGAGGAAGATCTATTTGTTTTGTTTTTTTGATGAATGCTCTGTTTTGGATTACTAATTTCACCCTGTAAATTATTTCAGTTTCTATTGCATAACCTTGACCAGATATGCTGAATAAATCACAAGTCCACTGATACATTTTCTGATAAAGAATAGCAGAACACTTTAGGAATGATTTTATTATAAAGTTTTAAGAAAATCTACGAAAGTTTTGAATTATTTATTTATTTTTTAATACTCAATTTGGGATAACAACTCTTTCATTTCAATTTAAGGAGTAATTCATTTCCTCTGAATCTTCTTTTTGTATTTCAAAGTAGGGATGCTGACTGGAAATTAATCGTAGATATTAATAATAAAAACATGGTGTGATGGCTAAATTGTTATGAACTTTATATATTGGTGGAATATATTAAGGATTAGAACAACATCAATCTAACACATTTATTTTAACAGTTTATAGGGCAAGTTAGCATTTTTGATCACTTGCAAACCCCTTACAAATGGAGCCCCCCCTCTTGTCCCTCAGTGAGGTCTAGAAGCACAAGATCTATATCCAGCCATTCAGCAAAGATACTGATACATTGCTGTACATCTTATTTTGGCATTTGACCAATTAGATGAACACTTGAATGATATATTACCTCCTGTAAATTAAGTCGAAAAAAGTGAACAAGTCAAGAAAAAGGTAAAAAGCTCATTGAACGGTTAAAATTTAAAGTTCAAAAGTTTATAAGCCTAATTAACAATTATATTTAGGTTTATAAACTAAAAAATGTAGGTGCCAGTATCAGCATTAATTCCTCTAAGGTTATGTTGTACCAAAAAAAAAATGTGTTTCTTTTACTTTTTATGAAATTCTTTTAGAAGAACTTTGTTTTTTTTCTTAATATATTCGGGAAAGTTGGTGTTTCATGTTATTAAATTGACATACATTTTTGACATCAAAGAAACCATATTTTTGGAACGTTAAAAAGGTAATAATGTTTGATTTCAATCAAACTATTGGCTTGAAATTTAGATTTTCAAAGTAATTCACTGAGTGTCCTATAAAGGATTAAATGCTAAAAAATAGTCTTATTTATCAAAAGGTGTTTTCTTAAAGTTGGCTGATATACACATTTATTTTAATCATTAAACACTGAAAATGTAAAATATTAAATTATTTTTCTGTAACTTTCATAATAAAAAAATATATATAATTGTAACTTGTTTTCCCCACTACTTTCAACATTGTTATTTAAATATACAAAAGTAATTTATACATTTTCAAATGTATGTTATCCTTATTGGCAGATCTCAAGTTATATGTTCAAACTTATCTAAACGGATTCAAATGTCCGCATTTATTTAATAGATGTTAAATTATATTTGCATACCAAATAAAACGAATTAACTTGACTACACTAGTTCTTCGCATGGTTGTAAATTATGAAACATTTAATCCATCTGAGTCATAAAGGAAAGCTAGCATTAGCTAGCTCGGTTAGTTGCAGCTGTTACCGAAAAGTTAGCAAACATGAAAATAACAGCAACTCGGGAAGCCGGATTTAAACGAATTGTTGAATAAATGATAAGAAGTCTCCTATTTAATCGTGTAATACAAATTCCTTAAATCCAAAAGCTACAAGAAAGCGGCTAACAGGTTCGCTAAAGTGCTGAACCGGATTGACGGGTTAAGCTAGCTAACCTTATTCCGGTAGCTCTAACGTCTTGTCCTCTTTTGTTATTAGGAGTAACTTTTTCCATCCGAGACTAAATCATTTTAAAACGACACTTACCTAAAACCTTGGTTAATATGGACACCGTTTCCTGTTAACTTGAGATATCTGGTGAAGTGGGCTGTCCGGTTAATGCACTTAAACATACTTTGTACCCATAGAAAACAAATAATGGGCTTTAGGGCGCCATCTTTAAACAGTCTCGATTAGTCGAGCTCAGCGCTCGCGGATGTTTCGTGTCGTAACTCATCAGTTAAACACCAAAATACTTGAACCATTTACACAGATACAAATATAGAGGTCAAATAACGATACAAAGAGAAGTTAAAACATATGGCATGAATCAAACTATCTGTATTTTGTCTGAAATATTGCGTTGCGTCATTGATTCTGAAATCGATTAAACAGTCTGCTGGCAGATTTCCTTATTATATCAAGTCTCGATCCACGTCATGCATACAGATCAGTCCAATCAAGTCCCAGAGGCCTGTTATCCAGCAACTTTTAGAAATCTACCTTACCTGCTCCAAGAAAACTCAACCAAATGGCTTAATTACCTCCCTAGTTAAAGTCAAATTCTCCAGAGTCCTAATTATTTTATTAGACTGTGTTAAAATAGAGACGCATATGGATTTTGACATATAACATATAGCTGATCAGGGAAATAAATATGGTAAGGAAACAATAAAACATAGTTTGATACTGAAATATTATCTCATATATTGTGTAATGCAGTGCATAAATGTTCCAAATGATGGTGCTGTTCAAAATATGGCAAGCCGTTTTAACATAAATTCGGTTGCAACGCCTTTACATTCATGAAATCTCAAATTGTTTTATGACTAGACGTTTTAGGGATTTAAGATATCTCTAGTTATATTTTGACTAGTCAAAATACCTTTTCGAGATATCTCTAATTACATTTTGACTAGTCTAAATTACAACAGATTTTCCATTAACGTGTATGGAGACGTCAATTTAAGATATTTAGAATGAATTACTGACTATTTGAAATAAACATTTCAGATATCTACGATTAAATTACGACTAGTTCCAAAGTAATTTCAAGATGTCTCGATTTTAGTTTTGACTAGTCATAATTCTAATTAAAGATATCTCAAATGCCACCATAATTCATGATATCTTAAATGTATTTTAAGATAGGAGATATGCAGTTTTGACTAGTGAAAACTAAATGATAAATGTCTTAAAAGCAAATAATGACTAGACAAAACAAATTTAAAGATATCTTGAATTGTAATTTGGACTAATTGAAATTCCATTTTAAGATATCTCTAAATGAATTAAAGATATCTTGAAATTTTCAGCTTTTCCATTAAAGATATCTTAAATTGACATTCTGACTAGTCAAACTGTGTCATGATCTTTTCAATGGGCTTCCAGGACGATCATTCCTAAAAAAAAATCCTTACTTTTCCTTCCTTACAAGAGGAAAAGTTAAATCAGGTCCATTTACTGTTATTTTCAGCGCCCGCCCCTACATATGAATTACAGATATGTGACGCTTTAAATGAATAATCCGCTGACATAATTTGAGATATCGTGAAAGGAATTTTGACAAGTCAAAATGTAATTTAAGATATATTGAATTATTATGCTTCCTAATCAGAATGTAAATAGAGATATCTTAAATTACCATTCCGGATAGTCAAAACGTGGTTTTGTCTAGTCAAAATGTATTTTAACCTCTTACACCCTAAGGGGGTATAAATAAATTTCTGCCTGACAAAAACACACAAAAGTAAATCACTTATAGCCTCTCAGCTATTAGATGTAGAAGAAACTTTTGGTACGTCTGTAAAGGTAAGATGTCATAGAATGGTTTTCTGGTGTCAGCACCATTGTAGCTTTGACCCTGCCTGAAATATTAGGGACAAAATACAAAATATTTTGCACTGTTTGAACCTCGCCAAAATTTTCTTTGAAATAAACATTGCAAAACACTACCAAAATATTATTTATAGCACAAAAAAGTAGTACAGACTTTTAAATCTAAATGTTGTGTAAAAATATACCAAATTTGGACTCAATCAGATGAATCATATTTATTTTAGAATGGTATTAGTGAGAAATTTCTTAGGCGGAGAGGCCATTTTGGCACATTTATCCATAAATGTCACCAAACTGTGCCGAATGTGTGCCAAAAACTGTGCCAAAAAACACCAAATGTGTTTTTTACATCAATACTGGGGGTTTGTTAAAATTACGAGGTCACGTAGCAGCTGGACCCGCCGGTGGGTCCGTAGGGTTCTAGGGGTTAAGATATCTGGAACGTAACTATGGATGGTCAGACGAAACCGAATATATGTTAAAATTGGCTTGCCATAACACTGATGCTTTCTGTACCACAATTCTAAAATGTTTGTCCTGCTCGGGACACCGTAGTATAGGGGATTTTTTTTTCAGGAACTGTTGTATTTCTTTTGCGTGTTTTACTGCCTTTAAGGTAAGCCGCAGCTCGGTGTAAAATATACATTACACTAATATACTGAGCTATTTCTGTCTGTTTAGCTTGCCAGTTAAGTACAAATTACATTTTGTACTGGTGATGTTTGATTATTTTGTAAAAAAAAAAAAAAAAAAAAAAAAAAGAAAGAAAGAAAGAAGGAAAGAAAGAAAACGGTTGCTGACAGTTTTACTGCTGTAATGTGGACAAAATAAACGCGCCAAGGTCTCCCCACCACTAAGAGCCCTGTGTCAGATTCCTATTCTGCACGAAACTCATCCCACCTTCACCCAAAAGAAAACACAAGGCAGAGTTTATAGGGTGTCTTCCACAAGCTGCAGGTTAAAGAGGGAAAGCCTGGGTTACACTTGAGATAAGCAATCTCTACGTAAAAAAAAAGAAATCAAATCAAATTCTCAGAAAGATGCAGCCCAGCATCTCAAATTAAAATTTTATGGAAGGAAAAAGTCTGAAAAATAAAATCTACAAGCATCAAGGATGTCATCTGATGCTACTTATTACTTCTTGTGTACAGTAGGCTACATTTGCTGAAACCCCCCCCAAAAAAACACTTTATAGCTGATGATTTTATTTCCCCATGCTTTGCAAAAAATAGAAATACCTCCTTTGATTTCCATGATATTTCTGGCCGAACCAGGCCAGCAAAAAAATTCAATTCTTAACTTTTTGTAGAATCAAAAGAAATGTGAGAGAAAACATGTTGAAAACCATTATCTCAAGCACTGTGTAAAACTGGGCTTCCCTGAAATCTGTTCATTGATAGCTGCAGGCTGATCGCCTCCATTGATACAGTTACTCTTGCAAAAGGAGTCCTGAACATGTACTGAATGCATAATGTCCAGTAGACGTAGAGGGCTTTCAGCAGTAAAACATCCACCCATCTTCTAACAGGCTTAATCCCAAGTGGGATTCCAGCTGTCAATGGGCAAGAGGCAGGTTACAGCCTGGACAGGTCGCCAGTCCAACGCAGAGCAACACAGTGACAAACAACCACACACCAATTAACCTAACAGTCATGTTTTTGGACTGTGGGAGGAAGCCAGAATACCCACACTGCAAAAAATGTAAATCTAAGTAAGTAAATTTTTCTTAAAACGAGTGTATTTCTTCTTGAATTGAGCAGGTAAGTAAGACTCTTTGCCAATGGAATAAGACAATTTAGATTTAAAATAAGAAAAAAAGACTATAGTCTCTTACTTCAAGCGCATAATATCTAATTTATATTATTTTAAGGGTAAAAATGCTCATTCCATTGGCAGATCATCTTATTTTCCTACTCAAATTTAAGGTAAATACACTTATTTAAAGACATTTTTACTAATTTTCAGAATGTTTTTGCAGTGCAGAGAGAACCCACACATGCTCAGGGAGAACATTCAAACCCATGCAGAAAAACCCTGGGCTGGGAATTGAACCCAGAACCTTCTTGCTACAAGGCAGCGGTGCTACCCACTGTGCCACTGAGAAGTATTACACCATATTTAAAGTATATTTTATAAAAAAGAAATGGTGTATGTGTTTTAATCAGATGATTTTAGAGGCGATAAAATCCCACTCAAACTTACTTTTTCCATTTTGCATTATCTGGGTTATAACACAACTCTTTAACTCCTTTTAGCAGTTTTGCACAACATAATCCGAGAATAAGCTTTGTTTTATATACTGATCCCACCTCCAATGTCATCACTTATTTATCCTTGACTTTGGTGTCAATTTGCTGTCTAGTCAGTTATATTCTTTAAAACAAAAAAAACAAAAAACAAAACTAAGGCCTTTCAGAACAGCTTAATTTACAATTAGATTATTTAATTGACACCTGAATCTGTTTGCGACTTAAGTAGCTTAAAATATATATACCGGTATATATTTTGCTACTTTGTGGTGGTGTTATATAAAATCACAGCAAAATAAATCTGAGGGAAAAATGTAATAAAAAGGGACAAAAAAAGTGTGTAAATATCAAGCTAGGGACTGAATTCATGAAACAGTTTGGAAACAGACACAAAGTACAAATATATTTTTACGAACGATGAAGGATATAAAGGATGCATGTAGCATATATTTAAAGTTGCCAATGTTATATATATATATATATATATATATATATATATATATATATATATATATATATATATATATATATATATATATATGTATATATATATATATATATATTTAAAATAAAGGCAGCAAATTAGATATAGAAAATAGTCATATTGTATAAAAGAACAGGAGTATAAAAAGTGTAAAACGTCTGAGTCATTTCCTAGCATATAGTAAACCAAATCATTTTTGTTTCCTTTGTTACACATATGGAAAATTATTATGTATTTTTTTCATATTTATTTATATTTTTCTCAGTCTAAGTAATTCTTTTAAATTGTTTGTATTGTTTGAAATGAAAAATCTAATCTAAACTGTGTGGTTGTGAATATTTTTGCAAGGCGCTGATATTCCTTCTTTTGTCTGTAGAAACGTAATACTTATATTGCATTAATACAGGTAAATCATTCTTTAATGTAACAACAGATGTATAGGGAACTAATTTTAATGTTATTTCAGGTAAAAATTAAGAGTTCTGCAGCAGATGGGCTGAGAAGAGCTGCCATTTGCAGGCTCCAGCTTTGTCCACTAGATGGCGACAAAACCCCGTATTTGCTCATTTTGGGGGGAAAAACTCCATTATTTTGGAGTTTTGTGGAATTTTGCTAGTTATACAACGCATGACGTATGATTTGTAACATACACTGTTCATTTACCTGAGCCCCAGGAACATTTATTGAAAAAAAAGTATGAATTTCACCATGATTGTATACAGGTGCTGAGCTTGGCCTCCTGGTGACATAATTACCTTTAGAGGATCCTTATGAGTTCAAGTGTAAATATGGGTCAACTTATAATCAAAAACTTTAAGTAACTTTAAGTTTAAACCTTTAAGTACTCAAGGAAGTTATGTAATTGTTATTTCTTAACAGCTTTAGACTTTTAACGGTACAGTAGGTCACTCTGCAGAGAGCGCCCTGTGTTATCTACTGTTTCTGTTTGTATTGAAAGAGGAACGATTGTTAAAGAGACATTCACCAGACTCCACTCTGATATGTAACGCCCTCCTCTTTTAAATCTTAACCCAGCAGAACTGTAAATCCCTTTGAACTGGACAGCAAGCTGAGTGAGACCATCAGTGAACTCTGCAGAGCAACATGGAGGACTCAAATCACAGACTAGGCCAGAAGAAAGTGGTAGCAGTGGTGGGTGGTGGTTTGGTAAGGACGAAATTGAAAGCTAATAATTAATCTAGTGTCCATATTGTTTTATTTTGTCTTTGCTTTGTTTTCTTTTTCCCATTCTCTCACTAAGAAATGTGGCTAAATGCTCTTGCTGCTTCGTAACAGTCTGGCAGCTATGACTCTAAATAGCAATAGGTCACAAAAAGGGGAACTTTGGACTGCACCATTGTGCTATTGTGTGTAAAGCAGTGATTTCCTGCCCTTTTGTAAATGGATCTGTTTTAATCTTTGAGGTGGGGGCCCTAAACGCCTGCTTCTTCGCCAAAAGAGGCTTTCAGGTGGAAGTGTTTGAGACGAGAGAAGGTAGCATTCACTTTCCTCTTTTACAAAGCCACAAAATCTGCAACACCTCAGCCAAAATCTCAGTAGATGATTATCACTGTGACTAGTTTTACAAAGCTACTGATCATTCATTTCTGTTTTGTGTCTGTTTTTGGTCAGATATTAGGAATGCCAAAGTAGTAAAAGGCAGAAGCATCAACTTGGCCTTGTCCCACAGAGGCCGGCAAGCCCTGAAACATGTTGGAATGGAGGATAAGGTAAGAGACAAGTCAGAGATAAAGTTAAGAAGTTTAAATCAGGGTTACGTTGTAAAGAAAAAATAAAAAAATCAAAGCCATAAAAATAAAAAGCATGTTTTACCTGTGAAGAGAGCAGTCCCACCATAAGACACGGCAATGGCAGAATCATGGTGCGGGGAAGCTTCTTTATAACAGATCAGAGCGGGTAGAGAAAGAAAAATGCAGGAAGATCCTGGAGAAAAACGGCTTTGAAGCTGAAAGAGACTCCAGATCATGTCAGAGGTTTGTCCCCCTGCAGGACATTGACCCTAAACAGCTTGAGCTACGATGAGAATCTGCAGTACTATTTGAATATTGCTGGTATTATACAATCTCCATCCAATATGTCTGACAATAAGGTGGAAGCTATCTCCACTTCACATCCAGTTTCAGTCCTGGGGGGGAAAACAGCTCTATACTTTACTCCTGTTCATGCATATCAATCAAAATTCAGCGCTATGTCTCCTGCTGAGGTCTGAGCTCTATAGACCAAGTAATTATATCAATAAATTTCTTCTGTCTTTTCTCTCCGTGTGAGTTTTTCAGATTGAACTAAAGCTTTAAACCCCAATTTAAGCATTAATCTGACCAAAATGTTTAGCATTCAATGTTACCGTAGCAGCTTGTAGTTTATTCATATTTCCCAATAATTTGCGAAAATCTAACATTATTATACGACAGCAAAACTGAATGCATTTTGTTTGGTTCTCCATCAATTTCAAATGTTCTCGCCACAAACTCCAGCAATCTAGCCCCCTTTTTTAAATGCCATGTCAAAAATCTCGGGGTAACATTTGATAATGGGCTTAAATTTGACAAACAGATTAGCTCCGTAGTCAGCTCAAGCTTTTTCCAGCTCCGTCTTTTGGCCAAAGTCAAGTCTTTTCTCAGTCGGCAGGATCTTGAGAAGGCAATCCATGCTTTTATTAGTTCAACACTGGACTACTGCAATGCCCTTTATGTTTGCCTCAGTCAGTCATCAATTTCTCGTCTCCAACTTGTGCAGAACGCTGCTGCCCGATTTTTAACTAACACATCCAGACGTGAACACATTACCCGTGCTGTCGTCACTCCACTGGCTTCCAGTCCGTTTTAGAATCGATTTTAAACTTCTGCTGTTTGTTTTTAACGCCATTCATGGCTTGCCCCCCTCTTACTTGTCTGAGATTTTAACTTTCCGCAATTGTGGCAGAGCTTTACGCTCCTCGGGACAGCTTCTGTTAGAGGTCCCTAGGTCAAGACTTAAACAGTGGGGCAATGGTTCTTTTGCCGTCGCTGCTCCCAGATTGTGGAACACTCTACCCCCTGACATCCGCACCACTACTGACCTCAGCCTTTTTAAAAAAAAGCTTAAAACCCACTTTTTTAATTTTGCTTTTAATTCTGACTATAAAACTGTCTCTTAGATGTCATCTTTCTGTGTGCTCCTTTCTATGCACCTCTGGTTTGATTTGATTTGATTTGATTAGATTGGCATATACATATGGGTCTTTTATATTCTTTTGGCTGTTTTGTTTATTAATAATAATAGAATATTGAATATATGGTTTTCCACCAAGGATTTTTGTCCAACACTGCAAAAACGATCTCAAAATGAGTAACAATGTCTTAAATTAAGGGTTTTTACCCTTAATTTGAGCCGGTAAATAAGATGAGTTGCCAATAGAATGAGTATTTTTACTCTTAAAATAAGGTATCCAGATATTATGCACTTGAAATAAGAAAATGCAATTGTTTTTTCTTATTTTAAGTGTAAATTGTCTTGTTCCGTTGGCAAAGTGTCTCACTTAAATACTTAACTCAAGAAAAAATACACTTATTTTAAGAAAGAAATGACTTATTTAGATTTAATTTTTTTTGCAGTGAAGTCTTTATAGGATTCTTATCTCTGAGCTGTTCGTTGTTCCAGCTGCTACACATTTGTCCCTGTGAGGTTGTTGAACATTGATCGAGGCTATTTTTTCAGCACTTGGATGGATTTACAGCAGGATGAAATGAGGATGGCTTTGAACCAAGCTTTTAAAGGCAGACATGTCCTCTAATGTCTCGCAGACTAAATGCGGAGGGTCATTTATAACTTTGTTTCATCAAACTAATCCATCCTGAAGTTGATTTAACTCACTATTTTATCAAAATCCTCTTTGATGTTCTTCCCCCAGATTGTTTCTAAGGGAATCCCAATGAATGCGAGGATGATTCATTCGCTGAGTGGGAAACAGTCTCCCATCCCTTATGGAAAGAAAGGCCAGGTAAAACTGCTGTTTTTTTATTTTTTATTGCCTCCCTAAAGAATCGCTGTCAAGATCTGCTAGATTTCTGGTTTAGAGTTAGAAAAGTTTGTGCTGCAATGCTCTGAAATCTGTTATTCATATGAATAATACATGCAAAAAAAAAAAAATACATATTCACAGTTTTAAAACACTCTTGTAAATAAATAAATCCGATTTCCCACAATGCTCTGTAAGGCTAAAAGAACATTTCTCTACATCTGTATGACAAGCATCTTGTTTGGAAAGATCCCACAGGGATTGCCTCATGTAAACATATTCAGTCTACAGATAAAATATTCATTATTCTGCAAGAGTTTGGACTAACTTTAAAACAAAGTAATAGAATCAGGATTCACAACAGTACTGAGCAACTAATCATAAAAATTAACCAAAACCTGTTTAAAAAGTCTCTAATGAGACTTTTTTTTTTTATCAAGAAAAATCATAATTTGTGTGGGGGGTGGAAAATTTAAATTAACCACAGGTATCCTTAAAAACTCTCTGTATGACCTCTTACAGCGTTGTGAAGTCAACATTGTAGTTTCAGCCACTGTCATGTACAACATGTCTTCCTTTTTATTGCAGTTTTGCACATTTGTTTCTGTGCCTTTGTTTGATTTAAAGTCTAACTTTTAATGATTTTGGTTTACAAAGACGTTTACCTTGTTGGATCCAGTTCATGTTGCTGCAAAAAATAATTATTGAACTTTATTGATCTCAAATTGGAGAAATTTACCTCCGCATTTAACCCATCCCCTTGGGGAGCAGTGGGCTGCCATTGTGGGGCGCCCGGGGAGCAATGTGGGGTTAAGAGTCTTTTGTTATGGTTCCTATTTGTTGTGACTCTGAGTTTTCAGTTTTCTGTTATCAGTTGTTTTGTTTTTATTTTCCATTATCTTCAAGCATTCTTTAGTTACTCTCTGTTGCCCCCTTGTGATTGTTTTCTTTCCCCTTGGATTCCCTCTTGCCAGTTCCACCCACACCTGCTCCTCATTCAGCTCGTTAGTCCATCCTTTGTTTTGTTCTCCTTAAATACTCCACCTCTGCAGTCACTCAGTGCTGGTTCCTTCTCGTTGCTGTATTGTCTACTCTGCTCGTCTCTCCCCGGCTCCTCAGACTCGTTTTTTCCCCTGATGTCTCCATGATAGGGATGCACGATATTGGGATTTTGGCCGATATCCGATATGCCGATATTTTTAAACTCATGTAGCCGATAATCGATATCGATACCGATGTTAAAGCTGGACAAAAATAAGTAGTCATTGAAAATAGCAGTTTTGTTTCTGACACTTTGAAAAATAATATACTCAAATATATTTTCATATGCTGATATCAAATTGATTTTTAAAAACACGGTATTCTTTCAAAATCTCGTGAAATTTCATCGTTCTGTTACAAACTCTTGTGATATTTTGCGAATTCTTGTGAGATTTTGTTAGTAAAATAGATCAATACCGCGTCAATATATCAACATATAAAAATATGGCAAAATTTCGTGAATTTTCGGGGGATTTTGTAGCATAACGATGACATATAGCAATATTTCATTAGTAAAAGAGATTGATATGGTGTTTATTAAATGGCAATATATCAACATATGAAGATGTTGTGATATTTTAATGTATCAATATTTTTCCCTCGTCTTTAGAAGTTTTTAAGTCTGTAAAAAAGACGTTTTTGAGGAAGAAGAAGAAGTAGTATTTTTATTTTTTTTTTAGACTTTAGAAACTCAGAAGCTGATCAAATATCGGGTTAAATATCGGTGAGGTGGCCGATGTCAGATATTCAGTTTTAAGGCCGATACCGATAGGGGGCCGATTATATCGTGCATCCCTACTCCATGATTTTGGTTTGTTTTATATTTTAAGTTAATTTTGCCTTTGCTGCTATTTGGTCTGCAATTAAACCTCTCAGAACTCATCTCTGCTTCACAGGTCTCTGCATCTGGGTCCTCAAGCAACCTCACCACCCATTGTTGTCATCTTTACTCAGATTCCAAGCTCTATGCCCTAACCACTAGGCCGCCACTCCTCGCCAGAAAAAAAAAATCCCGTACAGATGCTTCTCTTAAATTATTTCTATTGTCTTTCCTACTTCGGTATTGTGTTAAAACCCCTGCTTTTCTACAGATGTCCAAACCAATTATGATAAATCATAATTAACTATCATTTTCCGGGTTTGGTTGAGGTTTTGAGGACCCAAATGAAGAGACGAGAAGGCAGAGGTGTGTTGTTGAGGATTCCATTGAATAACTGAGGCAAAAATCCAAAAACGAAAGCACAAAAGACATGGAACCGAAAACTAGACAACTTCATGGTAAAACTCACTTGGGGAGCCAGGAAAAGACGAGGAACCAGTACTGAGGAACTGCACATGGAGAGTATATATGGGAGGCTGAACAAAGACGAGACTAATTAGCTGATTGGGGGCAGGTGTGAACAGAGGAGTCTAGAAAGGAGCCAGGGAAGACCAACACCAGAGGGCAACCAAGAAAAGCCTAAGAACTCATATATCTAGAAAACACCACAAAATAGAAATTAAACCAATACAACAAGAAAACAAAAAAAAACATGGATCAAAGTGAAACTAAAACCTCAAAAGAAAACATAACAGAATCAAGATCGTGACATTCAGAAAATTTTTACCTGAAAAAGTTGCCTTTTTTAATCATGGCCACATGAATCCACCATTTAACTAAATACAATTGTGTATGGCATTATGAAATACCCCCCCCCATCCTGCCAATTTGACAGAGGCTCATAATCTCATTAAGAAAACTTCATGGAAAAATAAAAGAAAAATATTTAAGAGGAGCATGAACAAACATGAAGCAAATAAACCTCAGAGACTTCTTGTTCCCGTTTGAAAGAGAAAGCTCACACTTCTGTCTGAGAAGTTGAACATAATTAGAATATAAAACAGCTTGTTCTTTTTTTCAGTACATCCTGTCGGTTGACCGAGCCAATCTAAACAAAGAACTGTTAACAGGTAAGAAAGTTTCACTCCTGGTGTTTTTCGAGAACACAGATCAAGCCAGAATCTGCTCCATAGACACTTTGAATGGTGGCATACTGCATTGGTTCCACTTTACATCAGGGACCTCACTGTATAGTTGGAATACAAGTAAAAGAAGATGATCGGGTTTGTGATCACTAAGTGATCACCATTTTCTTCAGACTATGTGTATATATTGATTTTACCTGTGTCTCTTGCTGGGTTTTACAGATTTTTTAAAGCAGTAGTATTTTTTAGATTTGAATCAATTCAATTCAATTCAGTTTTTTTCTATAGCACCAATTCACAACACATTTTATCTCAAGGCACTTTACAGTTCATCACATGATACAGTAAGATTGATTCAAAGTTTTCGATCTAAGGAAAACCAGTAAATTGCATCGACTCATTGCTCGAATGCAGTGTTGTATAGTATCGAAGTAAAAATACTTCACTACTGTACTTAAGTATATTTTGGAGTACTTTATACTTTCCAAAGTATAATTTTTTTTGAGAACTTTCACTTTTACTTCACTACATTTACGAACTTAATTGCATACTTTTACTCCGATATATTTTCAGTGTTTGGTTTACAGGTGCTGGTCATAAAATTAGAATATCATGAAAAAGTTGATTGATTTCAGTAATTCCATTTAAAAAGTGAAACTTTTATATTATATTCATACATTACATACAAACTCATATATTTCAGATGTTTATTTTGTTTAATTTTGATGATTACAAATGACAACAAATGAAAATCTCAAATTCATCATATCAGAAAATTAGAATATTGTGAAAAGGTTCAAAATTGATGGCCCCTGGTGCCACACTCTAATCAGCTAATTAACTCAAACCACCTGCAAAAGCCTTTAAATGGTCTTTCAGTCTAGTTCTATAGGCTACACAATCATGGGGAAGACTGCTGACTTGACAGTTGTCCAAAAGACGACCATCGACACCTTGCACAAGGAGGGCAAGACACAAAAGGTCATCGCTAAAGAGGCTGGCTGTTCACAGAGCTCAGTGTCCAAGCACATTAATAGAGAGGCGAAGGGAAGGAAAAGATGTGGTCGAAAAAAGTGTACAAGCAAGAGAGATAACCGCACCCTGGAGAGGATTGTGAAACAAAACCCATTCAAAAATGTGGGGGAGATTCACAAAGAGTGGACTGCAGCTGGAGTGAGTGCTTCAAGAACCACCACACACAGACGTATGAAAGACATGGGTTTCTGCTGTCGCATTCCTTGTGTCAAGCCACTCTTGAACCACAGACAGCGTCAGAAGCGTCTTGCCTGGGCTAAAGAGAAACAGGACTGGACTGCTGGTGAGTGGTCCAAAGTCATGTTCTCTGATGAAAGTAAATTTTGCATTTCCTTTGGAAATCAAGGTCCCAGAGTCTGGAGGAAAAGAAGAGAGGCACTTCATCCACGTTGCTTGAAGTCCAGTGTAAAGTTTCCACAGTCAGTGATGGTTTGGGGTGCCATGTCATCTGCTGGTGTTGGTCCATTGTGTTTTCTGAGGTCCAGGGTCAACGCAGCCACATACCAGGAAGTTTTAGAGCACTTCATGCTTCCTGCAGCTGACCAACTTTTTGGAGATGCAGATTTCATTTTCCAACAGGACTTGGCACCTGCACACAGTGCCAAAGCTACCAGTACCTGGTTGAAGGACCATGGTATCCCTGTTCTTAATTGGCCAGCAAACTCTCCTGACCTTAACCCCATAGAAAATCTATGGGGTATTGTGAAGAAGAAGATGCAATACACCAGACCCAACAATTCAGAAGAGCTAAAAGCCACTATTAGAGCAACCTGGGCTATCATAACACCTGAGCAGTGCCACAGACTGATCGACTCCATGCCACGCCGCATTGCTGCAGTAATACAGGCCAAAGGAGGCCCAACTAAATACTGAGTGCTGTACATGCTCATACTTTTCATGTTCATACTTTTCAGTTGGCCAACATTTCTATAAATCCTTTGTTTTTATTGGTCTTCAGTAATATTCTAATTTTCTGATATGATGAATTTGAGATTTTCATTTGTTGTCATTTGTAATCATCAAAATTAAACAAAATAAACATCTGAAATATATGAGTTTGTATGTAATGTATGAATATAATATACAAGTTTCACTTTTTAAATGGAATTACTGAAATCAATCAACTTTTTCATGATATTCTAATTTTATGACCAGCACCTGTAGTTACTACCGTAAGTAAAAAAAAAGAAAACGAACAAGAGAGCGAGAGAAACGCAAGTGTTTTGACCTCACCTACTGACTACAAAGTCTGGTCTTGCCTGGGCTTTTTCATCAACACCAACAGGATACGCCTGTTTCGCAAACCCAGTCTAAATTTATCCTACACTTCGTTGTTTATATTATTTTAAGTGAATTTAACCTTCAAAGTTTACCAAAATGTTAAAAAAAAATGTCATTCAAACTGCACTTACTTTTTACTTATACTTTTCACTACATTACTTGAGTAAATCTATTTTTACAGTAATTCTTATACTTTAAGACTTTTACTCAAGTAACATTTCAGTCAGAGACTTGGACTTTTACCAAAGTCATATTTTGGAGAGGTACTTATACTTTTACTTGACTCCGAGATTTCAGTACTTTATGCAACACTGCTCGAATGCAATCCCTCACACTAAGCATGCTTGTAGCAACAGTGGAGAGGAAAAACTCCCTTTTAACAGGAAGAAACCTCCAGCAGAACCAGGCTCAGTGTGAGCGGCCATCTGCCGAGTCCGACTGCGGTTCAAGGAGACAGAAGCAGAGATACAAACGGCAACTGTAAAAGGCGGCCCCGTCCAGGAAACACACAGCCAGGCAGACGAGCTCTGAGCCAGCTCCCATGTGAGAGAATGAAGAGAGCACATCCAACCAGTCACAGTCAGAGAAACAGGACTGCACTGGAAAAACAGGCCAATCTCGAACATGTATATAATCACAGGTGTTGAAGGCAGCGGCACAGCTGATATTTCTCCAACTTTTTCTTGCCTGTGTCCAGGGACAACGGATAATTAGCTTGTAGCTACATCTAGTTTTTACAGCACATTTGTTGTCCCTGTCAGTTATAGTGCATGTCGGTTGTTTAAATTGATCAAAAGTTCTCATTAAAACCCCAGGAACCAATATCATCCAGTTCTTTCTAAATATAATTTGTACTTTGTAAAAAAAAAAATAATAATAATAATAATAATCTTTCACTGCTTGGTTAAGATTGGTGTTTCTTTGTAGAGCAAATCTTCTCTGAAATCTAATATTCAGAAGTCTGTTTTGTTTTTCACCATCTGACTGTTTTATCATAAATAAGTGAGATTTGGATTTAGATCTAAATCCATCTAATTTGATCCTGTTTACATGAGTTTAATTAGACTACTGAACCAGATGTTTATTTTTTCAGATGTTTTTTTCTTTTTTTTAAGCTTTGAGGAGACAATTAATCAGCTGATCGTGGAAAAAAACCCACCCTTACTTTAAAAATGTGTTTATTAAAAAAACAGTCTTAACTGAACTGCATTAATTTGAGCTTAAATCAATGTCATTTGAACTGCATTTAGCAGAACTGCAGAATTTGAGTTGAAGTGATTCTTGCTGGTACTTGCAGCTACTACTACATGGAGTCTTCTCGATGTGCACTGTCCAAAAACATGACTACTAGGTCAACTGGTGTCTCTGAACGTACCTTTACGTGTGTGCTTGTGTGTCTGATGGTGTGTCTGTGTTGCAGCATTAAAAAAGAAATACATAGAAATATAATAAAATAAAAACATATATATAAAATGAAATAAAAAATATAAAATAAAATAATAAAAGCTGTTTTAAAAGAGAAAAGAGAAACATCTAAGGGGGACCAAACGTTTTGCTAAAAATAAATGTTTTAAGTAGGGATGCACGATATTGGGATTTTGGCCGATATCCGATATGCCGATATTTTAAAACTCATGTAGCCGATAACCGATATCGATTCTGATGTTAAAGCTGGACAAAAATAAGTAGTCATTGAAAATAGTAGTTTTGTTATCCATTTCTGACACTTTGAAAAATAATATATAGTCAAATATATTTTCATATGCTGATATCAAATAGATTTTTAAAAACGCGGTATCGATCTATTTTACTTTCAAAATCTCGTGAAATTTCATCGTTCCGTTACAAACTCTCGTGATATTTTGCAAATTCTTGTGAGATTTTGTTAGTAAAATAGATCGATACCGCATCAATATATCAACATATAAAAATATGGCAAAATTTTGTGAATTTTCGGGGGATTTCGTAGCATAACGATGACATATAGCAATATTTCATTAGTAAAAGAGATCGATATGGTGTTTTTAAATGGCAATATATCAGCATATGAAGATATTGTGATATTTTAATGTATCAATATTTTTTCCCTCGTCTTTAGAAGCTTTTAAGTCTGTAAAAAAGAAGCTTTTGAGGAAGAAAAAGAAGCAGTATTTTTATTTTATTTTTTTTAAGACTTTAGAAACTCAGAAGCTGATCAAATATCGGGTTAAATATCGGTGGGATGGCCGATGTCCGATATTCAGTTTTAAGGCCGATACAGGCCGATACTGATAGGGGGGCGATTATATCGTGCATCCCTAGTTTTAAGGCCTTTTTTTAAAACACTCAGTGGACTAAAATCTAAATAGGTCATTTTTTCTTTAAATAAGTGTGTTTTGTCTTGAATTGAGGAGAAAAGTGAGACACTTCGCCAATGGAACAAGACAATTTACATCTAAAATAAGAAAAAACAATTGCATTGTCTTATTTCAAGCACGTTTGATCTAATTATCTTATTTTAAGAGTAAAACTACTCATTCCATTGGCAGATCATCTTATTTACCTGCTCAAATTAAGGGTAAATAAACAAAATGTAAGAAATTTTTACTTTTCTCTAGATTTTTTTTGCACTGTAAATGTTGGATGGATTATTAGATGTGAATTCAACTGATTTACTGAAGTTATTTAAACTGCAGTTTATTTTTCAATGAGAATATTCTTTTTCTTTTTTTTTTGTTAAACTAAACTGACCTGAAATAATGTGAATGTGGTAGAGTTGAACTGGATTACTTAAATTAACCTGGAAACAAACTGAACTGGATAATCCAAAATGTGCTAAATTATGTTTTTGAACTAAACTGAAAGGAACAGTTTAATTTCACCTTTGAATGTATAAACTAAACTGAACTGAATGGCAGATCTGGATTGAATTTGTTGACATTAACCAACACCTTTTATAAAGACTCTAACTTTGCATTGCCTACCAGTTTCCTGCAGGTGATTGACATTAAAGCCTCGCTTGGTGCTCCCGGCAGTGTGCTGCTATAAAACACCTGCTGACTGATCAATCATACTACATTTTAATGTTTTGGTATCCAATTTGTCTTAATCATACGTTTGGAATCCCATATAATTGTATTAAATTGTTTTTACTCTAAGTTACAACACTCTTTTGAAGTTTATGCTCCTTTCTTCTGCCTCATCGTTCCACCATCTCTTCATTCTCCTTCTGCGTTGGTTCCTTGGCGTTCTTTAAAAGTGCCTCGGGGCATCAGGCGACATCAGGGGCTCGGTTCTACACCTTTTTTTTTTTTGGTTTTTAGCTAGAAGGATTTTTTTCGCCCAATATTTAATGAGGAGCCTCTGGGAGATCAAGTGTGACAGATTGGCTCTGCCTTTAATTAGATTGCCTGGATAGAGATAGTCCTCGCTCTCATCGGGGCTGATTCAGCCTCCTGCAGTGAACTCTGAGATAAGAGATTTTTGCAACGTGACATCCCAAAAACAATCGTCACCGATTGGTCACCGACAGCTGAGCTGTGTTGTTCCAGAAACTCATTGTGATCCACACACGACTTCATCTCCTCGGCTTTTTGCTGACACACTGAGTCTGTTCTCCATTTTCATAGGAGAGGAAAAGTTTACTGTTAGAAGATGTTTCTCATATGCAGCTTGCTGGTGTCATAAGCTGTTTTTGTTTCTGTCACAGAGGCAGAGAGGTATCCAAACACAAAGTTGAACTTTGACCACAAACTGCAGGACTGGAGTGCTGCAACGGGACTCATGACCTTCGCCAGGTAAATAGTGATCAGAGACACGTGAGTGTCTCTGAGCGGAAAGGATGTTTACCCTTTATAGGGCAAGATAGCGTTTTTTGACTTGCATACCCCTTACAAATGGAGTCCCCCCCGTCCCTAAGTGAGGTCTAGAAGCACAAGATCTATATCCAGCCATTCAGCAAAGATACTGCTGTTATGATTTTACCTAAAGATCTGACCCACATGGGAAAAGTTTAACAGGTTTTATTTGTGAGTAGGTAGAGAGGAGTCCAGTGCTGCTCTGAACACTGGCGAACCGGGACTGAAATGTGAAGGGGAAGATTCTGCGGTTAGTTCAGGCTCAGTGGGAAATTTGTGTCTTTGATTTGAAGAAGGGAATACATGCAACAGGACTCACGTTTACAGAAAAAGGTATCTTTTGTTGAATCCAGTCGGCGTGGGTTGTTCGAGTAGTAGACTTGTTCGTTAGAGGGCGGACAGGGTTTAAGCAGGTTGAGGTGTTTCCTTGAGGAACGGAGGAGCTGACTGCCACTTAGATTTCCTGCGGTACTTGAATGGTTTCTTGTGGAGATGAATCCCCTGCTCAGAGAGAAGCCCAAACAGTCCTTGGGGAAAAGTTGATCCAAACCACCAGTTTGAATCCTCAGCTCAGTTTCGGCGCTCAGAGAATCCTTCCAGGGGGGAGAAGGTCCAAAACATCCAGTTTGCAGGATGACTTCCTGCCGAGAGGCAAAGACAAAAAAACAACGAGGTTAAAACTCAGGTGACAAAAACTCAGTTTGACTCAGCAAAACTCAGCTTGGCTAGAGTACCCAAAACTGGTGTCAAGGTAGTGGCAGCCAGCAGCTTAAGAGTCCTCCGGTAATGAGGCAACCCTCCGCAGGTGTGTGAGGAGGCCGGCGAGAACCAGGCGCCACCTGGTGGTGGAGGGAAAACAAACAAAAAACACAACCCACACAAACTGGACTCCTAACAACTGTTACATGACTGTACATCTTATTTTGGTATTTGACCAATTAGATGAGACCTTGGATGATATATTACCTACTGTAAATTAAGTTGAAAAAAGTCTAGAAAAAAAGGTAAAAAGCTAGTTGCAAAGTTAAAAAAGTAAAGTTAAAAATTTAATAAGCTAGTTAACCCTTTATAGGGCAAGTCACTGTTTTTGATCACATGCCTTACAAATGTAGTGTCCCCCACCCCCCCCGCCCAGTGAAGTCTAGAAGCACAAGATCTATATCCAGCTATTTAGCAAAGATACTGCTACATGGCTGTACGTCTTATTTTGGTATTAGACCATCCAAATATTGGATGATATATTACCTACTGGAAATTAAGTTGGAAAAAAAAGTTAACAAGTTAAGAAAAAATGGTAAAAAGCTAATTAACACTAGAACTACTACGGAAGGGTCAATTGTCCTTTTTACCTAAAAGCCCTACAAGAGGGTCATTTGTCCCTTTTGACCTCCTGCGGACACTCCTTTTGTTGTGGAAATGTGGCTGTTAGCAGCTCATAGCTGTCACTTGAGTCACAGAGTCGCTTGAGCCTGTGTGGGGAGGCTACACAGGCTCAACTTGGCCAAGGCAAGCTTTTAGTATACTTTTTAGTGGATTTTTACGCAGTGAATCATCAGGATCAACGAGAATTTGGGATCAAAACTCTAAACATTTATTGTTAAAAAAATACAAAACAAAACATATTTACAATGAATGCAAAAGCAACTGTTTTCCCAGTTTTCGTGTGGAAGGTTTTGGCATAAGTAACTTATTTTTGTGTGCCAAAAATAGAAGAAAAAGGAATTACAAAGAAAAAAAGCATATTTACAAAGAATGCAAATGAGTGAAATACATTTGAGCAGTCACTAACAATTCTGGCACTGCCATTGCTCCTTTCGGCATTTCCCACATGTGTATTTGTAACACTTTTCACAGCGCACTTTTGCACGATTGTCCTTGCATTTGATTTTAGCCTGACACTTGGCTCTTTGTCCGAGTTGTGGTGTGGAGGGTTGTTGCCGAAGCAATTGCTCCTTTTGGGCCTTTTTCATACCCATGTGGGAGTGAGCCAACTCTCTTGCCAGTTCAAACAGGAAATCCACCCGTCTTTCCTTTCTCCCGGTGCATAATTGATAGAGCACGTGGGCATTCAGTGCTGCAATGTCTATCATGTTGTAGAACACTGCTACTGGCCAGCCCTTGTTGCTGCACGGACAGTGTATTCCCGCACCATCTGGTCCATGACATCGACGCCGCACTTTGTTGTGTTGTAGAGTGTGATGGTGTTTGGCTTCTTTTTGGTGGTTTTCTGTGTCTCAATCGTGCTGTGCATGCTGCTGAGAACATACACAGTCTTCTTCCGCTTGGGTGCATACACAGTCAGTGTGGCACCAGTGGATGAAAATACCTGGGTGGTAAATTCATTGCGGTGCATCTGTCGAGTTGACGGTGGGATTTCTTGGCGAATCCTGTTGACTGTGCCGAGGATGGTTGTGTTCCGGCTGAATAGGCATTTTGCAAGTGACAGTGATGTAAAGAAATTGTCTGTGGTAACATTTCTGCCCTTGTCCAAGAATGGTTCCATCAACCTCATAACTACACTCTCAGACACTCTCTCCCCACGAGGCCGAATGGGGTCCTTGCCAAGATATGGGAGGATGTTGCAGACGTATTTGGTTTTCAAGTCACACGCCACCCAAAAAATGATACCAAACTTGTCTGATTTAGTTGCAATGTACTGTAGGAAACAGCAGCGAGTCTTGCACGGGAAAAGTTGTTCGTCAATAGTGATGTCTTGACCAGGACTGTAGGATGTGATGCAGTTGGTGACAAACAATCCCCATATGTTTGAAATTGCAGCAAACCTATCAGTCTGTACTCGATCGCTGCGGGTGTCTCTGTCATCAAAACACAGGTGATGCATGATGTTTTGGAAACGGCCTCGGGTCATGGTTTCGATGATGTGTGGGCTTCCCAGGTTTTTCGACCAACAGTCAGGCAGTGATGGCACCTTGAAGATTCCCCTCATGATGGTGATGGAAATAAATGCCATTAGTTCAGGTATGCCCATGAACCAATGCACATGCTCAGTTTGCTTCGCATGTTGAATTGTACAGTCTCGAATGATGCCAAGCATGTCCAGAGTGATGAAACAAAGGAAGCTCTGAAGGCGACTTGTGATTGACCTCCTGGCTTTAGCTGTTGGCTCTCCATCTGCGCTGTATGGCGATGGTGGGGTGAAATGTGGACCCGTTCCCACCTGTTCTTCATGCCATACTGTGCCATCTTTTGCAGTCTCTGTCACATCAGTCGTCAGCCGAGCTCTCTTCGTTGGTTGGGGAGCACTCTCCTCATCTGTAGCGTGAAAAAAATTTAATTATGAGCAATGGGAAATTCAAATGATATCACAAATGCAAGTATAGAAGCTAATCACAGCAAACATTGTTTATTTTTCTAGTTTCAAGTAATGTAGTAAAAATCACCTTGGAACTAGTATTTTTCAACTAGAAATAAAAACCTCAAATTAGACTATTTTTACTTGTTTTAAGAAATTTGCCGATGGGGCAAGCTTTTTTTTTTTTACTAGGTTAGCGATATTTCCTAGCCAAATTTGCTTGGCAAAATTTGCTAGGCAAACAACATTTGCTTGAAATGAGTAAATCAAGCTAGTAAAAAATCTTAGCTAGCAAAAAAGCTTGCCCCATTGGCAAATGTCTTAAAACATGTCAAAATAGTCTAGTTTTTAGGTTCTTATTTCTAGTTAAAAAAAATAATAGTTCTGAGGTGATTTACTCCCTCACTGAACTGAAATGTAAAATGGGAAATAATATGAAAAGAAATATTACCTGAAGACAACTGAGACAGCTCGGAGTCTGAATCCACCTGGAGATTGATGTCTTCTCCATCCGATTCGCAAGGGTCAGCTCCATTCAGGATAATCTCCAATGCCTGCAGGAGTGCTGTATCTCTGCATCTTCGTTCCTTGGAGAGGAGATTCTTTCACCACAAAATTCTTGAGGGAAATGAAGCAGTAGTCCACATGCACTGGTATTTATCCATCTAACAATTGCCAGGTTGCATTCACATGAGTCGTTATGGTTACATGGCGTGGGAGATTCACACGTTAATTCAACCATTATCTGGTTGCAGTCATATGACTCGTCATGATCACATGGGACATTCACACGTTCATTGAACCATTATCTGGTTGCAGTCATATGACTTGTCATGTTCACATGGGAGATTCACACGTCCAAAATGGAGAGAGTGGTGTGGACATAGAGTTTCAAGACACTTATGCGAGTGATGAGGAGTCAGATAACGATGCCTGTGTGGACAAAGAAAACCAGGAACCCACTGACTGCACAGCCAGGACATTGGACATTGAGCCCCAATCAAATTAACACATCAAGCCCCGTGACAGATATCGCTGGCAAAAAAAGGATTTCATCAGTCCCAATACTGATTTTTCTGCTCCAGCTCTCACAGATGATGCAACTGTCCTCCACACACCGCTGCAGTACTTTGAAAAGTTTGTCTCAGAAGACATGATTCAAGCTCTGGCAATCCATACAAATGAGTACAGCGTTCAAAGTAATGGAAGATCTGTGAACGCCACAATCAAGGAAATACAGAAAATGTTGGGCATGTACCTGAGGTTGGGCTTGGTCCAAATGGCTGGAACCCGTATGTATTGGGAGACAGATACGCGGAACTCCCCAGTTGCTGATGTGATGCCCCACAACAGATTCCAATCACTTTTGACAATATTACATTTTATGAACAATTCAACAGTGTCAGAGACTGAAAAGAGGGACAATAGGGACTCTGGAAAAATTCAGACAATGGCTTGAGCTTTCAATCACTGCACTATGGAACTATTGATTACACTATGGAAATACTGACTTGAATTATGTCTCATTTCTTTTACTTCTATATCTCTATATTATATCATAAATGTATCTGTCAACACTCTTTCCTAGTCATGTTAATCTTGTCTGCCTCAACTGACCTAGTATGTT